AAATGATAAAGTTTTTTTGTAGTTGTGAGAGGGCCTTTGTCTCATCGTTTTCGATATAAGGTGTGCTAAAAAGAGACATGCACTTATATGGAAATACAGATTTCAGTTTCCATTTCTTCTATACATATAATCTTGCCTCTCAGACTAGTGAGAGTTGTGCCAATATATTTAGGATTCCTCCAGACAGAACCGATACACAGAGCAACATTGCAGCGAAGTGTCTGATTTTATACACGAAATAAACTGAAGAGAATTGGTTGAGCTTTCCTTATAAGCTTAAACGATAAACGGTTTAATTCAAAAGCAGCACTTTTGGCTAACTCAGACCTGGAGGTTCCATCAACACCCTCTCGTTGGAAACTATGATGTGGATTTGAAGAATGACGAGCAATCTCGCTTGTCTCCATCGGAAATTAGACAAACTGATGCTGCCTCAATTTATCGCTATACAATCAAAAATGTAATCGTTGGGCGGCAAATGAAAAACAGTGTTTTGACCTCTGCCTTGGTTTCCACCGCTGTTTGACGGCAAAGACAACAAGGTCACAATTGATAGAAACCGGCAAGTGTCGCATTACCGATAAAATATGCGCACGAGGTCAACAACAGTTTGCCCGCAACATCTCGATTTCAAGAAATCTCGATACGACAGCTGCAAAGCGTTAGGTCTGTCCCCCGTCGGGCTGTCAAATGCGGAGAAAAACTAGCCTTGCAGTCTTTTGTAAATTTTGTGGAAAGCGCTTTACATTCGTATTCTAACTAGATGGATTTATTCATGCAAAATGGTACACATTTTGCGACATTTGCAGATTTGCAACATGAGAATCTTACCAATTTGGTAATGCTCTTTCTAACTGTAGTAAAATTGCTAGACCTGCCTTAATCGAAATGTTGTTTATCATTTATCAATCTGAAACCAGCCTTGCGCGAAGAATTTCGTACAGAAACTATCCCCACATAGAAAAGCCTCGCATGCACGAGCTGGTCGTGGCTCGGGCGCGGAACGTGGCCTAGCAAAATTTTCTTGTGTTGTATTGTACACCAATTGTTGAAATTTGTATGCGCTGTGTGGCAACAAGGAACATAGCGGTGAGGGAAAGCTGATATCACGGAATATGTTAGATCAAAATTTTGGCATGCACCAGATAACGGTGTCTGTGAGAAAGTCAGAAAGACATTCCTAAAATGTTTTCGTTTTTCAACCGTCTGGGCTACAAATAAAACACAAAAGCTATGAATTTAGTAATAAACTCGGTGTATCGACGTCCAGTTTGGAGAGTATCATAATCGACGCGGAACTGAATCAAAAGGGAAACATCTGCCATCGTGTTGCTAATAAAACCCCAAGATATTGCAACACAGATGCCGCGCCAGCACGTTTATAGATGCTATAAAATCGATTGTTGCGGACGCTTATTTACTAATGCCATAATTTCTCCATGATACGATCTTTAATGACAATCATCGTTGATGTTCTAAGTATTATGGTAATTTTAGATATTGTATAGAAACCGCTTGCGAAGCTCTCTGCCTAGATCACGTAGCGAGTTGTGAATCACGTTTTGGGGGCGGAGCGATCGCTAACATTAGGCTTCATTTCCCTTATTTACAACGGAACCCGAAAGCCGAACGTGCATTCATAGCTTGTACTCCGCAGCGAAAAGAGCTCGTCAATAGCAAAGTCAGTACGAGATTATGGCACCGATTGAGCGAAGAGAGAGAAAATACAGTTACGAAAATACGAAGCAGTCAGAGAATACGACAACGGTAAGCTATATTAATACATTCTTTCAACATCATGCTCTATATACGAGAATGTTACGCTAACATTCTGAGAAAATTTCGAGATATAAATATCTAGACACTTTTCTATACAAGCATGTAACAGTCTCAAAGTTAGTACTTTATAGTTCATAGTAACGGGGTTCACAGTTACTTATTTTTTGTCATCGAGGCTGAATTCCCTGCCAATATGAGTTCTTGTATATTTGTATATATACATATATACATATATATATTGAGCCGCGAACATGCATTTTCATCATCCGCACTAAATAACTTACTCTACTTTCTTCTATTCGGACAAAAATCTTTCAGCATTCAATGCATGTTATAATATATAAACTATATAGTCCATATAAAACTTTATTTAGACTTTAATTAAAATATAGTTCAATCGAGACCGCGGTTAACGCTTTAATCGTTTGGTGAGGATAAATACGAGTAACGTAAAAGTGTATTCCAAAGGAACATATGAGCGATGTGTTTTCTCACAGCGTTAAGAAGGAAAGTAAATTGCCAGCGACTGAAATAAAAGCATATCTGAATTTTGCATCACAATGATTATTACAACGTGAATTGCGTTCAGTGCGTTGGCGTTGGTTAGTTAAATATTCTGTTGCGGATCATATTAAGTCATTACTGCATTGAAGTTGAAAAATATCAAGAGGCCTATGCTATATCAATATATATTCGTCAATCCAAACTTGAATATTTATCGTTGAAACATTGTGGACACTGCAAACATTAAAACCGATTTTATTGAAAATTAAACAAATTGTAATTTGATCTCATTGGTCGGAAAAGCGCTATCGGTGAGACAGAACACCCACACTATGTCTATAGTAGTGAGATTATTTGCCAAATGGCTGCATGGGATCACGCAAGGTCTTTTGAATTGTTACTAAGAATAAACGGTGAAATATGGTGAGTGTTGAGGGAAGAAACACAGGTTTCCACGACTTTATGTAAAGTTCTTATGCATTTGTTCTCACTATAACTATAAGATAAGTAAATGTCATAGACATGGTGTCTATATACACTGGCATTTTTTGTTTTTCTTGTGAGAAGGTTTTTACTGACATATTTATACAATGAATACGCATTGACGTCCTTCACAGCGTTCATAAATATCGGACTTATGCGAATACGGGAGGCTGGAGCCCTAGTTGGGGGAATACTCTTAGAAATATATACTGCGCATTGACTTGACATAACCATCTGAAAAATATAGCCACCAGCAGATAGGAGCAAATGACTGTGGTATTAGCCTATTATAATTGTTGAATATTACGATACTATGCCTATACTGGACCACCACGTTTAAGGTATCTTTCCCAGGTATAGTTCAGACACAAACCACGACAGTTTATTGTAGAATCACTACCTACACTGGACCACCACGTTTGAGATATCTTTCTCATGCAGGTAGTTCAGACAAACCTCGACAGCAGGGGTATTCTATATATCTACATTCTATAACAATGGACCACCACGTTTTTTTCTTCGTTAGTTCAGAATTCAGACACAACCCTGACAGTTTATCGGACGAAATAATACCTAGACGGCTAGACCATAACACGGGATTTAGGACGATATAGCATAGTGCTTTTTAGTGTTTTTTTATTCAGTCAGGATGTTTAACTACTAAAAACGTCAAATGTTCTATATTTTCTATGACGCATGAACTAAAAGTTCAAATATTCGTCATAGATAGGAAGTCTTGACCAACGAAACGATAGGATGTCTTAACCATTCAGTGCATCTAAGCATATTTGTCGGGTGAGGAAATTGCGAATATCCTGAAAGTTTGAATATAGGGAGCGTCCGCGGTCCGCCGTTGAAGGATCTTAAAATTTCTTAGAAGATTCTGAGATCTTGATATTATCAACACAGTTAACAAGTGATGAATCGGTGCGCAGATATTTCTGACGGCTTACTGCTTTGAACTGCGTTGATGCTGACAGACCAGGGTGAGGGTTAGGGTTGGTTTTTAGGAGGGAGTGCTGTATGTATACCACGCCTCAAATGTAATATCGGGTCTGTGGTTTTGACGGAGTGCAACGGTGCTAAATACTCAGGATACAATCTCAGCGATATAGAAATATATTTCTACGAGATGCTTTTCGAAAGAGAGCTTTGCTAGGCCCGTGTCGGTTTAATGCATTAACATTAGTTCGGCACACACATGAAAAGTTCGACGTCTGAAACAGGCCTTAGTTATGAATAAGAGATTTCACTTCTCACGAGCTCCATTATTTAATTCCTCCGGGAAGAGCCAAAGCAAGATTTATTATGGCATGGCGAATCTTACTTATAACTATAGACTATAGTTAGCCTACAGCATCTGCCACTTAATTGGCATTGTCTGACGTTAAGATTGCGCAGCGGTTGCAGTGATGACGGAATGATTCGACACGAGACACTGAAAACACTGAATGCGTGCATGCATGAAATGCTCTAATCTGAGAATTATAATTCCGCGTGCACATGCAGTCGTGTTCCGAATACGTGATTCTACGCTGTGTGCACAACAGAGTGCAGCTGTCGTCGTGGTTACGTCAGCTCTAAAGTGATGACATGCATAGAAAGTTCATGCACAAGTAGTGTGATGACACATGCACGGAGATGCCGTATTCCGTGACACTTGTTTCGAGAAATTTTAAGCATCATGCATGTTTATCGTTGAAAAAGAATTTAGAAGTTTTAGGAAGAATAAAATTGCGAAAACTACTCAATTAAGAATGCGTTTTTTAACTGATGGATTTTCGAAGTTCATATCCGTGTATAATTCACTGCAGATTAAAACGTGCAGTTGATACACAAGCTGGGGGTCAACGACGCACTTAAGAGAAGCCTTAATAACTTATTGTTTTTAATGCGCTGGGCACATAAGAAGTGACCTAGACCTTCCCGCTCAGTTCAACCACGTGCATGTTTACCCTGACAAGGCTTGTTGATCTGTACCGCTCTTTGTCTTTTGAAAAGTCAGTTTATTTAGTTTCACGGAGCGTAATAACCTTGCATGGCCATAACTCAGTATACATTGTTTGCGGTTCAAACCCCTTGACGTCATGCACTTGGTATATGTGGCCGCAAAAATAGCAAAAACGCTTTTTTATGTGCCCTTGTGCATGTCTTGCCAGAGCAAATACTGCCCGTTTGAGAAAAAACGGATAAATGACGCATGCAATTCGTGGTTTAAAAAGATGAATGTTTACCTTCGTTTCGTAGACTGAATTCCATCTTTAACAGAAACATGTTTCATATACTAGATTGTCCACAACTTTTGGATACTCTTGAGAAACTATATAAAGATAAAGTTTAATCAGAATTGTTTGACTGTCAAAGCAACAAACTGATCGCTTCACGTGGTGAAAACTAATTTTGCATAATTGTGTTTATGCGATATATCACGTTCACTCGTTCAGCATTTTGCTTATTATTGGGCACAAAAAACACTTTGAATTCCAAATGCGTGATGCTTTTGTGCGTCAGGACAGCATCTGAGGGCTTAAAGTAGACAAGTTCTCACGAATAGTAAAAAATGCGAATTGTTATGATCCTGATTTCTGATCTGGATATAGCGTACGTGATGTGAACGAGAACATATATAGCCATGATGGTAAAATAAAAAAAAAGAGTTAGCGTTGTGAACGTCAGTTCCTTTGGGAATTTGTTTCCGCGAAAATAACACTTTTTAGACCAACCACCTGGGTCTAAGACATTCATTAGAAGATCGGTTCATTTTACTGAGTTGGGATCTCTTCAGGGCAAGCAAAAGATTTTGTAAACAATGTTGGGTGAAGCAAATAAAACCTTGAACGCATTAAAAGATGACAACAAAAGACTTGTTTACGCGGCAAGCTGAACAAACTATACGTGATGGGACCTCCCACTGTTGAGTGTAAACATGCTTAAAAGACCGTTCCTCTATTAGCTTCACGCGTGCAATACGTGACGGTAGTTGATTATCAAGCTCAATTTGAGTTGTGATTCCGCCATGTTCAGGAGCGATTTAGTTTCACAAAGAAGCAAAAAGAATCGCAAGATTTTCTTACAAACAAAATCGCTTCTAAGCAGAGCGATATTGCCACGCAAAGTTGCTTGATAATCAACTACCTTTGAAAGATAAAACGGGGAAAGGGTCTATTTGGTTAACTGAAGTTCGAAGTTACATCATATACCCTTTACTTTCGGGTTGTCTCAATATTTTTTTAAGAGATTATAGTTTAGCATGCAAATGCGACAGGTAACTGACGATTTCTTTTCATTTTACTTCAGCAAGGATCAAAAACGAGAACACACAACAGAACAGGTTACGTGTGCGTGCCAACGATCACGACACGACAGAATCCGATCAACTACCGACAGCACGTCATCGAGTACTGCACACTCACGCTAAACCACGCGTGCAACTGTGAAAATCTCAACTGCCGCGTGGAACACTGCGCGTCGATGAAAAGAGTGTGGAAGCACGTTGTCACGTGTACGAAGAGACTGGAAAATTGCCTAGTGTGCAAAAATTTCCAAACCTTAGCAAGTTATCACACCCGACAATGCCAAAGCACGTCATGTAACGTTGTGTTTTGCAGCGCCATCAAAAAGAGACGGCCAAGTAGATCGCAGCTGCTGGCTACGAAATGTAAAAGAGATCACTCAAGGATATAAAAAGAGAAGTGAATTCTTCGGACTGTTTAATGTGCTATTGTTAAACAGCGCATCCAGAATATTTATCAAACCACAGTTGTCATCTGGGTGGCTGATAAATAGCGGACTTTTGAGGGAGCGAAGCTGCTAACTCGGGAACCAGACACTTGTTGAAGAATTCCCGCTTTTCAACGGAACTTTTCGCTCTCTATTTAAAAGTTGGACACTACACGCGGTAACAAATATAACCGTACTCAACTAAAAAGAACGTTTCATTAGTAGAAGTACTCTCAAAGAGATATACGTTGAAATGAATAGTTAAATATATAATGCCTTCTACATGGCTAATTCGTAACGTTGTAATCGTACAATAAATTGTTAAAATTTCGAATATCAAATGTAAGTATAACAATTACTATCATGTGTATATTGTCAATAACGAGCTATATAATTTATAAAACTAATAAAGCTTTAATCTTGAAAAGGTGGAGATATAGAATTAGAATCATATTTGGCAAAGGCCAACCCCTTACCCGCACCCACCCCTTCCTGCCAGAGACCTCTAGTACATCTGGAGCGAGTTATTCCGGTGGAAACTGCAACCGTGTAACCGGGATACAGTTAAACGTCGCACTGGAATTTTAACAATTCATTATTTTCCATGGTTTCTTTAATACGCTGTGTAAAAATGTGACAAAAATATCTTCCTGCATGCCATGGCCGTCTCTTGCGAAGGCGTCTTTTGAAAGTTAACGTGTTCAATTCTAATCTGATAGTCCATGATATATTCTCAACCAGAGGTAAACGATGTTACTGAAAACCATTTCTCAACGCGACCATTTGGTTCACCATTGGTTGTTATAAATGATATTTTCTGAGAACATCTACTTTCGATGAATTCCAAGAGTTCGTTCACTTGTGGATTCTTACCAACAGGAGAATACATCTCAACTAAACCAGGTGTTGATGTTCCTTGCTCTTTGATTCGTTGAAGAACTGATCGGAGAAGGCTCAGGCCTACGTCAATATCTTCACAGTACAACGGCGTTATCGTGTAACCTTCATGTGGAACTAAGGATTCTCGCGCAACCACGTAACCAACGACAGAACCATCGTTATTAAAGGCAACAAAAGACTGGCTCACGCGGGAAAACAACCATTTGTTGAGAAACTCTCGACGATCATATCCAAACGTAAACTTATCGTAGTTAACCAAAGCTTCAAAGTCCACTTCTGAGACTTCTTTGATTTCATACGTTGAATTCATGGGGATATTTTGGAGCTTTTTCAGGGCCATTAGGATATCGAATTCCCGGCGTTCAGCAGTATAAATAATGTCACGCACGCCTAAAATTCGCTTAGACATTTCAACAAGATGAGGGGAGGTATACAGAGAAAGATTTGTAGTTGGTTCAGCTCTTTTGAAGACTTCGCGATTGAGCTGAAGACCATATCCTTGATTTCGATACTTCTCATCGATATAAAAACCACCACTGATACGATAACCATCATCGTATTTGAATAGAAAAACCGTTCCGATCACTTTGCCGTCAATCTCAGCTGCGTACAAAGATGTCGGGTCTAACGTCAGCCAGCAGTCAACATCATCAATTGCTGGAAGAAGATTTCGCTTTGCTCTCGTTTGTAGAATATAATCTTTCAGATATGTTGATGCTTTTGTTATTGTTCTAATGCGCAACATCGTTTTAACGCCTGTGGGTTAACTTTAACTAACAGCGTGGCACACATTCCACACGCCTCGTTCGTCATAAAAGTAAATAGTATTGCGCAAAGCATGCTGGTAAAATGATGATTTTATATATTTTAATAAAATAATAAAGTTATAAAAGAATCAGTAGAATATTAAATTTAGTCCTAACAAATACTTATGGGCCGACTTCAGCTACGTTTCCGTTGCCAAATTTTCATATTTTTTACTTGCCTGTAACTCTGGCAACCTCGTACCCAGGATCTCCTCCGTAGGGGAAAACTCTGGGTACGAGATTGTAATTTTAGCCACCATAGTATGATATCAACACCTAAATTTGTCATGTAGAACTGTCACAAAAAAATACTGATAATATTGAAATGAATACTGAAAGTTTACGTGTTCAATTCTAATCTGATTGTCCATGATATATTTATTCTCAACCAGAATTAAAGGATGATACTGCAAAACACTTTTCAAGGCGACCATTGGGTTCACCGTTGGTAGTTAAAAACAAGTATTTAAAATCGTGTCTGCTTTCGATAAATTCCAAGAGTTCATTCACTTGTGGATTTTTATCAACAGGAGAATGCATATAAGCTAAATTGGACGTTGACGTCCCACGCTCTTTGATTCGTTGAAGAACTGATCGGAGAAGGCTCAGGCCTACGTCAATATCTTCACAATACAACGGCGTTATCGTGTAACCTTGATCTGGAACGAGGCACTGTCGCGCAACCACGTAACCAACCACAGAACCATCTTTATTAAAGGCAACAAAAGACTGGCTCACGGGGGAAAACAACCATTTGTAGAGAAACTCTCGACGATCATATCCAAACGTAAATTTATCGTAGTTAACCAAAGCTTCAAAGTCCACTTCTGAGACTTCCTTGATTTCATACGTGGGATTCATGGGGAAATTTTGGAGCTTTTTCAGGGCCATTAAGATATCGAATTCCCGGCGTTCAGCAGTATAAATAATGTCACGAATGCCTAATATCCGCTTAGCCATTTTAACAAGATGGGGGTAAGTATACAGAGAGACATTGGTAGTTGGTTCAGCTCTTTTGAAGACTTCGCGATTGAGCTGAAGACCATATCCTTGATTTCGATACTTCTCGTCGATATAAAAACCACCACTGATACGATAACCATCATCGTATTTGAATAGAAAAAGCGTTCCGATCACTTTTCCGTCAATCTCAGCTGCGTACAAAGATGTCGGGTCTAACGTCAGCCAGCAGTCGACATCATCAATTGCTGGGAGACGATTTCGCTTTACTCTCGTTTGTAGAATATAATTCTTCAGATATGTTGATGCTTTTGTTATCGTTCTAATGCGAAACATCGTTTTAACGATTGTGGTTTAACCAACAGCGCAGAACAATTCAGACTTCTGAGAATCTAGACAGCCTTAGCAGGGAAGCCTTGAACATGAATCTAATACATTGTAATACAATACCCCGTTCATCAGATCGATTTCTTGAAGCAGAATAGATTATTTTAAAAACTTTCCATAAAATAGTTTAAGATATCTTTTCTAATACTGTTTACGTGCAGACCCAGATAAAACAACAACACATTAGATTAGTGCAGCGTGCTTCAATTATTGTACTTCGTAAAAATGCCTTTTGGTTTACATGCTTATTACAACTGGAATGCAAAAATCAAATCTCTATAGAGGTCATGCCCTTTTCTTTTAGGCCTGAATTCCATGGGCGCTTTTTCTCGGCGAGATGCGAAATATTTGATATTTCGACCAGTTCCACGCTCTTTGAATCGTTTAAGAACTGTTGGAAGAAGGTTCAGACCTACGTCAATATCTTCACATGACCCAAACGTGAATTTATCGTAAGCCGAAGCTTCAATTGCCACTTTTGAGACTTCCTTGATTTCAAACGATGGATTCAGAGGGATATTTTGAAGCTTTTTCAAGGCCATAAGGATATCGAATTCCCGGCGTTCAGCAGTATAAATAAGGTCACGCACGCGGCACGCCTAACATCCGCTTAGCCATTTCAACAAGATGGGGGGAGGTATACAGAGAAATATTGGATTGTGTCAGCTCTTTTAGCGACTTCACGATTGAGCTGAAAACCATATCCTTGATTTCGATACTTCTCGTCGAAAAACCGTTCCGATAACATCACCGTCAATCTCAGCTGCATACAAAGATGTCGGGTCTAACGTCAGCCAACAATCCACATCATGAATTGCTGGGAGAAGATTTCGCTTTGCTCTCGTTTGTAAAATATAATTCTTCAGATATGTTGATGCTTTTGTTATCGTTCTAATGCGAAGAAACACGAGCCCTGCTACCCGAGATTTAACGAAGCGTGAGGATGATTTTGACTTTTTGAGGTATTAAACACGTCTTTTTCAAACGGAACAAGCACATGCGCATGCTATTGTTAAGATGACTCCTAGGATCATGTTACTTATTTGTAATTACTAATGATAGCACAGTTGCATGAAAGTTGAAATAATGCTTATAATGGCAATGCGACTGAAGTGCTACGTCAAACCAGTATCGTACTTTTTACATTTGAAATTTTACAAAAAATGTTTTTTATTAAACCTTGTAGGACTATCAGCGAATGGTTCACAACACAATGACTGAATATCTCTTGTCGACACTTCTTCTCAGTGAAAATCTACCTATTAAATTTAACTTTACTTATTAACATATAATCGTATTGTTCATGATTCATTCTCAACCAGAGGTAAAAGATGATGCCGAGAACCAGTTTACGTGTTCAAATCTAATCTGATTGTCCATGATATATTTATTCTCAACCAGAATTAAAGGATGATACTGAAAAACACTTTTCAAGACGACCATTCGGTTCACCGTTGCTTGTTAAAAACAAGTATTTAAGATCGCGTCTGCTTTCGATAAACTCCAAGAGTTCATTCACTTGTGGATTTTTATCAACAGGAGAATGCATATAAGCTAAATTGGACGTTGACGTCCCACGCTCTTTGATTCGTTGAAGAACTGATCGGAGAAGGCTCAGGCCTACGTCAATATCTTCACAATACAAAGGCGTTATCGTGTAACCTTGATTTGGAACTAAGGATTCTCGTGCAACCACGTAACCAACGACAGAACCATCGTTATTAAAGGCAACAAAAGACTGGCTCACGCGGGAAAACAACCATTTGTTAAGAAACTCTCGACGATCATATCCAAACGGAAACTTATCGTAGTTAACCAAAGCTTCAAAGTCCACTTCTGAGACTTCTTTGATTTCATACGTTGAATTCATGGGGATATTTTGGAGCTTTTTCAGGGCCATTAGGATATCGAATTCCCGGCGTTCAGCAGTATAAATAATGTCACGCACGCCTAAAATCCGCTTAGACATTTCAACAAGATGAGGGGAGGTATACAGAGAAAGATTGGTAGTTGGTTCAGCTCTTTTGACGACTTCGCGATTGAGCTGAAGACCATATCCTTGATTTCGATACTTCTCGTCGATATAAAAACCACCAGCCATACGATAACCATTATCGTATTTGAATAGAAAAAGAGTTCCGATGACTTTGCCGTCAATCTCAGCTGCGTACAAAGATGTCGGGTCTAACGTCAGCCAGCAGTCAACATCATCAATTGCTGGAAGAAGATTTCGCTTTACTCTCGTTTGTATAGAATATAATCTTTAAGATATGTGGATGCTTTTGTTATCGTTCTAATGCGCAACATCGTTTTAATGTCTGTGGGTTAACCAACAGCGTGGCACACATTCCACACGCCTCGTTCGTGATAAAGTAAATAGTATTGCGCAAAGCATGCTGGTAAAATGATGATTTTATATATTTTAATAAAATAATAAAGTTATAAAAGAATCAGTAGAATATTAAATTTAGTCCTAACAAATACTTATGGGCCGACTTCAGCTACGTTTCCGTTGCCAAATTTTCATATTTTTTACTTGCCTGTAATTCTGGCAACCTCGTACCCAGGATCTCCTCCGTAGGGGAAAACTCTGGGTCCGAGATTGTAATTTTAGCCACCATAGTATGATATCAACACCTAAATTTGTCATGCAGAACTGTCACAAAAAAATACTGATAATGTTGAAACTAATACTGAAAGTTTACGTGTTCAATTCTAATCTGATTGTCCATGATATATTTATTCTCAACCAGAATGAAAAGATGATACTGAAAAACACTTTTCAAGACGACCATTGGGTTCACCGTTTGTACTTAAAAACCAGTATTTAAAATCGTGTCTGCTTTCGATAAATTCCAAGAATTCATTCACTTGTGGATTTTTATCAACAGGAGAATGCATATATGCTAAATTGGACGTTGACATCCCACGCTCTTTGATTCGTTGAAGAACTGATCGGAGAAGGCTCAGGCCTACGTCAATATCTTCACAATACAACGGCGTTATCGTGTAACCTTGATCTGGAACGAGGCACTGTCGTGCAACCACGTAACCAACCACAGAACCATCGTTATTAAAGGCAACAAAAGACTGGCTCACGGGGGAAAACAACCGCTTGTAGAGAAACTCTCGACGATCATATCCAAACGTAAATTTATCGTAGTTAACCAAAGCTTCAAAGTCCACTTCTGAAACTTCCCTGATTTCATACGATAAATTCATGGGGAAATTTTGGAGCTTTTTCAAGGCTAATAGGATATCGAATTCCCGGCGTTCAGCAGTATAAATAATGTCACGCACGCCTAAAATCCGCTTAGCCATTTCAGCAAGATGGGGGTAGGTATACAGAGAAAGATTGGTAGTTGGTTCAGCTCTTTTGACGACTTCGCGATTGAGCTGAAGACCATATCCTTGATTTCGATACTTCTCGTCGATATAAAAACCACCACTGATACGATAACCATCGTCGTATTTGAATAGAAAAACCGTTCCGATCACTTTGCCCCGTCAATCTCAGCTGCGTACAAAGATGTCGGGTCTAACGCCAGCCAACAGTCAACATCATCAATTGCTGGGAGACGATTTCGCTTTACATCTTTTCGTTTGTAGAATATAATTCTTCAGATATGTTGATGCTTTTGTTATCGTTCTAATGCGAAACATCGTTTTAACGATTGTGGTTTAACCAACAGCGCAGAACAAATCAGACTTCTGAGAATCTAGACAGCCTTAGCAGGGAAGCCTTGAACATGAATCTAATACATTGTAATACAATACCCCATTCATCAGATCGATTTCTTGAAGAAGAATAGATTATTTTAAAATCTTTCCATAAAATAGTTTAAGATATCTTTTCTAATGCTGTTTACGTGCAGACCCAGATAAAACAACAACACATTAGATTAGTGTAACGTGCTTCAATTATTGTACCTCGTAAAAATGCCTTTTGGTTTACATAAATAAAATAAAATCTCTATAGATTACATAAATGAAATCAAATCTCTACAGAGGTCATGCCCTTTTCTTTTAGGCCTGAATTCCATGGGCGCTTCTTCTCGGCGAGATGCGAAATATTTCGAGCAGTTCCACGCTCTTTGAATCGTTCAAAAACTGTTGGAAGAAGGTTCGGACCTACGTCAATATCTTCACATGACCCAAACGTGAATTTATCGTAAGCCAAAGCTTCAATTGCCACTTTTGAGACTTCCTTGATTTCAAACGATGGATTCAGAGGGATATTTTGGAGCTTTTTCAAGGCCATAAGGATATCGAATTCCCGGCGTTCAGCAGTATAAATAAGGTCACGCACGCGGCACGCCTAACATCCGCTTACCCATTTCAACAAGATGGGGGGAGGTATACAGAGAAATATTGGTAGTTGGTTCAGCTCTTTTAGCGACTTCACGATTGAGCTGAAAACCATATCCTTGATTTCGTTACTTCTCGTCGAAAAACCGTTCCGATAACATCACCGTCAATCTTAGCTGCGTACAAAGATGTCGGGTCTAACGCCAGCCAGCAGTCAACATCATCAATTGCTGGGAGAAGATTTCGCTTTGCTCTCGTTTGTAGAATATAATTCTTCAGATATGTGGATGCTTTTGTTATCGTTCTAATGCGAAATACGAGCCCTGCTACCCGAGATTTAACGAAGCGTGAAAATGATTTTGACTTTTTGAGGTATTAAACACGTCTTTTTGAAACGGGACAAGCACATGCGCATGCTATTGTTAAGACGACTCCTAGGATCATGTTACTTACTTGTAATTACTAATAATAGCACAGTTGCATGAAGTTGAAATAATGCTTATAATGGCAACGCAACTGCAGTGCTACGTCAAACCAGTAGCTATCGTACTTTTTACATTTGAAATTTTACAAAAAATGTTTTTTATTAAACCTTGTAGGACTCTCAGCTAATGGTTCACAATATAATGACTGAAAATCTCTTGTGGACACTTCTTCTCAGTGAAATTCCAGCTATTTTAACTTTATTTATAAACATATAATCGTATTGTTCATGATTCATTCTCAACCAGAGGTAAAAGATGATGCCGAGAACCAGTTTACGTGTTCAATTCTAATCTGATTGTCCATGATATATTTATTCTCAACCAGAATTAAAGGATGATACTGAAAAACATTTTTCAAGACGACCATTCGGTTCACCGTTGCTTGTTAAAAACAAGTATTTAAGATCGCGTCTGCTTTCGATAAACTCCAAGAATTCATTCACTTGTGGATTTTTATCAACAGGAGAATGCATATAAGCTAAATTGGACGTTGATGTTCCTTGCTCTTTGATTCGTTGAAGAACTGATCGGAGAAGGCTCAGGCCTACGTCAATATCTTCACAATACAAAGGCGTTATCGTGTAACCTTGATTTGGAACTAAGGATTCTCGTGCAACCACGTAACCAACGACAGAACCATCGTTATTCAAGGCAACAAAAGACTGGCTCACGGGGGAAAACAACCATTTGTAGAGAAACTCTCGATGATCATATCCAAACGTAAACTTATCGTAGTTAACCAGAGCTTCAAAGTCCACTTCTGAGACTTCTTTGATTTCATACGTTGAATTCATGGGGATATTTTGGAGCTTTTTCAAGGCCATTAGGATATCGAATTCCCGGCGTTCAGCAGTATAAATAAGGTCACGCACGCCTAAAATTCGCTTAGACATTTCAACAAGATGAGGGGAGGTATACAGAGAAAGATTGGTAGTTGGTTCAGCTCTTTTGACGACTTCGCGATTGAGCTGAAAACCATATCCTTGATTTCGATACTTCTCGTCGATATAAAAACCACCAGCCATACGATAACCATCATCGTATTTGAATAGAAAAAGCGTTCCGATCACTTTGCCGTCAATCTCAGCTGCGTACAAAGATATCGGGTCTAACGCCAGCCAACAGTCCACATCATCAATTGCTGGGAGAAGATTTCGCTTTGCTCTCGCTTGTAGAATATAATTCTTCAGATATGTTGATGCTTTTGTTATCGTTCTAATGCGCAACATCGTTTTAACGCCTGTGATTTTACTTTAACTAACAGCGTGGAACACATGGGATAACATGATGATGGAAAAATAGAATATCGGATTCCTTATCGAAGATTAAACCGCTGCGTAAACATTTGTAAATTTGAAGTGAAATACAGTCTAAGGGGATGTTCACGAGAACTGCTGCCCGAGAGTTAACGAAGCGTGAAGATGATCTTGACTTTTTGAGGTATTAAAACCGTCTTTTTGAAACAGAACAAGCTATTGTAAGGATGACCCTAGGATCATGTTACTTAAGCACATTTTGACATGTCCCGGGGCAAATTCTCTCGAAACTTCCTTCCGGCAAAATGGAATTTATTTGCTTCAAAACACTGAAAATTCAAGCTGCGTTTGGGGAATGGCATCCAGTGTGTGTGGAAGCACATACCTAGGATGGAAGTTGAAATAATGCTTATAATGGCAACGCGACTCGGACTGAAATGCAGCCTCAAACCAGGATCTACTTTTTACATTTGAAATTTTACAAAAAATATTTTTAATTTTTTAATGCATGTTTACGTCTTCTTATTAAACCCTGTACGGGACTCCGACTGTCAGCTAATAGTTCACAACACAATGACTGAATATCTCTTGTGGACATGTCTTCTCAGTGAAAATCCACCTAATTTAACTAGTGAACCGCCCGTGAGAAAGGTTTGCTTTGAATGAGGTTTGTGAGGAAGGTTCCTCCTCTGAAACATCCTTGAACTGGTGGGATGACTTCAAGAAAGCAATTCAAATTTCAAAGTATAACTTATAGCTTTTGAACACCCAAAAAGGAACATTGGAATTAAGAACCTTTTTACCAGTTCCAACCTTAGGCTGAAGCCATAAGCCCATAACCTAAATTTTAATACTTCTCATCAACAAAGAAACATCCACTGTGATGGTAGCTACATATTTCAACCAACAAAAATACAAAATCCATTCCAATTGAAAAAAAAACACCAAATGGTTCTTCGACTAGCTTCAGCGGCTAGCATATACTGATTTGAGGTTAAGGCAACAATCTATATATCACGAATTGATGGTAAACATCCTTCTTTGTTCTTCTCTTAGAAGATATAGAAGATGTTGATGATTTTCCATCACGTTTAACACTATTCACTATTTCGTTGTCAAAATGTACAACCGACACAGTCAAATTAGTCATCGTTTTTATTTATGGTAAAGCACTCTAGATATATATGGAGCTCAGCAACAATGACCAAAAGTTTTGTCCACTTTCTGTCATTGTTTTATATCATTTTCACCCAAATCTGGGTGCATATGCTTTTAAATGTAGAGAGATTAAAATGACTAAATCTCTGAATCTCGTACCATAGGGAGCTTATCAAGGCTAATCGAGTCCACTCGGACAGATATAGCCACCACTCTGAAAAGTCATGGCAACAAAATGTTTTGTGTATGCCAAAATATTTCTTTTTCATTGATCTCAAACAATATAAATTGTTGAGCAACAACGTGGCGCTGGTTTCTACACTGAATCATGTTTTTAAACAGCACAAGTAATTCAGTCAGTTAAACGTGCAACAAACTAAGATACAACACGTACCTGGCGTTATAAACTTAATTCAATATCATCGTTTCATATCTTCCGCATGGTCACAAGCTTTCAGTTTTTTAGATAGTCGATCGTCCATTTCAGTGATTTCACAATACAAAACTCGTTTGAGCATATTGTTTCTCGGATGTTGTCCATTTTTTCGAAACAAATAGATCCAATCAATAGGTTCGAGGATAAATATAATACGAAAATATTAAAATAAAACATTTTCAAAATCCAAAATGGCCGTTCTTGAGATTTCTTGAAATTTTCCCGCCGAAAACTTCCTACTGCTTCAAATTCCTTGAAATGTGTGAAAAATTCCTTATATTTAGAAAGAATTCCCCCAAACAGTTGGGAGCTTATATTGGGGCGGTAACATACTTGACTACCTTGCCATACTTTTTTGTTTTTACAGAGGAATGTCACACAATCATATACAATTAATAGTAGTAATATTCAGTGGCGTAGCCAGCCTGACGATTTTGTCCCGCTATGTAAATTTCGAGTTATTCATGTCTTTCATGTTTTTTAGAAATTTATTGTTTTTACAGTCAATAAACGCCTTAGGCTGGCTACGCTACTGGTAATATAGTATGGTTCTCTAATTCTATATCATTCCAGGAAGTAAAATAAGTAAAACATTATCAAGACTATCAATTTCTACGATTCTCTGAGAAAGCTCAAATGAATCCTTTAAGCACAAGCTAGGAATTTAAAAAACTGTTCATTTATTTTCTTACAACCATTTCAGGGTACAAAATGCATAAATAGATATCAATTATATTATTTATATTTAATTCTATGTCATTCTAGCATGTAAAATTAGTAAAACTTGATATATTGAAAAAGTTGATATTATTGAAATTAGTACAAAAGACAATCGACTTTTTGGCTCTGAGAAACCTTAATTAAATAAATCCCTGAGTAAACCGCAAGAAAATATCAGACATACATAATATTTGAATGGTCTTCTAAGTCTATGTCATTCTAGCATAAAACATTAGTAAACATAAATAAAATTAGTCAAAATTAAAAGATTGTCAAGACAATACTCAAATCCTTGAGTAAACCGCAAGGAATTTCATGAAAACATCTCATTTATCATCTTACAACCATTGGAGAAAACGTGTACACATACATATCAAAAGTATAGTTGTGAGTCTGGGCTGAGCACGAGTTCCTTGAGCTGGCAAAAAAAGAAAACAACGTAAACATCAGTGAATTTTCTTTTGGGGGTAAAAAGAATGTTGCCAACAACAGAATATTTAAAAACGTATTCAGAACAATTCAAATGATCAAAACTGCTTTTGTGAAACTGGCTGCATGGAAATGCATATCAAAAGAACCGAAAACAACGAAAATTAAACGAAGTCTAGCTATGCCTATGTCAATCCAAAGACGTTGGCTATAGCGGTTATAGATATCGACTAATTTCTGGGAATCCAGATTTTAGAAAACCCACGAATTCCTTAAAATAAACTCTAAATTAATTTCGGCGTTGTACGGTTTTGGGCGTCGTACGTTTCTGATCATGTTTTGCTTTTCTTGATAAAAGTTACCTTTCAAAATAATAATTTGTTTAAGAGATTGATTTCCACCAACACTTCCAACACATGTATATCTCTTTTGATCCTTATACCCAAAATCATCTATATGCAAGATGTTGTTTTTCTGTCTGATTCGAGGATCTTTATCAAGAATAAAAAAGAACAGCTTTCTTCATTTGTTAAACACTTGTTCATTTAAATGCATGCAGACAGACTGACATAGTAGTTTCTAGTATGTTCAACCCCATACAGTACCTGTGCAATTTTTTCCAACACCAATCAAACAATATTCCTCATCACGCCATTGATAGATTACTGGATAGCCAACCACATCACAGTGGAGTGAAACATCACTGCCAAGGGTATCCTTTACTTCTTTTTCTATTGGGCCATTAAGATATGGCAATACTAGGAGGTATGAATTCAATCCTATAGTTTGGTTTCTTAACAGGTTCTAAGCTCTTAAATAGGCCCACAAGACTTTTTTATATCTTATATTCTCAAAGCATGTAGAAATACACATTATTATCTTGGCTCTCAGTAGCTTTTACTGAGTTTTACATTAGAACTTAATACCTGAATTTGGAATTTGCACAGTGCCCACACAGTAGTGAATAAAAAAATGTTTAACTCACTTTGTAGTTCAAACTTTTTAGAGCTACTGACAAAATCTGCTCCATTTTTCAGCATTAATTGTGACTCACAAACATAATCACCACCATCTCTAAAACTGTTGGCTGTCAACGAGTGTTCAAGGGTCAAAGTATTCTTGCCAAGTTCATATCTAAAAATTTTGTTTGCAAGGATTTTGCCACTTTTTATCCATTGCAAAATAACATTGAATTTGTCTGCTATTCTAAAATTTTCATTTTTATATGATGCATCACATTTCAAATGAACTGTTTCTTTAAATTTTTTTTGATTTAGTTGAATCTTTGGTACTGCTTTCTCTACAAAGTACAAAAGATACACAGGAGATTGTAAGTACATTACGAACTATAATTTCTTAAACATAAGTTTGAATAATATCTCAAATATGGGGTTATGAAGGTAATCTGAAGTCCTTCAAAAGTAGAGAGGTGATGTGTTGAAAAGTTGAACAGTATAGTGGTGATAAAAGGAAATAAATGGATCTACATACCTTCCACAAAATAGACATGATAGTTCAATTGCTTTGTTTTTAATATGCATGTATAAAATTTTATGCCTGGTGGATTTCCTGAAAAACCTGGTGGTTTTGATACCCTTAAAATACTTGTGACACTTCCTGCTCCTAAAAGATAAATTCATAACAGTCTTACATGCATGATTCATAAAACTATAACCGATGAATTTTCTTGAATACGACTTTGAATATGACTTTGAGATAAAGTAAAAAATTTACATTTTCACATGTGTTTATCACAGTGACTGGTTTATCAAATGCAGAGGCATGGCAACCAGAGGGGGGGGGGGTGAGATGTGACAAATATAAGTTGTTCAAATTATATAATTGGTTAAAAAAATAAAGCATGCAATTTGCCAAAATTAACCAAATATATGTCCAAGTACTTGATTTTTTTCGAATTATGCCTTGTGGGCGCCCCTCACCTACAATGTTTCCAAACTTTCTATACACTTCTTAGACACTCGTTCGTCATGCCCCTGCTTGTATGGATCATGTATTGTTTTTCAATATATTCACCATTTACCATATTCCAGTGTAATACTTCCATATTTATCATCATTTCCTGGGATACGTTTGCCATCTGGTCCTTCCCACCTGATGGTAGCACCAGCAAGTTCACTGGGTGTTCCCGTTGCAGTACATTGGAACTCAAATGGTTTATTTGTGACTAGAATTATCTTTGGTTCCCCTGATTTTCTCAAGTCCAATTTTGACGATGCTAGGCATTGAATATAATGGTCATAGGCATAGGCAGGTGGTCAAAAATAGTCAAATAGTGTAAATAAAAAAAGAGAATAAACCTTTTCGGTAATTACGTCACAACATTAACGTTTTAAATTTAGAACCACCTTAAATGAGATGGATTTCAAGTTTTATTCTCACAATGAAGCTATGTGCAAAGATGCAGAGCATCCTTCTATAGCGGCCCTTGCATGAAAAATAATTTTTCGTTTTGACGAATAGGTATAAGTATGGAAATAAGCGATACCGCGGCAACGAGGCTCGCGGTCAAGGCCCCTCAGCCTCGTTCTCGTGTTATGGCTTATTTCTTATTTCCACATTGTCAAAATAAAAAAATAAAAAAAAATTTCATGCATGTGTTGAAGAAGGATGTTTTGCATCTTTGCACGGGGCTCGTAAGAGTAAAACTTGAAATCCATTTCATGGTTCTGAATTTGAAAAAAAGGTCTATAGGAGGGAGGTATATGACAGATTTATCGTTAACATCAAAGAATTGAGGGAACGATTTTTCTGTTTCATCCGGCAGACGGAGAAGACAAGGACGGATATCCCGAGAAGACCGATATAAAATGCGACTCATAAAATGTGAACCTGGCTTAGACATTTGTGAGTGTCGACCTGGCAAGTTCGCTTGCTAGATACCAGCATATTGAAGGAAAAACGAATTTATAACTGAAGTTTTAGAAGTATACTATAGTCTGTATAGAATCAAGAGTCAGAGTGAGTCTACATAGTTACACAGTTTTGCATGCTTCACAAAATCCACAAAGCTCTGAATTGCCATTCACCGGTATACCAAGAAAATTCCGGGAAATTGTAAATTTTGGTACTTCGGTGTATGGTCGAGTATTTATACTGAACCCAGGTGCACCTATATTACCCGTTATTACTCGGTATACCGAAGCACGCGAGATGCATCACGTACATAGGGCAAATTAAAAGGTTAAAATAAGTCATAATCACACAAACTTTGCGCTTTTCTGTCAAACTGAAAGATCTGTTCACACGATCCAATTTTGTTCGATCCAATTCACTTCTGACGTATGGAATATAGTCGGTTATTGATGAAGCTGTACTGTAGCATTTGCATTAACAGACCGAATAAAGAATGCATCAGAACTATTTATTCAGAAGTGAATTGGATCCGATAAAATTGGATCGTGTGAACAGAACTTATTACCTTAACACAGCTATTGCTGGGCTTATTATAGAATGATTAGGTTCGGCGAGTGAGGTGAAACACGTTAGTAAAATATAAGCTTGTTTCGAGATGACAAAAACCTTTGTTAAACCGTAGGCTTTGTGTTCAAAGACAAAGTGCTTATTATTAAACTGAGGCAGACCACAGCAGGAAAAACAGAATTTACATCGGCTGTATTTACCGCAGCGACAAATTAAATAACCGTGTTTTTCTGTTGTAAGAGAAAATTTAAAGATAAACAAAACTAAGTAACTGCATGATACGATGGCCCACAAGGGTCACAGTTCAGTTCTTATTCTTAGACAGTTCAGTTTTATTTTTTAGCAGTTCAGTTTAAATTTCCATAGTTCAGTTCTCAATTTGACAGTTCAGGGGCCGGTTGTACGAAAGCCGGATAGCGCTATCCACCGGATAGCGAGTTTTTCAACCTTCTTAAAATTGTCCGTTGATCGGTATAACCCAGATTAAACCTTAGCATTTATAAATTAAAGTATATTTCTCTTAATTGGCAAGTTCATATCGGTAGTTTTGTAGATTTTTAAGCATTTTTACAACGCCTGAAAATTTCGCTATCCGGTGGATAGCGCTATCCGGCTTTCGTACAACCGGCCCCAGTTTTACATTTTAACACAGTTCAGTTTTGCTTCACAAACACACAGTTCTGTTTATATTTTGACAGTTCAGTTTTAATTTTTACCAAACAGTTTAGTAAATTTTAACGAACAGTTTAGTTTCAAATTTTATTAACAGTTCAGTTTAACTTTCAGTGCCAAACAGTTTTTACACAGACATACGCAGTTTCGTATTTTACCGAAAAGTTCGTTGTTAAATGAGTTGATTATTTTGATCTGATAGTGTGCTATTTGTCCCTACTTTAAATCAGTATTTTATACCTTTATTATGCCTCTAAATGACTACATTCCATGCATGAACGTTGACCGAAGGCATGGACGAGATGAAACTGAGCTAATAACAAGTTATTTTCAACAAGGGTTCACCAACCATGAAATTCTAGAATTTCTTAAGCTTCATGAATCCTAGGACTTCGAAGACGTGTTCCAGCCGAAGAACAATTGACACAAGAGGAAATCGAGTGTATTGTGGAGATTGAATTAGCTGGCAGTAAATGCAATGTTGGATATCGCAAAATGTGGAAACATATATCAACTAAGTATGGTATTACTGTTCGAAGGGACGTTATTCGAAAATGTTTGGTTAAACTAGATCCTCAAGGAGTGCAAAGTAGAGCAAAGAAAAGGCTTCGAAGAAGAGCTTATTCATCTCGGGGACCCAATCATATATGGCACATAGACGGCCATGATAAGTTGAAACCTTTCGGGTTTAATATACATGGGTGCATTGATGGTTTTTCCAGAAGGTTGATCTGGCTCGAAGTGGGTCCGACTAATAAAAATCCTCAGGTCATTGGTAAATATTACCTTGATGCCGTATTGCAAATTGGAGGTGTACCACAAAGAATGCGGTCTGACGATGGCACTGAGAACAGCATCGTCGAGGCTTTGCAAATATTTCTGCGATCTCAGCATCACGATGAGCATGCTGGTCTTGCCAGTTTTTCAATTGGTACTTCTACGTCAAATCAACGAATAGAAGCCTATTGGTCTCATCTTATTCGGGATGGGCCTGGATGGGATAAATTTTTTCAAGGATTTACGAGATTTTGATTTGTTTAATGATTCGGATCCTGTACAAATGGATTTGATAAGGTTTTGTTTTATGGATATACTAAGAAATGAATTACACAAAGTTGCAGAAATGTGGAACCAACATATTATTGCCCCAAGCAAATTTGGAAATAACACTGGACCCAGAGGGAGGCCTGACGTGATGTTTTTTTGCCGCATCTTTTCGACACAGGGGATTGTAAACAGGAAATTGACCGGGACGAAGTGAATGAATTCTATGATTATTCAATGTCTGTCAAAGATTTCTCTGATGAATTTGGAGAGTTTGCCTCGTTCGTAATGACAGAGCTTGGCCTGACAAAACCAACTAATGCGAAAGAAGCATTTCATCTTTATCTTACTTTGCTACAAGATTGAGACGATTAATTAGTTTAATAAATTCAACTGAAACACCAATATGAAACTATACAACAATATACTACAAAGTGTTATTATTTGTATTACTAATATAACCTTACTTAAAAGCGCATGCAGAGAGTAATAACCGTGATCGGGGGTCGGCTATACAAGTAGGAGTTTTTTAAGCACTTAAAAGAAGTTATGTCATATTTTATTCGCATAACACACAGCTCCAGGCCTTACTCACTTATATTTCACTACAGTTAAAAGAAATTCAACTGTGATCTTACATACACTTTTAAAAACAAAAAACCTTAACAATATAAAGCGCGGGGCGGTTAGTTTTTTACCCAACTAAAACTATGCAGTCAATTAATATGAATGGCAACTGAAAAGTACAATGTATCTATAGACTAATCACTTCATAGATTACAGTTAATGCGTCACACATAAGTTCAAAACCTAAACAATGTCAAGTTCCCAGTCAGGTTTGGATAATATATTGTTGAACGTGTTTCGTAATTCACAAAAATCTTGGAATGTGGAAGGCAGCTCTAACACAGGTCCACATGTGTGTGCTATAGGAGATTTATATACCCCATCAAATTTTACAAATGAAACAGTTAAATGTTCCACAATTAAAATATCAGCACCTGTGGTAAAACGAAGAAAATGACCAAGGTTGCATGCATCTAAGCCTCTAATATAACGCTGTAGGAACTTCAGAGCATCTCGTTCTCCCTCGGTATTTGGTTGGGCTTGCAAAAGTTGAAGAACTTTCTTATTTGTTGGCTTTACAGATTCGTAGAGGGCCTCCAACTTATCAAAAGACTGAAATGGTGCATATGCCTTGAGTTCAGAAAGAATGAGCTGCCATGTAGACAACATGATATGAGGTTTCTGGATAAGCTCTTGTTTGGCAATTTCAGTGATCACTTTCAGACAATTGTTTTCATTTATCAGTGTTCTGCAGTTAAATCGCTCCAAAAAGTCCTCAAGATCTTCACTATCATATTCCTGCTTATTAAGGCATTTCTCAATCAACTCTTGTTCATCAACTGAAAGATACTTCTTAAAAGAACTTATCACAGCTGAATCGGGAACTGAATCGCCAAATAGGCAATATCCCATAAATGCCTTTGATAAAATCAGAGGAAAATAAGATACCATCTTGTAACCTAAAACAAGAATTCTACCAATAGCTTGCCATTCACTCACAAAGTGGTCGTGACGTACAAAGGGCACTCTTTCTCTTTCTCCAATAGTCATCGAATCTCCGAACGATTTCCAAAAAAGTGAAAACACGTCACGAGCCACACCAACTCCAGCACCTTTTTCGGGAATTCCACGATCATCAATAATTTCAAAAACTATGGAACTTGTTAGGATGCTCTCATCTTGGAAGTAGCTTACCATATCCTTGCATATACGGGAACGGTGCACTTTAACAACTTGAACTTCCTTTGGACTGGACGGTGGATGAGCAGTATGAAATTCCTGTTCATTTTGTGATTCGTGTTGGTTGGCTATTAAAGTCTCTATATCACCAGGAAAATTTTCATTATCAGGAGGGCTACTGCAGGAATTAATGACTGATTGTAAGGTTTCACCAACGCAGAAGGTGAAGAGTCATCAAATGGAGTGTCTAGATTGGGTTGAGTCTCATTATTACCATCGAAGGAAACACTTCTTGAAAGGTAAGCAATCCGATGTGTCCTTATTTCATCGAGGTTGGGATAAATAGCTGTACTCTCAGTGGGCTCATCGGCATCTGTTGAATTTCCCATATGTTTCTGTTCATCAAGCTTTAATGAAGCATTATATTCCTCATCCTGTTTGCATCGAAGACAATCTTCACCAGGAAGATTAGTACAATAGCATTTGGAACACACTATTCTGTACTGTGGACTATTGAACAATGAATCTGGTGGAGGGGAACTTGTAGTCGATGGGGGAAAAATTGTGGTAGATGAATGGAAACTTGTAGTTGATGGGACTAAACTTGTAGTGGATGAAGGAAAACTTGTAGTGGATGGAGGAAAATTTGTAGTGGATGGAGGAAAACCTATTAATGGTGATGGGTGATTTGGAGCTAAGTATTGAGTGGTGGGTGAGGCACCACTTACACCAAGGTCATCACCCTCAAAATCCAGATAAGTGTCACTACTGTCAACGGCTTCTACAATTGCAGAGCCAGTATCTGTCATTTGGGTTAAGCTCTGCTCTTCATCCTCTTCTGGGTGAATAAATACTGTTCTTAAGTATAGATATGTTAAGGAAGGATACAAACCATTCTCATGTAGGTAATCGGCAATCGTACCACCGCTAGGAAACGAATGAATAACTTCACCAGCAGAATTTGTGACTACTTTGGACATATCTTCAAGTAAGCCAAAATGGCTTTTACCTTTTGGAAAGAACAATTCACAAGCTTTGTCCAGAATTTGCCGTAAAGTTAACGGTTGTGAATCCATGTAATTAATATAGCGGTTTCCGCCACCATGCTTGTTTCGCACAGGAATATATTTGTCTTTATCTTCGTCATAATGCATCCATCGTATTTGTATTCGATGTTGTTTATCTGTTTTAGGCTTTTTCCTGCTTGTGCTGGCCGCTCCTTTGGAGCGGTTTCGTATTCGATGGAGTAGGCCGCTCAAGCGATTTACCGTCCTTTCTGTTTTCTGAGTTGCGACTGGCAATTCTCCCTTACTTTCCGAGCTTTTACTTTCACCTTTCTTAGTTTCTTGCTGTTTTCTAAGCTCCTCGCGTACAGCATCCTTTATTATGGCGTCCATATTTGCGAGCAAAAGATTTGTATTTCGTTCATCGACCCAAATCGGGTATTGTTTACTTAATTGAACTGTTAGGCAAATTTAAAACTGAACTGTTAGATAAAATTTAAAACTGAACTGTTGATAAAATTAAAACTGAACTGCTTAGTGATTTTTAAACTGAACTGTGTGGGAAATTCAAAACTGAACTGTTCAGAGAATTCAAAATTGAAGAAATTCGAAACTGAACTGTGTTAAAATGTAAAACTGAACTGTCAAATTGAGAACTGAACTATGGAAATTTGAAACTGAACTGCTAAAAAATAAAACTGAACTGTCCAAGAATAAGAACTGAACTGTGACCCTTGTGGGCCATCGTAGCATGACTACGTATAAAGTTAACGTAAAGTTACGTGCTGGTACGGAGTGAAAAGCTTCGTAAACAAGAGTTGAGACGGTGAAGGAGTTAAGACCATGGTTTAAACCTTTGTCAATGGCAGAGCAAAAGATTAAATCCGACAAACAAGCACAAGGAGTTTTTGGTATAAAGTCGTCCGGGAAAATTCGAAATAATGCATGAGCGAACAGCAACAAAACCATTTAATCGTTGTCGGTTGTGAACATCTTAAAACTACCTGATATACGCCATCTACCAGACCGTGACCCGGTAACATTTGAAAACTAAACAATACAAACACAAATATCGCACCTCTGTCAAACTTAATACAACCACTAGGCTCGGCTTACAAAACAGAGAATGTTAAATAGGGATTGGACTAGGGTCTGAGAGCTCGACACAGCCGAATCTTTGCCAGTGTACTTACTGAAAATTACAAGGCCCTTTCTAAAGAAATATCAGCACAATTTTGAACTAAAATCATCTTAGATTTCTTACCTGGCGACAAAGAGAAAAGAATAAGAAGGCCACAGGTTGCCATTGAAGATGTTTTCAACCAAAGTAGCGTCATTTTGCCTTAAAAGGTCGTATTCGATGCCTAAAAACCAAGCAGCCTTTCTTGAGATGACATTGAATGTTTGTTATTAATACCATCTGCAGTCTGTCATACCCCCCACTTTCGTCAATAACTCACGTCAGAATTTACATCAAGATATTTAAACAGAACGACCAAAAAGAGAATTTGTTTCATTTATTTGTTTTTCCACCCCTTGATTGCAATGCAATGCACAGGTTCTTACGTTGAACAACTGGGGAATTGAAACTTTGAATGTATTGGAGTCGATCGATGACTTTGTACAACAATATCTGAGATATATATTGTTTTAAAGTCATAACTCGGAAATACGACAATTGAATGTAATTAATATGCAAAATGAAGACTATATTACCACAATTAACATAATCCCCGACCACACAGAATGAAGACAATACTAGCACATAAAATAAAGTAACTGCAATAAAAAACATCTGACCAGATCATGCTTTAGTTTCAGGGCTAAAATTTATATAAATCAAACAATAAAAAAAAGACTCGAAAACTTACATCGGAATTCCAGCGAAGAACAATATATTTAAAGCAAGTTATAATTTATTGTACACCTCAGATTATCCGTATATACCCTTATGACGTCCGTATATACCCTTATGACGTCCGTATATACCCCTATGACGTCCGTATATACCCTAGGCGTCCGTATATACCCTTAACACAGAGTACATAATAGATACAGAGATGGAACTAGTGTACCAACTTTTACTTACACTGTACCCTTAATGAAGTTATACCCTTCCCAATTACTTTTATTATCCACGCATGCACGTTAACGTAAGAAAAGTTCTGTTTTCAAAGAGAAATATCAGACATACATAATATTTAATTGGTTTTCTAATTCTATGTCATTCTATAGCATATAACATTAGTAAAAATTAATAAAATTAAAATTAGTAAAAATTAAAAGATTGTTAAGACAATCGAGTTGTCAAGACAATGCTCAAATCCCTGAGTAAACCGCAAGGAATTTGATGAAAACGTTTCATTTATCATCTTACAACCATTCGAGGAAACAAAATGTATACATACATATCAAAAGTATAGTTGTGAGTCTGGTTAACTGAGCACGGGTTCCTTGTGAAGATTGAACTAGCAAAAAAAGAAAACAATGTAAACATCACTGAATTTTCTTTTCGTGGCAAATAGAATGTTGCCAACAACAGATTTGACTGAAAAGTGTTCAGAACAATTCAAATTATGAAAACTGCTTTTGTGAAACTAGCTGCATGGCCTTATCAAAAGAACAAAACAACGAAAATTAAACGAAGTCTAGCTAGGTTGATACAAAGACGTTGGTTATAAATATCGACTAATTTCTGGGAATCCCGAAGTCCTTAAAATATCCTCGAAACTAATTTGAATACGGTTTTGGGCATGGTTTCTGATCATGTTTTGCTTTTCTTTATAAAAGTTACTTGTGCACTTTAAATACTGATCTTTGAAAAGATAGATTCCCCCTTTAAGTTTAAATTTCAAACTATGGTTTCTCAGACAGTGTATCAGATGATCTCAAATACACCCTCTTTTTGGTGTATTTCTGATATCTGAAAAAGTAGGACACGTTTCTAACATTATAACTTACTCCGTAATTCAAAATTTTTAGATTCAGTAACTGAATCTGTTTTATCTTTCAGGGCTAATTGTGACTGACAAATGTAAATTCCAGTATCCTCATGATCGTTGACTGTTACTGTGTGATTGAGACTCACAATCTGGTTTCCAGTTTCATATTCGACTGTTTTCTTTGCAAGGAGTTTGCCATCTTTTATCCAGCTCAAAATAACACTGAATTTATTTGCTATTCGATAGTTCTCATTTTGATATGATGCATCACATTTCAAAAGAAATGTTTCTTTGTGTCTTGTCTGATTTAGTTGAATGTTTGGTACTGCTTTCTCTACAAAATACGAAAGATACACAGGAGATTGTGAGTACAATACAAACTAATGCCTAAACATAAGTTTAAATAATATCTCAAATATGGTAATCTGAAGTCCTTCAAAAGTAGGGAGGTGATGTGTTGAAAAGTTGAACAGTATAATGGTGATAAAAGGAAATAAATGGATCTACATACCTTCCACAAAATAGACATGATAGCTCAATTGCTTTGATTTTGTTGCTAATTTGCATGTATAAAATTTTATGCCTGGTTGATTTCCTGGAAAAACTGGTGGTTTTGATACCCTTAAAATACTTGTGACACTTCCTGTTCCTAAAAGATAAATTCATAATAGTCTTACTGGGATAATATTCTTGTAAGTTTGCATCGTGATATCACAATATAAATAAAATAGCTTGTAGGTACACCACGCAAGTGTTTAACATTGCAAAGCTTTCGGTCCGTTAACTGATGAAGGCCCGGGTTAACAAATCAAAAACTTTGCAATATTAAATTCCCTAATTGCGTACATTGTAATGGTGTACCTGCAAGCTAATTTATTTTTATAGTCTTATTGTGATTCATAAAACTAGTCAAAATTCGTTAAATCTAGAGGCTTGGAATTTTAAGACGAACAATGGTGGTGCATCGCCCTCGTACAATGTTTAGCAAACTCCATACTACAGGCTTTCACCAAAAAGTGTTTCCATGCATACGCGGAAGAATAAATTAGAAATTTTAATTAATGCCGGTTTTGAGTCTCATCTTTTCATCATTTACCATATTCGAGTGTAATATCTCCTTTATCATCATTTCCTGGGATAGAAACGTCATCTGGTCCTTCCCACGTGATTGTAACACCAGCAAGTTCACTGGGTGCTCCCGTTGCAGTACATTGGAACTCAAATGGTTTATTTGTTAATAGAATTATCTTTGGTTCCCCTGATTTTATCAAGTCCAATGCTGACGACTCTATAGACATCGAATACAAAACAAAATGATACAACTGGCTATTATGCAGATGAGCATGTGCAGATGATAACATCATAACTTACTCCGTAATTCAAAATTTTTAGATACAGTAACTGAATCTGTTTTATCTTTCAGGGCTAATTGTGACTGACAAATGTAAATTCCAGTATCCTCACGATCGTTGACTGTTACCGTGTGATTGAGGCTCACAATCTGGTTTCCAATTTCATATTGGACTGTTTTCTTTGCAAGGAGTTTGCCATCTTTTATCCAGCTCAAAATAACACTGAATTTATCTGCTGTTGCAAAGTTTTCATTTTCATATGATGCATAACATTTCAAAAGAACTGTTTCTTTGATCTTTGTCTGATTTAGTTGAATCTTTGGTACTGCTTTCTCTACAAAATACGAAAGATACACAGGAGATTGTAAGTACATTACAAACTATAATTGCCTGAACATAAGTTTGAATAATATCTCAAATATAAGGTTATGAAGGTAATCTGAAGTCCTTCAAAAGTAGGGAGGTGATGTGTTGAAAAGTGGAACAGTATAATGGTGATAAAAGGAAATAAATAGATTTACGTACCTCCCACAAAATAGACATGATAGTTCAATTGCTTTGATATTTTTTCTAATTTACATGTATAAAATTTTAAGGCTGGATGATTTCCTAAAAAACCTGGTGGTTTTGATACCCTTAAAATACTTGTGACACTTCCTGTTCCTAAAAGATAAATTCATAATAGTCTTACTGGAATAATATTCTTGTAAGTTTGCATCGTGATATCACAATATGAATAAATTAGCTTGTAGGTACACCACGCAAGTGTTTAACATTGCAAAGCTTTCGGTCCGTTAACTGATGAAGGCCCGAGTTAACAAATCAAAAACTTTGCAATATTAAATACTTAATTGCGTACATGGTGATGGTGTACCTGCAAGCTAATTTATTTTTATAGTCTTATTGTGATTCATAAAACTAGTCAAAATTCGAAACACCTAGAGGCTTGGAATTTTGGAGTCCCATCTTTTCATCATTTACCATATTCCAGTGTAATATTTCCTTTATCATCATTTCCTGGGATAGAAACGTCATCTGGTCCGTCCCACGTGATCGTAGCACCAGCAAGTTCATTGGGTGTTCCCGTTGCAGTACATTGGAACTCAAATGGTTTATTTGTTAATAGAATTATCTTTGGTTCCCCTGATTTTATCAAGTCCAATTTTGAGAATGCTAGACATCAATACAAAACAAAATTATACAACTGGCTATTATGCTGATGAGTAAAGAGATATTCTCATTTCATCCGAGACGGAGAAGGCTACAGGGATATGAGTCATGTGTAAGCGTGTTGCAAGTTCGCTTGCCAGATATCAGCATATTGAAGGAAAAACATGTTAACGCTAAAGAAGCACAGAATAAAGAGTCAGACGTAGTTTTACATGCTTCACAAAATTTATGCTTCAAACTTTGAAATGTTGTTCAGAAGTAAAAGAAAGGTTTATAACCATAACTAAACAGTGGCGTAGGCTGCGTAGCCAGCCTGACGATTTTGTCCCGCTACGCTGTAAGTAAACGTGCAAGAAGAGTAGTTCCGGTGTATTGTAAACTTAGTACTGTGTATTCCAATATAACCAGGGAGCAGCGTGGCAGCGTCTTGAAACAACTTAGCGTCAAATGTGGTATAACAACTGCCTAAAATAGACAAAACACTTCTCGACGTTTCGACCTGAGGACCTCGTATTTTGTCTATTTTAGGCAGTTGTTAACTGCCTAGTTCGGTATATTTATGTCCATCGATATGATCGAATATCCGGTTACAATATTCAACACAGTGTTAATATTTCTATAAACTTTGCTTTAACCGCAGTCTGTATTATGCCGTTTTTGTCTTCTCAACTCTCAAACTAGTTTATATTACAAGTGGTTTCACCTTTCCTCACTGACCTAACCTAATCATTGTATAAGAAATTCAGCAATAGTTGAATCTTCAGGTGAATTAGATTCCGCAACATAACTGGATCATATGAACGACCTTTCCATTTGACAGAATAGTGCCGCGTATAATACCGATATTATCTGTGGTTAAAGGCAAAATAACGTTGTAACAAAACTGACAACGCAACATTGCTTGTTGGTAAACAGCTTTGTAAACAAGGGATGACCATAGGCATAGGATGACAAACAAACGATTAAACTGGCTAAGCATAGCCATATGAATGATATTAAGTTTCGCTTAAACGCCGTCCGGAGGGAATTCGTAATGATGAGCATACAGTTCGTGTTTGCGAACAGCAATCCTAAACCATTTAATCGTTGTCATTATAGTGATAGGCCATCCACTAGACCACTGTGACCAGACCTTTATAAACTGTCACGGTAAGTAAGTCAGTGACATATGACAACTTCACTTTAATACAAGCATTGCACCCCTGACAGCTTTTAGGCTCTGATCGAACCGGACTCGCTGTAAAGCTCTTTTGAAGCTATGATTATATTACGTTTTGACAGAGGTGCGTCTTGAGTTTCTTACCTGGCGACAAAGAGAGATGAAGAAGAAGTCCACAGGCTGCCATTGAAGATGTTTTGAACCAAAGTAGCATCATTTTGCCTTTAAAACGGTCGTATTCGATGCATGAAAACCAAGCAGCCTTTCTTGAAATGATATTGAATGTTTGTTATCAAGTACAATTTGCAGCCTGCTGCATGCCACACCCCCACTTTCGTGAATAGCGCTCGCGTCAGAAATTGGCATCAAGATATTTAACAGAACGACCAAAAACAGAATTTTTTTCATTTATTTGTATTTCCACCCCTTGAATGCAATGCACTGCACATGTTCTTACGTTGAACAACTGGGGAATTGAAACTTTGAATGTATTTGAGTCGATCCATAACTTTGTACAACAATATCTGAGAAATATATTGTTTTAAAGTCATAACTCGGAAATACGACAATTGAACGTAATTAATATGCAAAATAAAGACGATATATTATTACCACAATTACCGACAATACTAGCACATAAAATGCTTTAGTTTTTGACGGCTAAAATTTATGAAAAATCAAACAATAAGAAAAGACTTCAAAATTTACATCGGAATTCCAGCGAAGAACAATATATTCAAAGCAGGTTATAATCCTATTCTACACCTCGGATTATCCGTATATACCTCTATGACGTCCGTATGTACCCTTAACACAGAGTACGTAATAGATACAGAGATGGAACTAAAGTACCAACTTTTACTTACACTGTACCCTTAATGAAGTTATACCCTTCCCAATTACTTTTATTATCCACGCATGCATGTTAACGTAAGAAAAGTTCTGTTTTCAAAGAGAAATATCAGACATACATAATAATTGAATGGTCTTCTAAGTCTATGTCATTCTATAGCATATAACATTAGTAAAAATTAATAAAATTAAAATTAGTGAAAATTAAAAGATTGTTAAGACAATCGAGTTGTCAAGACAATGCTCAAATCCCTGAGTAAACCGCAAGGAATTTGATGAAAACGTTTCATTTATCATCTTACAACCATTCGAGGAAACAAAATGTATACATACATATCAAAAGTATAGTTGTGAGTCTGGTTAACTGAGCACGGGTTCCTTGTGAAGATTGAACTAGCAAAAAAAAAGAAAACAATGTAAACATCACTGAATTTTCTTTTCGGGGCAAAAGAATGTTGCCAAGAACAGATTTGACTGAAACGTGTTCAGAACAATTCAAATTATGAAAACTGCTTTTGTGAAACTGGCTGCATGGCCTTATCAAAAGAACAAAACAACGAAAATTAAACGAAGTCTAGCTATGTTGATACAAAGACGTTAGATATCGACTAATTTCTGGGAATCCCGAATTCCTTAAATATCCTCGAAACTAATTTGGGCATTGTTTCTCGTCATGTTTGGCTTTTCGTGACAAAACTTACCTTTTAAAATGATATTTTGTTTGAGAGATTGATTTCCACCAACACTTCCCACACATGTATATTTCTTTTGATCCTTATAGCCAATATCATCGATATACAAGAAGTTGTTTTTCTGTCTGATTCGAAGATCTTCATAAAAAAACAACAGATTTCTTCGCTTAATAAAGTAACACTTGTTTATTTACATGCTTTGCAGAAAGTGTAGTAAGTTCAAATCAATATATTACCTGTGCAATTTTTTCCAACACCAATTAAACAATCTTCATCACGCCATTGATAGGTTATAGGATAGCCAAGCACATCAGTGACATCACAGCGCAGTTTAAAATCACTGCCAACAATAGCTTTCACTGCTTTCTTTTTTGGACCATTAAGATACAGAAGAGCTGGTAAATGAGACGGATTAAGACTTTTAAACTTCAGACTGTTCTTACAGCGGGGTTTCATGCAACTTTATGCTTTCTATAATCAACTGCAAACAAAGGTTTCCAAGCTTCTAAATATATAATGCCTTAAAGTAAACCTACCTATAAGGAGTGCAGTGTAGTGAACTTGAAGTACACTTTCTTTGCGGGAATTCTAGTTAATCTTAACTTCTAAACTGCTGCTGGATTTTCAGCATAGGATAGTGACTGTGACTAGTGCACTTTAAATACTGGTCTTTGAAAAGATAAATACCCCTTTTAAGTTTAAATTTGAAACTATGGCTTCTCAGACAGTGTATCGAATGATCTCAAATACACCCTCTTTTTGGTGTATTTCTGATATGTCTTATATACTTGTACTGAAAAAGTAGAACACGTTTCTAACAATATAACTTACTCCGTAATTCAAAATTTTTAGATTCAGTAACTGAATCTGTTTTATCTTTCAGGGCTAATTGTGACTGACAAATGTAAATTCCAGTATCCTCTTGATCGTTGACTGTTACCGTGTGATTGAGGCTCACAATCTGGTTTCCAGTTTTATATTCGACTGTTTTGTTTGCAAGGAGTTTGCCATCTTTTAACCAGCTCAAATTAACATTGAATTTTCTTGCTATTCCATTGTTCTCATTTTCATATGATGCATCACATTTCACGAGAACTGTTTCTTTGTGCCTTGTGCGATTTAGTTGAATTGGGTGTATCTTTGGAATTGCTTTCTCTACAAAGACAAGATCGTAAGTATCAACTTATTGCACATAATAACTTAATATACTGTATATGAAATAAAATATCTCATAAACATTTGAGGTTAACGTCAGTGTATTCTGTTCTTGTCTTCGGTCATCCATACGAACTAGCGTATTATGTATCTTTTAATAATTGCTGGAAAAGTCTGGAAAAGGTGATATGTAAAGACGTCGTTAATAAAATGATGATTTTGTGAAAAAACTGATGAATTGTTGATTAGTTGTGGCTTGGATGTTATTTTCTTTCACTAAATGATGATAATTATCAGCCAAAATTGCAAAAAAGTTGTAACAACCAACTCTACGCTTTTGAGTGGGCCGAATACCTGCAACAGAAAGGATTTCAAAATGTTTTGCTGTCAATAAATGTATCGACAAACCTTTCACAATGTAGACCGGAAAACTCAGTTGGATCCCATTTACTTCACACATAAAATATTTCAAAGATGGTGGACGTGGGTAATCTGGTGGTTTTGATACCCTTAAAATACTTGTCACATTTTCAGCTCCTGAAAAAGAAATTCATAACAGTCTTACTGGGATTCATAAACTACTAAATAGTTTTCTGAAGATGAATTGTATGTGTCTTGTATGAACGATATATTGCAAATTATCTCAAGATGTCTTTTTTTTAGGAACTTTTTTGTTTTGTTTTACGAACTTTGTTTCAGATTTCTTTATTTCAGATTTCTTTATTTCAAGCAATTAAACTTTAATGCCATCCTATCACGACACCACCTACCACTTTCCATTGTGATATTTCCTTTATCATCATTTCCTGGGATAGAAACGTCATCTGGTCCTCGCCACGTGAATTTAGCACCAGCAAGTTCACTGGGTGTTCCCGTTGCAGTACATTGGAACTCAAATGATTTATTTGTTAATAGAATACTTTTTGGTTCGCCTGATTTTGTTAGAGTCGGTACTGACGATACTAAACATCGAATACAAAAAAGAATTAAACAATTGGCTTTCTGTCATAAAGAAGATTGTAACCAACTACAATAAGACCAGCATTCTCTGCAGGCGTGCATGGCTTGTTACGTCATTATGCATAAGGTCTATTGTTAATTAATCAATGAATCTGTTGAAACAGAACAGCGAATTCGAGCCAGGGACTTGCGAAATATTTTCATTTGGTGTTGTAGGAGAGACATGTCCTAGCGTAGTTCGTCTGCTCTTGGAAAATAATCACAGATAATAATACTTCATCATATCAACACAGAGCATCCACGATAAACAAGTGGACAAAGTGCGGTGTTTTTTTCTTGAAATGCGCGCTTTCCATCATGCGGATTTGCGTGTGAACCGAACAGCAAAATATACAGGTCGAATCACAAATTCAATACAGCAGACCACATGCGAAAACGATTACCGCTCATAACTTTTTTCATATCCAATAAACAGAAACTTTCACTGTGAGACGCGTTTTCCCTGTTCCAATAGTCTCGTTTAATTATTAACACAATCGGAAAGTGATGTAGAATTCCACTGTTGACTAATTTATACAAATACTAGAACAAGTTGAATCAATATTAAGAGAGGCTTTTTTCGGAGACATTTTTTGGGACACCCTAAATAGGAATTTAGAAAAAAAAAGTGATTGGAAACTTTCCAGGAAAATTTCCAAATCCCTGGCAAAGTTTCAAGAAAAAGCCAGAACAACGTATTATGAATAGTGGTAACTAGAACTGTCAAGATAAACCTCGTTCTTTATTATAGCTCAGTGCGTTCTTTACAGCTAGTTATTTACCATTACTTCCTAGACCTAGGTCAAATGTCGCATGCGCAAAGACAATAGATCATGTCATTCATGTGTTAGTTTATTATCAATTGTTGAATTTTTTGTTAAACTTTAATTACGTTTGCCTCATAATAAGTGCGATGTTTGAACTGTTGTATACTGTTTTATATTGAACTGTTTTGTTTGACCCTTTTATTAAACCAAATAGGTTCATTGTATGACGGAAACCACGGTTAAAATAGGCTGAATCGATCCCTATACATCGCTAGCTGTCGATGACTTTATCCAGACAAATTCCTAAACTAAACCTTAATTATACAAACATTGCACTTCTGCCAAACTATTTCAGTATTTCACAATCATTCGACATAATAGATCGAGGTGTTTAATTCAACCATGAGTATATTCAGTGAACAGGAAAACATGTTCGTCGCGTGCGCGAGAGCTCCATGTAGTAGCTGATTTGCAAAGTGAAATCAACAGACATAATAACTCGAGGGATATTGTCAGTCTACCGGAATATCATAAGAGTTCGTTGCTAAGATCATCTTGAATTTCTTACCTGGCTGCAAACAGAGAAGGAGAATAAGTCCACAGGCTGCCACTGTAGATATCTGGTGCAAAAGTAGCGTCATTTTCATTTGGAGAAGCTGTTTTGAATGCTTGAAAGCCAACATACCTTCTTGCATTTATATGGTAACCACTCGAATTTATATTCCTGACACCTCTGCTTTGTCAATAGCTCGTGTCACTGTGTCAGCAGAAATTGACACAAAGATATTAAATTTTACGGTCTACGATCGGGCATGCTTGTTTTTTATTTACTTGTACTTTCAGCCTGGAATCCAATGAGCTTCTATGCTTGCAAGCATTTATACTTGTCTGGGTTTGAGACTCTAGGGTGTATTATGCAAGTCATTTCAATAACTTCCGGTCTGACCAATGCATTGTACTATTGTTTAAAATACCCTATTACGACAATAACAAATTACCTTCGAAAATTGAGACTATTGTTACCATAATTAACATAATTAGCCTTTCTCACGATGACGAATATGCCGCCATTTTTGGGGTACTTTTTCTCAAAAACGCAAGCGTGAGACCTCATAACGGCCACAGTCTTTAATTTTAGGCTGGAATTATTCCTCCAATGGTCTGTTGATTCTAAAAAAATTGCTTTTAATGTTGTTATAACTTTTAAAAGCCGTTTGAAAAAATTGAAAGTACCCCAAAACGTCATCGTGAGAAAGGCTAATTACCATTCACAATGAAGACTATACTAGAACACAAAATGAAGTAATCAGAAAACATCTGACCAAAGCATGTTTTGGTCTGAAGGCTAAAATCTAGGAAATTAAATAAAAAAACTATTTTTTAATTATAACATTTGTCTGAAATTCAGACTTTCTAAGGTGTTTTCACGATAAATTAATACTGAGAATCGTATTGCTGTTTTATAAAGATGTCGTTTAATCGTGAATACGCTCATCGCCCGCCAATTCCCACAGCAGAACAGATAATGGAGGATTTCAATTTGGCAAAGGGCAGAGAATTCACAGATCCAGTATTCAATCTGTCAAAGGATGAAATCAGTATTCGTGGAAATGGTGAGTGTTTGAAAACCGGTTCACACTTGCAATTTCGTCAGTTTTCAGTGTGATTTTCTTCTGTTGACAGATGCAAACGAGTGAATAGTTATGAATACTTTGTATAAGTGTCCTTTTTTGAACCTATTCAGTAACTTATTCATTTGATCACATCTATCAAAAGACGATAATTGCATCTAAAATCACAGCAAAAATCACTCATGTGAACTAGCATTTACAATGTTGTACAAGTTAGTTGATTGCAGACACTACTGGATGAGAATCAACCTCATTTCTATAAAGCTAGTGCCTTCAACAGATGGGAAAAATTATCTGGTGTACGCTTGTGAATATGATAGTATTCTAGAAAATCACGAGAGATTTTTTTGTTCCATAGACGATAAGGATGATGACAAAGATTTATCACCGGGCACAAAACAAAAGAAAGGGGAACAGCTGAAAGAAATCGATGACACATATAACAAAGTTGAGGAATTCCTGGAACAGAACAAAGATTTGAGAAAATCAATCATCAAGATGAATGAACTCTCTCAAGAGCTTCATGCAAAGAAGGAGAACCTTACACTGCTTATTTCAAATATAAGTGAAAATATGCAAGAAAAGGAAATATAGAATTGACTTTATGGGACAGAAATAATTTGTTATATTAGCAATTTCACCAAGTTATCAACACAGCGGAAGCCATTTAATGATCAACCTTGAACAACTATCATTGAAGTACCAAAGATACTTTCACAGATTGATTAAAATCAGATAAATTCAGGACTATGTTTGAGTCTGACTCAGGTTTTCTCTTGTGAAAGATCACATGTAAAACTGGTCCAGTTCGTGCTGGTCTCATATTCATCTAGTTATTCAACTATGAACATATTCATCTAGTTATTCAACTATGAACATATTCATCTAGTTATTCATCTAATGAATGCATAAAGCCTGTTCATATTGTTTGTTGCTTTAACTGACAATGAGAATAACAGCATTTGCTCGCTTCAGCCAATGTTCTCTGGAAAATGTATGTCCTGTTTCAAGGCATAACTTTTGCTTGTCAAACTCAATAGCAAAACATGATGGTAGTCATCATAAAATGCAATGAATCAAGACACATCACCCTTTGAGGCACCCCATAATGCATTTTTTGCATCCAAAATGGCTTTGTCAGCTTCTTCATTTAGACTCCGACACTGCTTTAACACATCTGAAAAGAAGCAGGTCTCTTAGGGTTAACTGTCCGATCTTGTATGCAACAAAATTGGATAGCGCAAACAGTAACCCATTTGCTGACAATATGCGCCTTCATTTCCAGATTTACATAATTTTACTTTTAAGTTTTAATTACTAAGTTTTACCATTTATTTATTTGGTATCACGTTTTACCACATGAAGTAACATTTTTAAGCATTTTATTAAAAAGAAGCAATAAGTAAACTCTCTGAGCTCTTTTCAAGTTTCAACAGAGTTAGTCAACTACTTTGTATGAAAGTTGAAATAACACTGGCCCACATTATGTCTGTTACTTACAGAAGTAAGAAATCTCAGGGTTATCCTAAGATGATCAACATTGTGTAGAATTTACCTTCAAATTGTTGTTCAGCAGACCAGGCCATCTTTTTCTCTGTTGCTTCATTTAAGAGTGCTGTAACGGTATAACAAATACAGTGTAAATTGTTTTTATCAAGATACATTAAAAAATTCATTGTATCTCGGTAGAAGTACTACATAACTTTATTACCATTTTGTTTCTTATCCAAAGTATCTGAAAAACCACTTATAAAATCAAAGCTGTCTTCCTCAAGCTCTTTTTCTTCCAATTCTGAAGAGAAATCCCATGAATGTTGTGATGATGTTTTAACAAGAATCATTACAGATATCAAGAAATTACCAGTGAGTTTTGTTTTAAGATCATCACAAACTTTGAACACCTCAGCACCTTCTCCTAAAGTTCTTTCACCTGATGAACATCATAGAATGATTAGTACGCCATAAATTATTGTGTTAGAAACGTTGTAGGTAACCTGACAATATAGTCTTGCTCTGCAAATCTTTTGGTGTATGTATACCATTATTTATTATAAGGCCAGCAAGAGGGAGGAAAAGGGAAGGGCAAAATCTAGGGCAATGCATAGAATACTCATGGAATATTTCAATTGTGAGGGACACAATTGATCACTCACTAGTCCTTGCATGGGCCCGTAGTTTGCGCTTAAATGGCCTCAATTCACTTCTTTAGAAATTCATTTAAACAGTGAATGAACACTGGTCAAATATTAACATGTAGCAGGACTAATTCACCAGGATATAGCAATGCTGGTAGAGAGAAGCAGTATAGAAATAGTGTATGGACGTACCGTCAAGCATAGAGATATTTGGAAGATATTTACAAATTGAAGTCTTGTACTGGGGAAGCGTTTGGCAAACTAGAAAACAAACAAATTGTTATACATGGTACCTGTTCCTGGATCCTGATACCATAGATGCAAAAGATATCCATTTCTTTTTCAACATACCTGGATTGGAGATATTTCTTTCTCTATCTTCTAACCGAAGGCATTCAAGAAATTTCAAATTGACAAGTGGTTGTAATGAGTCAATACTATAAAAATGAAGTGTCATTTTGTGAACCTTCCTAGAGTCTGGTCTTAAAGATATCATTGGTAATAAGTCACAATACCTTGTTATTAGATTTCCTGATATATTTAGCGTCTCAAGAGATTCCAATCCTTCCAGACCAGCTAAAAAAAATCATAAATACATGACTTGGCAAGACACTTATCTCTCATTAGACTGTACAATGCTAATATGGTTATATGGATGGCTTCCATTATAACCATTGAACACTATGGTAGCATCTTTAAATGATGTCTTAATTGCAGTGGCATAGCCAGCCTGAGATTTTGTCCTGCTATGTAAATTTCGAGTTATTATAATTATTCATTTCTTCAGAAATTTATTGTTTTCACAGTCAATGATCACCAGAATATTAGCATAGCGGAATAAATCGTCAGGCTGGCTACGCTACTGCTTAATTGTCAAATCTGGGGCTATAGTTATTGGTTAAAAATAGTACTGCTAATAACGCTACCAGCCAATCAACTGGGGTGACACTTCCATGAAGAGTAGTATTAAATGACAAACATTTGACAAAGGAAAATTATCAGCCTGTAACGTTTCTTACCTAAGTCCGTAACTGTATTGCATGATATATCAAGTGTGGTCAAATCTTTGAGTTGTTCTAATGAAAATAAATAATACTCGATAAATATATAATAACTGCAATATATAGTTCAGGCCAAGGCTATATTAACTGTATCAGTTCTAATCATGCTATTTGGTAAAGATGTCAAGGTTCTTGCACAACTCTTTAAATAACATTTCAAGCAGATATCAGATGTTTCTTTAATCCAAAAAGCTTTGTTGCATATTACCGAGAGGCCTGAGGTCAGATATTCTGTTCTCCGAAAGATCCAGGTACATCAATCCAGAACATTGGCCAATGATCCCAAGATCTTTAATACCTGGAAAGCAATAGAGTGATGGTTTACAAACAATTTCTCATTGCCTGATTGCTAGACATGCTGAAGCACAATATATCCATACCTAATTTATTTGCATTCAACTTGATGATACTTGTCACATCAAATTCACCAGTTATTTTCTTCAGCATGTCACAAGTTATTACGGAATCTAAAAATTAAGAACCAGTAGCTTGTAATGCGTATGGTATGTTGGCTGGATATATACCAGCTACAACCATACAGGCACATGTTCACATGGTACTTAGGCTTAGGATGAGTTTGAATCTCAATCAACAGGTTTAAGGCAGTAATAAATAAAAGGCAAATATTAGACCATTGATATAGTTATTGAAATATAATATAGGCAATAATATATATGAAACATGTACATATATGCAAATTTAGTGTTATACCTGGATTTACACAACAAAGTTCTCAAAACTACATTTAAACTAACTTAAAAACTAATTCAGGTCTAGAAATGCAATGGGATGTCAATTAACGGTGCAAAAAACAGAAATATTTTACATAACAACAGTACCTGTATTCATGCTGACTTGTCAGACTTTCCCGCCATGTTTTTGCAAATTCGCATCCTTCAAAACGTCTTTGCGCAAAAACACCAAAAAGTTTTGTAAAAGTTTATATAATAAAAATTAGATTTTGAAATTATTGTAAAGGTAGTGCATAAAAATATTAACTTAACAGTATATCTGTTACATCAAACAGCACTTGTAAAACTTGCAAGACAGAAAATCAATATTTACCCTCACAATAAATATAACAATATACATGGACACTTAAATCCCTAAAACTCAATTATTCGAAACCAAAAAGTTCTATAAAGGCGATAATCGAAAGGAAATGCACTTTGCAAAGAAGGTTTCAAAATCTGTAAGGATCTTTTGTCATTTAAATTACTTTTTAAATATATTAATTACATGTAGACCACGGCCTCTGCCTTTGAAAGATGCTATTTTAGCTTGTCGTTTTTCACGTATACAAACTGCAATTAAATTTTAAAATTTTTATTTTTTCTGTCGACGAGAAAAGAAGCATCCAAATTGTTAAAGAATGCAAGAGTTTATTGAATTTTTACCCTGGAATGAATATAATTTTAGTGAATTAATGCATTAAGATGGTTTAAAACACGACATTATCATCGCTTTTTATTATTTTTGAGGTTAAATTTTTATACCTGCGATTTCTCTATGGCCGTGCATTTTGAAAGAGGCACAGCACACGTAGATTGGTGCGAACCAAACTACGCAATTTCGCCAAATATCGCAGAGTTTTTTAACACGGTAAGAGCTTTTCTATATTGCTGTTGCTGCAGTACTATGATCATACAATATCATTGTTCTTCAACACCATACATGGAAAGCGATATAAACAAATAATTATGAGATATTGTTTCAGAAATTTATTTTAAAATCATTTCCCATGGATAGCAGACAATTTAGACGTATAGTGTTCGACAACAACAGACTGATGTACCATAAAAAACTTCGAGGTTGCATGTACCAAGATTGGACTATCATTTAAGTTTAGGTCACACATAAGCTTATGGCGTTTTGAGATAATTATGGTTAGGTTAAATTCAAAGAGATTGGGGCTCTAAAAATATTACATTATCCGTATAGAATTGTAAAGCTTTGCTATAATTTTCAGCTACGGTTGAACTAAACATACTGCTGCAGATGCATGTTGCTTGAACACATATTATCTTTGACCATGCAATGTTTCTCATAACAAGCTTAGACACATTATACATAATACAAGCTACAACCTTGTTGAATCATCAATGTTGATGCAATCATGATGCAATGTTGTTGTAACAAGTTGCAACAACATTGATCATTCAACAAGCTTAAACAACATTGTTAACAATACTACAATACATGTAATGATATTGTATATATTTTTTATAACAGATAAGCAATGTAATTTATTTTGTGATACCTCCACTGAACATGTGAGTATTAGAAATATCATATTTCACTCATGGACACATACCAGATATGGCTTGACTCTGCTTTCCTCTGATTATCTTTATTTCACCATCTTAAGCTATTTATTCTGGGAATACTCAAGCAAAGTTGGAAGTAGTTTCAACATTGTTTGGATTCTCATGATGGTCATTGGAGCAAGTTCGGCATACTTTCATGCAACCCTTAGCCTTGTTGGTCAACTCCTTGACGAGGTAGCCATACTGTGGGTCTTGCTTGCTGGTTACGCTCTGTGGACACCAGAATGGATGATACGCTATACTGGAATTTTTAAATCGAGGTGAGATGGTGCAGTGGTCCATGGCTAGAAGGTTCGTTTGTTCCATTCCTTGCTAATATTTTTCTCCTCAAATCCTAGAAATGGTTTTAAGATAGCAGCCCTGGTGGCTGCTGTGATTGCAACTTTACTTGGGTTTGTCTACCCAGCTGCAAACGCCATCGCCCTGATGATGCTTGGAGCTCCTGGTGTACCAATCTTGTGGAAGGAAATCCAGAGGTAAAAACAAGTCTTCTTTTGACAGAAACAAATTCATACAACTGGACAAATATTGCAACAAGCAGAAGAATTGTATTGTATATTTCTACTGTACTACATTGGATTTCTTTCGTTCAGATGCAAAAGTACCAAGGTAGTCAAGCTTGCATATATTGGCATCTTATGGTGGTTCTTGGCTGTATCATTATGGTTAAGTGACCGTCTGTTGTGCGACATCTGGAAGTATCTATCATTTCCATACTTTCATTGTGGTTGGCACGTCTTTATCCTACTTGGTTCAAACATTGGTTGCGTATTGGGGTGTTATTTTTACGCACATTCTGAACACAGAGAGCTTAAATCTGAACTGAGTTTTTGGCCAGTGATGCTGGGAACCTGGGGCTTGCCTTACATTGCAGTTCAAAAAAAACCTTTGCAAAAACAAACTTGAATATATTGATAGACTTTCCTTGTACAGTTAATGTATATTATAGATTAGGCATGGGTTAGAGATATGTACATTTAGCAGACTTTTTTAAAAATAAAGATTAGAGAGATACTATGTAATAAAGATGTCAGTATTAGAGAGAGATGTCTGTATTGGAGAGAGATGTCTGTATTAGAGAGATGTCTGTATTAGAGAGAGATGTCTGTATTAGAGAGATGTCTGTATTAGAGAGATGCCTGTATTAGAGAGAGATGTCTGTATTAGAGAGATGTTTGTATTAGAGAGAAATACCTATATTAGAGAGATCTGTATTAGAGAGTTGTAAGGTATAAATCCATCTTTTACAAATGAGCAATAATGTAAATTATACATATTCTTAATAATTATCAACAATATGTAAATTGTAACATAAACATCAACAAATAACAAATAAAGCAATGCGATTGAATCTTCCATCGTATTCAACGTAAAATTTCTCATTTCACGTAGAAATTTCTCATTTAAGATTTCTCTTGAGCCCAACCCTGCAACCTCCCGCATATTCATATTTAAAAGACAACTGTAGAGTTCGTATATGGTATAAAACAATATACAACTCTTTATTTAATACGATCTAAATCAATATATACAAAGCGCAACTATAATATGAATACAATAATTTCTTTTAATACGATTTTATATTATTATGGGCATATATTATTATGGGCATATATTATTATGGGCATATATTATTATGGGCATATATTATTTTGATTATTCGAATTTAGGTGTTTTTAACTTGGGTACTCCGCACTGCAGTTTAAGTTATTGTAAGTGCATTGACTCTATAACTCGTTTCTTTTTTTCAAATTCATTGAGCAAGCCCGCCTTGGTCACGTTTGAGAAGAAGATTTTGTAGAAAATCTTTCTTTTTGGCCTAAAATCTTGGTTAGATTTTAAACAACCAGTTTTCATACCGGGGTAGGCGATGATAGAGCCATCTTTTAGAATAGATCCTAGTTTAAATCAATCACTTATTAAAGGGTAAAAGTTTCTACAACAACGAATGGATATGATTGGAACAACAAAACCCAATAATTCCAATTTCACACAAGAAACAGCAGTGCGGATCATGTCCTAAACTACAAAAATACATCTTTATTTACAAAAAATCTCTACTTCTTTTTGTCTTTTTGTCAAAGTCTCTGAATTTGGTTTATCGTAAGAGCTTTCACGACTAAACGATGCCAAGTTCTCTTAGAGCAAAGGCAACTTCGTACGCATTTTTACACTTAAAGTGCTTGTAAGTTCCAGGATTATTTCCAATATATATATCACACAATATTTTCTTAGAATTTTCCATAAATATTTCTATATAAAGTTTCATTAAAATACTCTTTTCAATTTCCAATTTTTATTACGTTCTTTTTCCGAGTCACTTGAAGTCTCGAATAATTTCGACCGCTTTTTCCCATTTTTTTCAAATGTAATTTCTCAGTATGCAGATTGGCACGTGATTTGGTCAAATACGGCATTCCAATTTAGCGGATGAACGCAACGGGTCTCGTAAAAACGCAACGAATTCAATGGGTCACGAAACGGTAGAACACCCACGCCAATTCCGAACGCAACGATTGCAGATTCTCTGCCGAAATTTCTGTCGCGAAAAAGCATTCGTAAGCAACCTCAGTAAAGCGTCGCCCGATAACAAATGACAACTGAGGTCTTTGCCTCATGACTGCACTGCGCAAAGCATATCAACACTTGTCTGATCTCATCTAATATAAAACGCTGGATATTGCAACTATATATCTGCGAAAATCGAAGCCTAGATTAATGGACTTTCCGAGACGATAAAACGATAAAAACACAACCTTATGGGGATTGCTCTGAACATAAAAACCATCTAACTAGGGTTTTATATTGATTCTTTACAATTTGAGCTGTGTTTAAAGTTCATTAATTCAGGCTTGGTTTTCGACAGGTACAGTTCTTCATCCAGTGGATTAACAGATAAGTGTACTTACTAAATTCTGACGAGAAAGAATGTCCTAAGCCCCAGACATGATGCTTTCCAAGAAAGGCGAGACTGTTAAAGTATAATACGCCTGTAAAAAAAGAGCAGATTCGTTCTAATAAAACCAGCAGGGAGCAGCGTGGCAGCGTCTTCAAACAACTTCACATCAAATGTGGTAAAACAATGTCCTAAAACACACCGAAAAACTTCTCGACGTTTTGACCTGAGGGCCTAGCTTCGTCAGGAGAGTTAGTAAAGCCCTTTGGTCGAAACTTTGAGAACCGTTTCAGTTCATTTTGGGCAGTTGTTATACCACATATAGAAAAAGAGCCGCTATATATTTATTTGTGTAAACTATTAAGTAAATCTGGGTTAATTCACAGGCAGATTCTGGATGAACCTTGGCAGAAATCTTAAAGGTTAAATTTTTGACTTACTATCTTAATTCTCTGCTTGATCGCCTCAAACTTGTCCTTTGAGTGAACTGCCCGAGTGACGCAACTTAAATCGAATGGTTCTAAATTGAAGGAGTTGAAATATTGCCACGTTACGGCCTCGTGAAATATTCATGCAGAGATTGCACACTTCAGCAGAGATTGCACACTTTAGCCAGGGTAACTTCAATGTGTCAACACTATTACCTTCAATACAAATAAATTTTTTATGCCAAACTCTTGATGTGTCCTTGGGATATTTATTGCCCTGTCTTACGCTGATAACATCATCATTCCAACTAAAGAGAAACAATGATTTACTATAGCTTTATAGTGCAGCTATCCAGTAGAAATAAAGTTATGTAGTTTAGTTTAGGTTTCCTCCTGTGGTAACATTGGATTAATATGAGATGATCCCTACTGGACCTCTATGAAGAACAGTTTAGAACTAATAGAGCTATCCAGTATAAATAAAGTCAGTTTAGTTTAGGTTTCCTCCTGTAGTAACACAGGATCAATAAGAGATGATCCTTACTGGACCTCTAGGAAGAATAGTTCAGAACTGATAGAGCTATCCAGTATAAATAAAGTCAGTTTAGTTTAGGTTTCCTCCTGTAGTAACACTGGATCAATAAGAGATGATCCTTACTTAAGATACCATCACGCCAGTGCTATTCAAAATCTTCAACGTACTTAAATTGTTCAGCATAATACTGAAAGAACCCAAGCAACAACTCCCCCAGTGTCCCGTGATTGTTTGAACTAAAAACAGGAGAAAGCATGTCGTATGAACGAACTTCCATACTCAATTTCCATACTCATAAACTGAATTTAATCATTATCAATCCTACACTAGATCATATTCTTAAGCCTAATCTTTATCCTAAACCCAATCTTAATCCCAAACCTAATCTTAAACCGAATCTTCATCCAAAACTTAATCTTAATCCTAAACCTAATCTTAAACCGAATCTTTATCCTAAACTCAATCTTAAACCTAAACCTGATCTTAATCCTGCCTCTTAATTTCAACCCAACTCCTACATAGCTGTAATGAGATTTCTGGGACTGAATTATTGGTTCTTCCAATAATTCAGTCCCAGATCTACACCTACCTATTATGGATAATTCTTACAGTGGGGTTCTCAAGAGAGAGATCGTAGATATTCCGTGACTCATCAAAGATGTTCTAAATGAAGATTGGAAAACTTTAAGGAATAGCTCAATAATATGACGTGTAACTTTGAGCATTATTAATGACAGAAAATCCACCCACCGGGTAGGCTATCTGGAGACTTGGAACCACTGCTGGTTTACATGGGTCTAGAATTTAAGAATATATGAGTAAAAATTTTCCGATAATGCAGCTCTATCAGTTCTAAACTGTTGTTCCTAAAAGTCCAGTAAGGATCATCTCTTATTGATCCAGTGTTACTACAGGAGGAAACCTAAACTAACTTTATTTATACTGGATAGCTCTATCAGTTCTCAACTGTTGTTCTTAGAGGTCCAGTAAGGATCATCTCTTATTGATCCAGTGTTACCACAGGAGGAAACCTAAACTAAACTAAACTTATTTATAGAGGATAGCTCTGGTTCTACCATACCTTGTAAATAATGTAGGACCATCATAACAATGGAATAACTTGATAATGTTCCTTTGCTTGCATCATTTATGCCATGTCTCTTTGCCCATTTCTTCACAATCATTATCAAAGGTTGAACTCTCCAGTCATCTAAAAATTGCAGATAACAATCTCAAGCAAAAATTACATGCACAATTTCCCAATAAGGGCTATTTCCCAAGAACTAACTAAAGAAAGGGATAAAAGGGAAATAGATTATTGGAACCATCTGACCAGGTGGGTCCTGGTAGTCCTGTGATTGGGATTTCAATTTACTAAAAAATGTGTTCTATTAATATACACTTACAACCACAGTAGCCTTGTAATAGGTGGGTATTCTTGATTCCCTATTTGAAAATAGTTGTAATTAGTTGTAAGACTACCTCTGTCTAATCTATGAAATAAATGATCAAAACTTACTACAGTATTGTTGATGTTAATGTCACATTCACATTGACTGAAAAAAAAAGAATAAAAGTGGTATCTTAACATTCAAAATGTTGATACAATATGTGCACGAATGAGCTATAGTTCACAAGATGATTTCCTGAGATGGAAGAAATATATGCTTGCTCACCTTTTAGTATCTCTAAATTTTAGAATGGGTACTTTGGCTTGAATAACATGACATTTTTGAAGGTATGCTGTTAAAAAAGTCAAAAGAGAAGAAAAAATACTTGATTGTATAAAAAAAATACTCAGTTGTATATATGTAAGATTCAAATATGATGTTCTCTATTTGAATCTAAATTTACATGTTGCAGAATCTGATTCAATTTTGCATCCTCACTTGACTGGTTTTGGCAAATGCCAGTCTGTTACACTCACCAGATCGTTTCAACATCCCATTTAGCTGATGTAATATCTTTATGGCTTCATATCTTTGAACAATCTGTAAGCAATGAATATCGAGATTATGACCAAACTATAAAAGGTTTTATGCAGCTTGAAAAACAAAGTCAGGACAACCATTTTCATAGAACAAACCGGTCTTTTTTCAGAAATTAGTAAGCACAAGTCAATGTCGCTCTCATTAGTTGCCAAGCCATTGCAAGTTGAGCCACAGATATGCAAAGAACATTCTAAAAAAATTCACAATTTTTTAGGTTTGGTGAAGCTAGACAAAGGAATTAATGCTTTTGCCAGATGTCTTTCTACCAAATAGGAAAATTATCAGGTAATTTTCTATGGAAAGATTGATCTTCTGGAGGAGCTTTTGTCAAGAGCGAGAGAAATGGTTTTCAATTCTGTAGCTGAACTACAAGACATGACAGCTAGGAAACTGGTAGTGAAAAATATTAGACATAATCAGTCTGTTCCCAGAACCATTGTTTGGGCAATAAACAATTCACTATTCTAGTGTGTCTTGATCCAAAGTGCTATACTTTTCCCTACATGGACATCCTAGCTGTGCTGTTACCTGGAAATGCTGTTCTAAAAATGGACAACAGGTAATCTCTTAAGTGTAGTTTTTGCTCATAACGAAAGGGAGCTTGTCTTGTGGCGAGATAGTCATCCAAAATCTGTTGGCTCAGCTATAAATATGGCAAACTGTTACACAGGGGGATAGCTAGTGATAATGATGATAGGGAAGGTGATAATGATGGTGAAAAACATCATGTAGGGGTGATGTAGGTTATTGATCCATATATTACATAAGTACGAAAACCCAATGAAGGTCTTTACATTAAGATGGCAAGGGTTCATATAATCACACCATGCAAACCTAAAACCTAGGCAAATAGCACCACTAAAGCCATTAATATGCCCACAGTTATGATATAACTTTCATCAAAGAACTATACCCTTTTCAAGCTTCTCTCTTCACCCTTCATTAGTGGTTTGGGTGGGGCGACAAATGGACTAAAATGTAACGCTCTTGCTGTAGATACGTCTCCCTCTGACGCCGGCCGCTTCTTTTTTGGATCCGGATGCCAACCAGGTGTGGACTCAGAGACCCTACGTTTACGTCCTCGGCTTACATTCAATGTTGAGGGAATGTGCGGCAGGTTAGCGGGTGAGAACCTAGGCCAATTACCCTCTTGGCCAAATGGTACAACATTGGACATATATCGCCGAGGTTGGTACTTCTGAACGCTACCATTTGGTTGTGATCGTCGATGGAGGTTGAAACGTGGGTACTGATTGTTTTGAACTGAAGCCATGCTCTACCTGCAAGAAATTTTGAGAAAAATGGTTTCATATGGAAGTCCTTGACAAATTGCATTGCATTGGTGATAGTTGTCTGATAGTTTGTGAGCATGATAAATTAAAATATAAATCAATGTTTGTTTTCTGAAAAAACTAAAGTATATCTTCTAAATATTCATATCGACATATCGTTATAACAAGACCAAGCAAGATAACTTTATTAGCGAGTAGCAAAAAGCGAAAGCAAAAACTGTTATATTAAACTCGAGTTAAAAAACACTAAATCTATACAATTTTCATAAAAAAACTACACTAAAGAATAATTGCTAACATAAATACCAATAACCTCACCTAATATCGCCAAAAAAGCGATAAAAAAGCTTGAGTTTTCGACCAAACCGCAAGCTCCGGGCCAATTTGAGACGGGCACCTCGAAAAACAAACGAAAATATTTCGCTTCTTTTTCAGCTTCGGGTCTATTTCAAACCCCAAGACTCAAGAATAGATGTCTTTGTATGACCGCAATAGGTTTGCAAGTTTCTTTACTGAAAATCTCAAGTTGTAGAACGCAATTTGAAAAGGATATTTTTGCAAAAGAACGAACGCCTGACATTTTATGAGGACCACGACTGCAAATGCGCTAGATCGATGTGCGGGCCAATGAAATGAGAGCGCTGACACATCAAACCAAGGACGCAGCTTAGTGCCAAGTGCCACAGCAAGCCCAGGATAAACTGCATAACGAGCAGATTATAAGGGTGATGGGGGATGGATGGGTGTGATCTGTAGGTGGGGTCTGTTCTTGCAGCAAATACCAAACAGCTTTAGTCATTTACCCAATTCTAATCATCAAGTAATATCGTTAATCATAAATGTTTAGCGATTTCTTATTAGATGACATAAGCACCTGAACAAATAGGTTGCTTAACATGACAACATAAGGGTCAGAAATCGAACCTACGCCAGTGATGCTGGTGCAATACTCTTGCCACTGAGCTACAGAGAGGTGCTGACATAATACAGGATACTACAGTTTATAGAAATAAGGTTACTACATTTATTTTTACACAAGTATTTCAAGTGAAGTGAAAAACACAAACAGCTTAACGTAAGCCTTAAATTTGTTCTGTTTAACTGAACTACAACTCCAATATTTAATCGAATAATCTCTGACCGGTTGCACGAAAGCTGAATTGGGCTATTCACGGATAGCGGGTTTTTCAATCGCTCTAAAATTGCCCGTGTTTTGGCACAATTTGATCTGAACTCGTTCCTATTCTTGAAGTCATATTTATACAACTTTCGTACACCCGGCCTCTTGGGTTTAGACTAGGATTTAGTTATCTTTCCCACATCTATTAATGTTGAGCCGGCCGAGTTAAGAACTCTCCTATCCACGAACGTTATGTAACTATCTGTAAAAAACGACTATCTTAAAATACATTATGGACCACCATAGAGTAACTTTTGCTTCGCTCTCTCTACAGTTCTCATCATCGTCTCCTGATCTATTTTCTTCATTTTGAACAAATTGCTAGCTTCCTTTACATCCCTCTTGTCCACGTTCCTCGCGTGGTCCAGGTATATTTCTTCCGCCTGTTCAGCTGATATATTGTCAATATGCTGAATATAATATATCATCGCCTAAAAGGAAGAAACGCTACTGTATTACTGGGCCAAATTGACGAAACAGGATTGAATTAGCTTAGGTTTCCTCCTCTACTAACTCTGGATCAATAAGAGATGATCCTTACTGGACCTCTAGGAAGAACAGTTTAGAACTGATAGAGCTATCCAGTATAAATAAAGTTAGTTTAGTTTAGGTTTCCTCCTGTAGTAACACTGGATCAATAAGAGATGATCCTTACTGGACCTCTAGGAAGAACAGTTTAGAACTGATAGATCTATCCAGTTTAAATAAAAATTAAAGTTAAGTTTTAGTTTAGGTTTCCTCCTGTAGTAACACTGGATCAATAAGAGACGATCCTTACTAGACCTCTAAAAAGAGAACAGCGGCTTCTTAAGAAATTGGACCAACCTCTGGCAACCAGACTTCAAAGACATAGTCTAACGTTACGTAAGATTGTTTCGCTTCTGCATCTAACCACATTTTCAGTACTCGCACGATTTCCTCCCCCTAGAAAAAGAGCGAGTGTCGTGATACAAATCAACTCAAAACACATGCAGATACACTGATGATGAATTTCATCGCTACGCAACTGACCGTCTGCTCGTCCTGTATTGGACCAAAGCCTCCTTTGTGTTTCAAAGCGTCTCTTTCGCTCACTCTTCCGTATTTGAAAGTTTTGTGGCGAAACGAGGGCACTTCCTCACGATAAACAGCCAACAGTCTTTGCTATTGAAAGAAATCTGATGAATTACAAACATCAATTTCCCAACACGTCTCATTTGGCTTCAAAAAACAGCGATTTTTTGCCACAAACCTTACAAAGATGAAGCTCATTCAATACATTTCCATATCGACTGACGTGCCTAAAAAGTTTCAGAAAAGATTAAGCTTTTCTTCTGTATTTAGGGAAGAATTAAAGCAGAACTTTAGCGCTGTTAAGGTGTTTATGAAGGATTATTTTCTATTTCTTACTCTCTCTTCCTCTCATGACAGGCATTTTCTTCGCTTTGAGCATCCATTTCTGAGCTATCAAAACCGCTTTCATCTTCTTCGCTTTTCTCAACCGGTTGCTCGGATTCACTGACCGGTTTACATACCGGATCAACCGATTTTTCTTGTTCCAGTTTGCTGACGCCATCGTCGTCGTCGTCGCTGGAGTCAGACGCTTCGTCTGAATACGAAAGAAAATATTTAAAAATATATAAAACTGTCTTTTTTCAGTAAAATCACTTTGATGCAGTAATCAGTACAGTTGACAGTTTATTATAGTTACCTTCTAACATATCATCCATCGGAATGTCGTCTTTCTGAAAAACTAGAATAAATACATTACGATTACACCTAGTTGGCTGGCAAAATAATTGGTTTGCAAGATCGATGCAACTCTTAAATTCGCTTTCTGATGTTAAAGCTCACCGCGTCTCAACAGGATTTCCTCTGCTTGTTCAACTGCTCGGTTGAAATCCTCGATCAAGTGCGATTGTATTTCTTGGTTCTAATAATCCCAAGATAACATAGCAGTTATCAAAATTTGGCAAATTAAAAAATGAAAACACTTCATAAAGAAATACTTCTGTTTTGAAATTAAGCAAAGCGCTTTATTGTCATGTATCTGTCAGAAGGAAGCTGTTGTGATAACTCCGAAAACTCACTTTTAAACGCAAAAACGTCTCTTGATCTTGTGAAAATGATTGTACATTCTTTTTAAGTATCTTGATGCTGGAGAATACAACAAAAAATACTCTATACACTATGTTTTAATAAGTCAAACCATAGCACGAAGGCATACGTTTATCTCACTAACCCTTTTTCACCGGATTTCGGCAGGAAAATAATGTTGTAATGTGTTTTCTGTTTTGTGCACGGTGACTTGCCAACCTTAGAAGGAAATATCACGTGAAAATTACTGCGGGTTTTCTTCATTTAGAAATGCATCGATGGTAAACGGAATTTCCAAAATTTTGACGTAAATACCTGCGCTGGCCATGGGGGAAACTTCATGTGTTTTGCCCAGACAACATCACCACGTTTAAAGTTCTTCGTAGCTAAATATTTTGGAAACAGTTTTGAAGATTTCATTTTAACTTGTTCACACTGGATAGCTCTATCAGTTCAAAACTGTTCTTCCTAGAGATCCAGTAAGGATCATCTCTTATTGATCCAGTGTTACTACAGGAGGAAACCTAAACTAAACAAACTTTATTTATACTGGATAGCTCTATCAGTTCTAAACTGTTCTTCCAAAACAGAAGACAACGAAAATTCGTTTCTAACTGACCTGGAGCTGGTGAGAAAGCTTCTGGTAAAGAATCGTCATCAGAACTACAGTCATTGCTTGCGTTGTCTAGGATGAAAAAAAAGGGCAAATACAAAATCTAAATACTCAAATACTTCTGATGACAGAAAGGAAAAAAGTGAGAAATCTTCACCTTCATTATCGCTGTTGTTGCCATTTTCACTCTCATCTTTCGGGCCTAAGTTTTCCAAACCTTTTTCGTTGTTATTGCATCCAGAAAACTCGTCCGCTGTTTCGCTTGCTACAAGACTGTCACTCACGCTTTGCGTCGCCAACAAAGCACTGGAGCTATCGCAACAAGCGGAATCGTTTAAACCGTTTAAAGAGTTGTCTACAGGCTGTAAAGATGTCTCTGTGTGAGTACTACTTTGAGTAGCTTCGATATCTTCGTCATTGTCTTTATGGTAAAGTAATCTATTTTGAATGTCAAGAACATTGGAAGAAGAATTTAGTGTCTTCAAACCACCGGATATCGGCTCCGTAGAATCTCCTTCGCAGATATCTGTGTTCAGGTTTTGCTTTTCTTCTTTGAGTATTGTCGTTCGAGGTCGTTTTATCTCCTTTTCGAGTTCTGTATCTTCATTTTCAAAAGACTCCCCAGTTCCTTCACTGTTCCTAGCTATTTTCGAAATCGTATCATCCAAATTATCAACGCATTCTTCAACGATAGTATCTAATTTATCATTGCGTACATTTCCAATATCGTTTTCACCGACAAAACAATCAGAATCAGATTTACTTCCAGAAAGTTTACGTGGACTTGACCGCCTTAGAGATCCTGCTTTGCTTTTCGAACGCGTTCTTCGTCTGTAAGACGCTTTACAAACAGTATTTTCAGTAGATACAGTTCTTTGATACGTTCTCCTCTTTCTTTTGACATTCAATTTTGTTTCTTGTGAGGAATTTCCAGCCATTTCTTGTTCATTTACCTTCGACGCGCTATTTTTTCTTCTGCGAGGCCTGTCAAGGTTTTCTGATTCGACTGTATCCTCAAATTCATTTAAACTAGGTTTATCAGACCTATTTCGTCTGCGTTTTGAGCGAATTTCCCCGAAATGCTCTTCACTTTTAACAAGCAATTCTTTTTCGCAAGGATTCGTCTTGGGTTTTATTTTTTTAAATGGAGACCTGGTCTTTCTGGCAAAGTTGCAGCTTTCGTTTTGTGCTGTTTCGTTTTGTTTAATGCTTGAAGAATCTTTGTTATCAAGACTTGTGTTTAGTTCTTCAGCGATAGTTGGTAAAGTGTTTCTTTTTCTTTTTCGTCGGCCAACTTTGAACTTAGATTTATCTAAAATGAACAAGGATTGAGGTAACCAGCAAGGTGGAATGTCAAGGGGATGTCAAGAGGTAATCAGTGGATGACAAAGGGAGGTCAAGTGAAAACCAAGAGGTAACAAAGGGGTGACAAGAGATTACCAAAGGGTAACAAAGGGGTGACAAGAGGTTACCAAGGGGTAACAAAAGGGTGAAAAGAGGTAACCAAGGGATAGCAAAGGGGTGGCAAGAGGTAAACAAGGGGTGACAAGAGGTAACCATGGGGTAGCAAAGAAGTAAAAACAGGATGACAAAGAGGTAATGAAGGGATAACAATGAGTAACAAAGGGGTACAAAGGGTATAACATAGGGATAACAAAAATATGGATCTTACCATGCAATTTTATTAATGTCTCTGCTTCTCGAATTGCAGACTCAAAAAGAAGTCGTTTGCCTTGCATCTTTAAACCTGCGAGTAAAATATTTGAGAACAACTTACTTTGATATATTAAGTTATATATTACTATGAACTATAGCATAAATATACACGGATGCTTCATAAGACATTAATCACAATGCAATCACTTACGTCGACCTTTCTTCATAAATGCCTCTTTACGTTCGCATTCAAAAGCTTTGACATTTGATGCATTTTTGATTGCATCTCTAGAAAATACATGCAGTTGAGATGAGTTAGTACAAAAGCATAGTACAACCTTTAGAGATTCAACGCTTCACCTTTAGCGAATAATTGTTAAATAGTGTGGGTCCATGATGAAAACTTGAGCCTCAGTTTTATATCTTGCATTTTGGTTACATCGGATACGAGGTTTATTATTTTTAGTTTGAATTGCATTCGACGAAACCAAAATGCAACATATATAAATCAGACCTTTGTTGAACGACAAAAAATAGGGTAAAACTTACACAGTATTCTCTGCAAAATAGTTAACATATGCAATAGTGGGTTTTCTGCTTTGGTTATCCAAATCATGGTCCGGTTCAATGACCTGGAAGAAATTTCAAGGGGGCATTATGATTATCCGTGGGCAGACTTTATGAGCAGATGGGTTGTGGGTGTCAAATATATGCTGAAATGTTTGTTGCCAAACCAACTATATCTCTGCAATACTAGCCTAAACTATAAACATTCATCTTACTTAAAATATCTCGCAATAAAATACAAAGTCGTGCTTCCATAGGAACACAATGTAAATAGTAAAAAAATGCTATCAAAAATCAAAATACTATGTACATGTTCTAGGTAGTAAGTAGTAGGTTCTATAAAGCATTTTTTACAAAATATTTCTAGCTTTAAACCTACAATGATTAAGAGCCTTTTACACATACAAATACGCTGTCTTGGCAAAAGGAAACAACTGTATTCAGGAGAAGTTTAATACGTTTACGTGCAACAATTAGATTTATAAACAGTAAACAGTACGAATACGATTGAGAAAATGTCTACCTTCGCAGGCCAAAAAATCTCTCTGGCTAAGGAAGATTTTGCCCAAACTATGTCATCTACGGAGAACATTATGTGGCATACTTGGAGATAACATACAACTGCAGATCGCTTGATAAAAAGCGAGGTTTGAAAGTGGAAAGCGATTATTTACCAACGCTTTGATTCCGTTCAATTATAAATGTCTTGATTGTGGAATATTTTCAGGGAGGAGAGACTTCCATTTTCTCGAGATACGGGGGGAGCGCAGATTTGGGAGGTGGCGCAGATTTGGGAGGGGGAGAGTTCTCCAATTTCTCAAAATTGATACGGGGGGGGATAGCACAAACTCAGTTGACAGAGCGTTGGAGACTTGGAGTTATAGCAAACCAAAGATCGCAAAATACAATATTAGTATTAATATTATTATTCAGCACCATCACAATATTAATTCACCCGAGTCATTCATAGAAAAAAACACACAATTGTATTATTTGACCTTGACAAATCTTTTCAATAACTAAGTCGAGAATATCGGTATATTTAGTCCACCTGATTTCCAGAATTTACTCTACAAAGATACTGCATGCGGTTATACAACCATCTAAACACCTTATAGGTTACATTAGCTCGTATGTTTTTGAGAAAAAAAAGAGAGTATATAGAAAATTTTTTGAGACTGAAAAAGATTTTATAGATATCAAAAATTATGGGTTGGATCTTCCACGAGTTAAACTATCTTGTCTTAACTCTTCTATGTGTTTTGTTCTAATCCAGTCTTCTTTTAAAAGGTGTTTTCGTCCACGGCTTAAAGCCACAAGTCTGAAAAAAGCATTAAAGATGTACAATATGGTATGCAAGTCGATCGTTGCTTGAATAAAGCATTGCTCTTACCTTGCAAGGCTTAGAAGGGAATGGAATCTTTCTACAGAAATTCCACTTGGGTTTGCTTGCCTCATTTGAACGAAATCCTCTTCTATGAACTAAAATATGAAACTTTTTATAACAACAAAACCGCAAAAAGTAAACTTTGAATCTTCTCACAACTTTTAAAGCAGATTCTAAACGTTTTCGAGAAGTGATGCGCTTATTCATGGTAAAACTTTGATTCAAAATTCTCCATGCAGAACATCAGAATGCCTACCTTTTGAGCATCATGGCTTATTTCATATTTTATAAGGCGTGCAAGACCAAGATATTTTCTCACATTGTTCACAAAAGTTTCGTCAAAGTTTTGACAAATTTTCTCGAAAGATACTGGAGGTTTCTTGGAGACAATTTGGATGCGAGAGTCAGCCTACGTGAATGCAAAGGAGAGAATATTCATTGCATGTTTTCCCAGGTTTCAGTGATTCTTATTATTATTGTTGTTTTGTTCGTCAGAAGAAGTGGAATTTGTAGCATCTTACCTGTAATAAGGATTTTCCTTCGGACAATATAAGGATTACCTGTAAAGTTTGTATAAGATTGACATGATACATACTTATGGCAATTAATAAGCAATGGTTGAGAATATCAACTTTTTATACGAAGCAAGAGTGCAAACAAGAGTCTTGTAGTTGCAAACAAACATACCACGTTTGTGAAGAAATCCGTTTTATAAAATCCAAAATCATATTGTAGCTTCTGCCATGAGATGAGGTGGTTTATTGCAGCAATATTTTGAACTCCTTTACGAAAGAAAAAAGTGATTCTTGAGACAACTTGAAGGTCAGAGCTATGAAACCTGGTCGATATATCGTTTCAACCAGAGGAATTCCGTATAACACCTAAGATTACGATGATTTTACCATTATTATCAAGTTGACCTTCTTCCAAGGCTGTTTCATCGATTACAATACGAGTATCTGAAAGTATTTAGAGCATATAAAGTTAGTTTAGTTTAGGTTTCCTCCTGTAGTAACACTGGATCAATAAGAGATGATCCTTACTGGACCTCTAGGAAGAACAGTTTAGAACTGATAGAGCTATCCAGTATAAATAAAGTTAGTTTAGTTTAGGTTTCCTCCTGTAGTAACACTGGATCAATAAGAGATGATCCTTACTGGACCTCTAGGAAGAAGAGTTTAGAACTGATAGAGCTATCCAGTATAAATAAAGTTAGTTTAGTTTAGGTTTCCTTCTGTAGTAATACTGAGATGATCCTTACAGGATCTCTAGGAAGAACAGTTTAGAACTGATAAAACCGATTCAAAAATATACTCACTGTCGCTGAGCTGTAGTTTGCCGGAAGTTAATCTGTTGGTTTTGTAATCTTTCTTTGGTACCAATTTCGATTTGTTTAAATTTTCAATAGTCATTGGAAACGCGCAACACTGTCAAATTAAACAAAATTATACAACATTATAATTTGAAAAGATTTGTAAAGATCATTATCATTTCTCTTCTTTTTAATTGGTGTCTATTGAACCTTTTGTGTTTGGCTTCAGCAGTTCATTCAGGCGATACTAGGATTTATCTCTGAAGGAAATATTAGTTGAAGTTGCGCACTCTGTGCCGAATATTTGTCAATTCTCCCGGCTCGAAGAACCATTGCGCGTTCAAATTTGCTTTGGTCAAATCAATCATTTCAATTAAATCGCATTAAAATGATGAAGTTCTATGCGTTTCTGTTATGTTTGATTCTTGTCAAACAAGCTTGTTGCCTGAATTGTCCGGCTGGATCGTACAAGAGCTGGTATAACAACAAATGCTACACTTGTCCTACCGGCTCCTTCTGCCCGGGTGATAACAGAAGGATCGGTTGTAAAGCGGGATATTACGCAGAGAATCCAGGTAGTTCATCTTGCAAGATATGCCCAGCTGGTCATCGTTGTTATTATAAAAATACTGTTCCAGTGAAATGTGGCAAAGGACAATATCAAGACCAGACAGGACAGAGACTTTGCAAGTGGTGTAAGTATGGCGAATACAATACTCAAACGGGCAGGAAAAAATGTGATATTTGTCCTATGGGTCATCGATGTTATTATGTGCGCAATGCTCCAGTGAAATGTGGGAAAGGACAATATCAAGACCAGAAAGGACAGAGATTTTGCAAATGGTGTAAGCATGGCGAATACAATACTAAGACAGGCAGAACAAAATGTTATATTTGTCCTTTGGGTCATCGATGTTATTATAAAAGTTATGTTCCAGTGAAATGTGGGAAAGGACAATATCAAGACCAGAAAGGACAGAGATTTTGCAAATGGTGTAAGCATGGCGAATACAATACTCAGACAGGCAGAACAAAATGTGATATTTGTCCTTTGGGTCATCATTGTTATTATAGAAGTTATGTTCCAGTGAAATGCAAGAAAGGACAATATCAAGACCAGAAAGGACAGAGATTTTGCAAATGGTGTAAGCATGGCGAATACAATACTCAGACAGGCAGAACAAAATGTGATATTTGTCCTTTGGGTCATCGATGTTATTATAAAAGTTATGTTCCAGTGAAATGTGGGAAAGGACAATATCAAGACCAGAAAGGACAGAGATTTTGCAAATGGTGTAAGCGCGGCGAATACAATACTCAGACAGGCAGAACAAAATGTTATATTTGTCCTCTGGGTCATCATTGTTATTATAGAAGTTATGTTCCAGTGAAATGCAGGAAAGGAAAATATCAAGACCAGAAAGGACAGAGATCTTGCAAGTGGTGCAAAGCAGGGAAGTACAACCTTAAAACTGGCTCAACTAAATGCGAAAGCTGTCCTGCTGGTAGTCGATGTCCTTATGTCAACAAGATACCAATTCCTTGCAGAGTTGGCGAGTACTCTTTTCCAGAATCTGTGAAATGTTTTTCTTGCCCAACAGGAAGCTTTTGTTCGGGTTCATCAAGTTCACCTCTGAAGCCGATCACTGATAGTGTGTTGAAAAGCAGAATTCACAATGCGGTCAAATACGCAGCCGAGGCTTATTTAGAGAGACCCGATTCATCTACATCGACACTCGTCGACAGCGATAAAAAGGTACATGGTTTTGTAGAATACAAAGACAATAAGATTGTCGTATCGTTTCGTGGTACCGTTGACGCTAAAGATTGGTATTCAAACTTGAAGTTCCTAAAACGAGACTACAAAAGCTGCACAGGCTGCGAGGTGCATATTGGATTCTCAAACTACTACAACTCAGTACGACTTCAGATGCTCGCGAGGGTCCGCGCTCTCTCGCATTCTCACCCTGGCTCAAAGGTAGTTGTCACAGGACACTCGCTCGGTGGGGCACAGGCAACCTTAACCGCTGTTGAATTGGCAAAGAATGGCTACGATACAGATCTGATAACCTTTGGCTCTCCCAGGGTTGGGAACAAACAGTTCTCCGAGTTCGTTGACAAGTCTTTGAAAGGATCGAATCTGAGAGTGACATACAAGAATGATATCGTGACGGTCATTCCACCACAATCCATCGGGTATCGGCATGTTGGGCAAGAAATTCATTACATAGATTTCAACAGGGGCTTTGAATTGCCTCCAAAGACGGACATTAAGTATACCAGACTAAGCTCTGGTGATCACAGTATTAAGAATTACGAGAAACTGAATTAGAATTGAGAAAAAAAACACATTAAAAACACTTAATGGGGATAAAAAGAGATGCACTTATATAGCCATACCGTAGTATCAAGTAGAAATTAAAATTGGGGATAATAGTCGGGAGTATTTGTAGCAGTAAGATGAAGTCATATCATAAACATTAAAAAGAGATGCACTTATATAGCCATACCGTAGTAACAAGTAGAAATTAAAATTGGGGATAATAGTCGGGAGTATTTGTAGCAGTAAGATGAAGTCATATCATAAACATAACTCGTAGCAGTTGTGCAAATATAGCATTTTTGTTTGTTTTGCTGAAATGGTATTATATCGTGTTTATTCTACTGCGAGTTTCAATTTCCTGGTATTTTGAAAATCAATTATAATCTATTGTATAGTTAACATCGGTTTAACACTTTGAAGTAAATATAATTGGGCATTTTGATCGATAAAACTCGCATAGTTACTACCCACGCTAATGATGGAACCTCAATCGCGTCATGTGATAATAATATGTAAGGTTTACACTTGCAAACTATTCTCAACACTTAGAAACACAGCATCACATACCTTTGGAGATAAATATTCCACTATTTTGTACACTTCCTTAGCAACACCGTTTGAACAGCCAACGAGGTTTAGAGCATATTTGCCCAGAGCCAAAACATCTGGTCGAGAATATCTATAGGAAAGAATGAAACTCTTAACACAAATATCGTGCGCTTTCTTTAACCTATTCAGATCATTATTCGGATTTCAGAATGTGTTTTCAAGGGGCACCCCCCCCCCCACTATTGACAACCGCCGCTTTCCTAAGGGGTACCTCAGATATCTTTCTATAGGAGGAGCCAACAAGGGCACACTAACAGTAAGAAAGCAATTTTCTCGCGCATTAAACAACTAAACCGTTCATTGCATAGCTTTCCGATTGAAAGGCACCTCAGTCAGATATTTCTTCATTGATCAAGAAGTTTCAATCTGTAAATTATTGAAATCATGGGCGGAGAACACGGCTCAAAACGCCTCATCCATCATTCGTAGCGTACCTGAGTATTGACTATAGCACCTGGATCAGGTAAGGCAGTCAAGATGCATTGCAAATTTTTATTCAAAAACCATGCAATACTCACACAGTCGAAAGGAGATGTAACAGCAAATATTCAGCTGCTAAAGGATCACCGCACAAGATATTTTCAAAAGCGTTCAGGAGCGTTTCTCTTACTTGACTAACTTCACTGAACAGATTTTCTAAAAGAACAAAAAATGATAAAAGTTATAACATATAAGTATTTTTCTTGAAGATAAACTATATATACTGTGATATCTTAGTTGATGTTCGAAGACAGACTATAGCCGACTTCATAGGAGAAATAAATAGATCCCGCCAGATCCGTGATGTATATTTATAGGGCAAACTGTATCCTAGGGCAAACTATATACTTTCATTATAACCAGGAAGCAGCGTGGCAGCGTCTTCAAAAAACTTAGCATCAAATGTGGTATAAAAACTGCCTAAAATAGACAAAACACTTCTCGACGTTTCGACCTGAGAGCCTTCTAACTAACTCTCCTGACGAAGGCCCTCAGGTCGAAACGTCGAGTTTTGTCTATTTTAGGCAGTTGTTATACCACATTTGATGCTAAGTTATATACTGTCATATTTTAAGTACAAACTTTGTAGTCTATAAACAGTTAGATCTTGCTGACTTGCACCATACGTACCGTTCCCGGCCAAGTCAGACGACAGACATGGATTGGAATGTTCCAATTTGAAACTGAGGACCGCGTGGATACGAGGGACGATGGAGGATGGCAAGGAGTGCGGATCATCTTCTTCAACTTCCATTACATCAAATGGTGACGTCATTTGATCTCTGCGTGGGGGAAAAGTCAGAGACTTCAATGAGTATCAAAGTAGGCACATCCAGGGACACCATGCAGCAACTGAATTGATAAGATTTGCTTTACCCTTGGTTTTGAAAATGAGTAAGCTGTGGATCAACACTCAAGATGCCAACAAACTCAACTATATCATTGACTTTATAAGATTCTGAATCGTCGTAAATCTAGGAAAATATGACAGCATGATTCTTATGCCTACACAACAATGGTCCTTTTTGTTAAAATAGCCACTTGAGGTTCTGCTAGACCTTTATCTCATAATGAGGTTGAACATGGAAAGCCTGCATTATGTTACATTAAGTCTGATTGGTTCCGCAAACTAGATGAGCAAACCAATAAAAATGTGTGTAGCATCCAACTTTCCACACTTGATGTTATTATGAGAAAGGTTTATTGAAATTACTTTAAAATTCCATAAAAAAATTCATCCAAAGGTTCCAATGATAGCTATATTAAGTATGCATATATATGCAAACACAGTAAAGAGGTACTAAAATGTCTGTTGTAGGTACATGTGAACCAAAAAATATGATAACATAATGGCTGTAGGTTTGGCTAGCGCATATCAGTAAATATACTTATTGATAGTGAAATTACCTTTATTATACAGGGCGAACCTTTCTCATCAGGCAGAGGAAAATTGAGGTCTGCATTCCCAAGTGAGACAGTTCTTGTCATTTCTAATCAATAATTCAGTCATTTATTAGAATACGGAAACAAAATGGGGAACTTTATTACTATTTTATAACTTAGATTTGTAACAGGTGAAGTGGGCAGTGGCCTAGCTAGCAAGCACTGATAATTGGGGAGACCATATGCATGTCATATACTGACAGACTGTAAAGACAATTGATTTTAAAAGAAATTGATTATGCAGAACATGAACATATGAGTATATAAGCTCTCCAATTATTGTGTTTCCAATGATGTCCCACAAAGGCATACCTTGATCATTCTCCCATTTTGTCTTCTTGTTGTCACCACCTTGATCGTCTACAATGGACACTGAGTCACATGTTGTATATCATATCTATTTCATAGATATGTTTTGTTACTTTATTTATATTCAAAATTCATAGAACATTGCCTATGAACTATGATTAAACTCCAGTTTAAATATAATTCAAAATTTACCTTCAGCCATTGTGCTACCCTGGTTTGGAAAACATTCACCATCAGTGATGCTTTCCTGCAACTCGTCAACACTTCTCTTTAACATTCCTGACGTCCCAGCAGTTGCAACTGATCCAGACTGGCAATGGCTAGGGCTAGCTGCTTTGGCATAAGCATTTTCATAGTTAAGGAAAACGTTTTCCACATTGACCACTTTTCACACCAGTAGTTTGAATATTTAGAATATTCGAACAAATAAATGCAATATAAGATAGATTTTTATTATATGTTTGAAGTAAATGTAGAAAGGATATTTTCTTTGCCCATGTCGTTTCAGCTGGTATTGGAACACAGTAAAAGCATTGTCTTTCTCTTGTTTTGTTTTGTGGACAGTCCATGTTGATTTGTTGTCCAGGCTGCCATAATAGAGAAATATGGAAACTGTAATTGTTATGTTAACAAAAAGATATTATGATAGTTTTCAAGACATTATATACCTTGCATGAAGCAACGTCACGGTACAAGCCTAGATGTTTCTCCTTGAAAGAAATGGAGGGATAAATGTTAAAAAACAGAAGAAGGCCTAAATATGTTCCAAGGGGAGGTGTGAAGCAATTCCTGGGGAGGTGCGCATCTGCTACCTCTAGGAGGTACACTTATCTTGAAGTTGTGTATCTTCTGACAACTCCCCTTCAAATAGGGAATACACAGAAAGTATATTAACTTTAAGTCAATTTACCATACCTTTGTCCCACTGTCAGTCTCAATGGTTTCATATCTGGAAAGGTAGTACTCCGGCTCAAACATATCCTGGATCATACATCGAAATCTCACCAAGGTGTTAGGTTTAATGTGATCAAGGCTTTTGTCATTTAGGGATTGAATCTAAAGAGAATATAGTTTGTTATTTAAACAATATTACCAAGACTACAATATATCCAAATGCTCTCATCTCAGTGGCATAACTATGGGGTGCCAGGGTGTCCAAAGTAATGGGGGACACCCAAGCTTAAATACCATCATTCAGTATATTTCTAGTGGAGCAGAGGGGAACCTCAAATGGCTGGTTGATGGAGGGCCCGATTTGTGTTATGCCACTGCCTAATCTAATGGCACTTTATTTTTATATCTATATTTACACCCTGTTTCACTGGTTGCACTTACTACCGAGAGGTTTAACTGTTTCATTTTAATTAACTCCTCTTGAATTGGTGAAGTTGGTAAAGTACTACCACATGAGCTGAACAGGGTATAAATTTTACCACAAGTATATTTATCTTACCTTATCAAGGCTTTTCTGCTGTATTCTCTCAGAAAAATAGTCTTTAACCTGCTTTATGAGACACTCATCGTCAAACTCTACAGAGTGAATAAAGCAAAACATATCAAATCTTCTTGCACGTGCAGGAAAGAAGACTAGTACAAGTGTACAAATTCAATTCAACAAAGAACAGCGATTCCTACCCATTTTTTGGTCTATCAGTAGCAAGGGATTCGACATCCATTCTTCTATACAAGGCATGATGGTTAGAACGAGAAAAAAAGCACGAATACAAGCTCAAATTATAGTTTTTTTAAAGGAATTTTTTTCTGTTTACAAAATGTTTAAAGAGACAAAATTGTTAAAAGCGCGGGAACCACTGAGCTGTGATAATCCCAGTGACTGGATTGGTATAATCTCAACAGAAGATCCTGGGAACGAGGTTGGTACCAGTGGTTGGTACACTGGGTTGGTACCACTGGTTGGTACAGGCTGTGGTACAGGGCTGGTATAAGGTAAGCTTCGCCCCTAACCTTCTAGTATTATTTGGATGATAGAGAAATACACGCCTAGGACGCCACGAAAATGGGGATAAATGTCTATCTATGGTCGTGACAGATTCTGTCATGTTAACCGCCATGGTTATTTTACCCGAAAACAGTTGAGATGATCTGCCCTAAATGAAATGCATACAAAGTCCTTTACAGGTTCTAGACTACAAGTCAGCGTTGGAGATTATTACGGTTACCACGATTCCCACACACGCATGCGCCGAACCTTATTTGAGACGTGGGGGTTTTTAGGGCGTTGCCCTGACTCGATCCAGGCCCAAGGATATATCCGCGACCAATGCAACAAATATGGCGTCCGTTTCTAAAGTAAGTGCTGCCACAAAACCGTTGCTTTCGCAGTCTTCTGCTGAAGCTCGACGAAGAGTTTTAAACCTTTATCGTGCCTGGTATAGAGAGGTAGATATAGCTTTGCTTTGAGTGCGTGCTTTTCCATGTTAATCGCTTTTTAGGGTACAAAAATTACAAATAAAAATTACCTGAGATTGAGTGTTACAGTATGTCATTCTAGTTTCCGGACAAAAATTCAATTACAATATTGTGTGTTGTTTTAAGTTTGTATTATTGACTTGTAAATCTACCCATATTTTTGCATTTACCCTGTCTAATGCCTGACAACTTAACTTGTCAATAAAAGAAGATTGGTAGCACTAAATTTTATGTATTAATACTTGGGAAATGGAAACTACTTGTATAAATGGAACTCTGGTCAAATTGCAGGTTCCAAGGGCAGTAAATGCCTATGCACTGGACATAACAGTACGACAAGGTCGGGAAAAAGTTAAGGAGGAGTTTCGAAAACATGCTCAGATCAAAGATATCAAGTCCATTGATATGCTTGTGATTAAGGTAAGTATAAACCAAGTTAAAAGGATCATCAGTTCTAAACTGTTCTTCCTAGAGGTGCAGTAAGGATCATCTCTTATTGATCCAAGGTTACTACAGGAGGAAACCTAAACTAAACTAACTTTATTTATACTGGATAGCTCTATCAGTTCTAAACTGTTCTTCCTAGAGGTGCAGTAAGGATCATCTCTTATTGTTCCAGTGTTACTACAGGAGGAAACCTAAACTAAACTAACTTTATTTATACTGGATAGCTCTATCAGTTCTAAACTGTTCTTCCTAGAGGTCCAGTAAGGATCATCTCTTATTGATCCAGTGTTACTACAGGAGGAAACCTAAACTAAACTAACTTTATTTATACTGGATATATAGCTCTATCAGTTCTAAACTGTTCTTCCTAGAGATCCAGTAAGATCATCTCTTATTGATCCAGTGTTACTACAGAAATCTAAACTAAGCTCACCATTCACAATATTCTTATATTCTGTTTTCCAAGGGTCGAATGGAGCTGGAAGAAACACATAAAATTTGGAAACAAAGAACTCATGTTATGAGATATTTTAAAGAAACTTACCCAGAGAATAAAACAGACTTTCTATCAAGGTTTTATGCTGGTTATGACTGAAGTTTAAAAGATGACTTAACATACAGCTTATGATTAATGTACTGGTTTATGAGAGATTATGCATTATTTGAACTATTAAAATATTTTTAAAAGAATGGCTGAATTTTTTTATGTTATATTATTGCATTGACAATCAGCACTTTAATCTTTCCTGGGCGAAAACAATTTGATCCAGATGAAAAGCTCTGTACTGTAGTGAATATTCCATATTTATTCGCAGCATTTCATTATCAAATGTTGATTATCAAAAGTTAACAATAGTGTCTTATGAATATTCATTGTGAGGGCTGTGATAGCTAGTGGTTTAGAGTTTCGACGTCCCAGAACTTTTATGTACATCTCTGGCACACAGTTACCAGTTCAGTGCTCAAACAACAAAATGAGATGGATCCATTTGTATGTGGCTGGGTGAAAATGTTCATTTGGATATAAAGGTCCTAAGACATCCCTAGACATACATATGAACCCATATGGATACATACATACATCCTATTGTATCCCCAACAGAGTTTTAGCATCCTGACTTTGTTGCATTAAAGTTTCACTTGCATATTTCTCAAGAAGCTCCTAATAACGGAAATTAAATTACCAATGTTAACCTAAATTACAACACATTGAAATTTCTTTGGTAGCAGGAACATACATGTACAAATATATTTTGATGTCATGAATGCTAAAACTTAAAACTGAATGATATTGTTCATTTGTTCTTACCATTTTCTTTCTTTGAACCAACAGTGCCTCAACCTATATGAGGTAATATAAATAATTTAAATTACTATTCAAATGGTTAAGATAAACTAAAAACAAGATGGCGTTATTCACCCACCTCCTCTTGTGATGGCACTGGGACGTGTGAAACGAAGGTAACCTCATCCTGCCCCTCGTTATCACCCTCGTCATCGCTGTCCTATAAAGTACGCACAAATTGAAGCATATATTAATTTTCCACAGACAAGTGAATTCATCTGACATAACATAGAAATCTGAGTGCAATGTTGGCTAATGAGCTAGCGTATACATACAGCTGTTTCTGCCGCTGCAGCATAAATATCCTCCTCTTCAACTTCAGGAATTTCGCCAGCTGCCTTGCGTTTCTCGTAATCTTCTAAAGCTCTTGCTAAAGCTACAAAACGTATTGCATGGTATTGCATTGACGAATGCCTGGTAAACTGACTGAAAGCTCCAAGGATAATCAATACATGCAATATTGTTTCTACAAATTGATGACTTAAACCACTGTACAGTGAATGTAACAAGTGTGTTTACAATCACATAACCATACCTTCTTTCTGAGCTTCTTTCTCAAGAGGAACTAGAACACCATCATCCTCATCTCGATATCCGTAATAATCAGCATCAATCTTCTTCATCAGTTCACCTCGAGTCTTCCTTGGAGGCGCTGGCGCTATTTTTACAAAAAATGAAAAAATTGTAACACAGTTTCATATTGATGTTCATTCAAAATAGTGCCACTCACGTTCTTGTTCAAAAAGCTCTCGAACACCAGGTAACTCTTTTGCCGCACCAAAATATCTGTGTTATTTCAGAAACACTTGGTTAAGCTGGTTAAGCATGATTATATATTTAAATGAAAATTTTTATACATACTTGTATCCTCTATTGCCAGGAACCTCTTTACCCTCATGGTCGAGCATCTTAGGACCTATCCTCTAAAAAATTTTATGGTACAAATAAACAATTCTGTATATTCAGTAATTCAGGTCTGACTATCAGTGTACATAATATGTAAGTATCTCCAAGTAAGCATGTAAAAGGTTTTTAAATTATATTTTTGGAGCCAATTCTACTCCTGACAGATAATTTTATTGGAGAGAACAGTAAACAGACTTTTTCCAAGCTATGAACAAATAGAACATGCTCACAACTGCAAATCATCGCTATATGTTAGAAGATGAATTTAAGACACAGCTAGTAGCATGGTTTAATGTACTGCGATGTTTCAATTCTATCTTACCCTGTATTCTGGTCCTCCAAGCTCCAATATTCTGTCTTCCCAATGTCGTTTTTCACGTAAGAGTTTGTTAATCTCATCATTCAAATCCCTGATTCGAAACTCCCCTAGCCCGGCTGCAAATGCAAAGCAATTTTGTAGATTTATCTAACAAGCCACACTGAGAGAGAATTCAATTGAAAAAGCTCACCATTTTGAATCTGAGCAACTTTTTTCGATACTTCTCCAATGATCTATAGGTATAAAAAAAAACAACTTGAGTCTAAATATGAATTTGGTATAAAAATGAAGAAAAAAACCCAAACCTGTCGCCTCCACTTTTCTGCCTTCGGCAGGTCTGAACACTCTGTTGCAAGATATGGCCTTCTCTCCTATAGAAGGAATACACAGTGAAATATTAACAGTAGATTTTGTTCGAAATGTCATTTGTAGTATAAGATGGCGTCACCCACCTTAACTTTACCCTCCTCTTTCTGCATGGCAGTCCATCTGGACATCATTGCCCTGAAACAAATTATTTGTCTATGAAGCGACCATTCATGAGATTACACACTGGAATATCTGGATAATAGCAACTATATTTTCTAAAACAAAGCCAGAATTCTGAGATAAGCTATTGTTGAACTTTACTTGTGGGGTAAAGCCTAAAAACTCAGCCCTGACTGGGAAGTGTGCAAATTTCACACTGTAGATCTTGAAGAATATTAAATAACTCTTGTGTGGTACAGGTTTTTGTAAGAGTATCAACTATAAATACTCTTGCAGGAGTTGAACAGTTGAACTCTAGTTGCTATCCTGACCAGAGCTTTGGCTTTTTCATTTGTACATGGACTTCTCATTTGTACAAATAATAAAACTTACATTGCTTTTTCTGCATTTCGAGCCTAGAGAGGAAAAAAATTATATCGCATGTCAAGTCATCATACTAAGTCATCGCATCCAACACCAGAAATAATCAATTTAGAATATCCACAAAAGAAATAATAGCACGTTTGTACTTACCATTTTTTACTATTTGCTATAACACACTACAAATAAATAAAATTGAGCTACTGGTAAATCAAATGTCGTTCAAAAACAACCGAAAAGCAAGCATGAAAATTGAAGCATTCTTATTTTATAAAAAAGTTCATCTCGTCTTTTCCGCCATATTGATTTAACCGCGTAAGGGCCTGGGGCGGGTTGTATGAAAGCAGGTGTCACGATCTCAGTCCTCCCCCGTTCTGAGTACCCCTTTTTACAAGTGCGCATGTGCAGTCTAGGGGGATAACTGAGCACGTAGCACGGCAGGAAAATGGCAAATACGACCATGGTCATATTCGCCGGAAAATGGCAAATACGACCATGGTCATATTCGCCGGAAAATGGCAAATACGACCATGGTCATATTCGCCAGAAAATGGCAAATATGACCAAGGTCGAGTTCGCCGGAAAATGGCAAATAGGACCATGGTCGAGTTCGCCGGAAAATGGTATACTCGACCATGTAAATTATTCGTAACGGACCGACTTTTTCTGTACTCATACAGATTTTGGGACCGACATTTTTGGACTTACTTCACAAAGCTAGGGGGGGGGGTGTAACAATCCCCCCCTATCATCCCCCCTAATGTGCAGCCCTGCGGAATTGTAACGTATGAAAAATAATACTTAACTCACTGGTGGGTTTTCCTTAGTTGTGCTTTTGTAATACTAAGTATAACAAACGACTAATAGGTTAGTTGGACACAGTTTATTATACTGCATGTGTACTATTAGGCAATAGTATGCATGGGTTTGAATTAATTGTAACTGAAGTGTTAATTATCGCCAGCGATTTTTTTACATTTATCAAACTTGACATAAAATGAATATTTACAAAATTGGTTTTTTGATTATTCTTAATTTGCTATAGTCTTTGGATATTGTACAAAACCACTGCCAAAGTCAAATGTTCTTAGTAAAACTAAGTAGAAAACCGTTCAAGTGACAGTATGGTAGTCAAAGTGAAGCAAATTAATCAATTAGGAATATACAAATTAAATCTTAACAAAGCTAGATCGGTTATACAAAATATGAGCTACCTATATTTACATCTTCTACTGAATATTTGGATTTCTTTGTACAACATTATAACTATTTCGTTTTTCAAATTGGACATCTTTTTAAATTTAGTCATTTTTGATATAAACATCTAAAGTCCTATTTATTTGTGCTGGAATTCTGAAGACTGTTCTATAATAGTCTTAAAACTTCTCCTGCCAGAGGTCGATACATACTGTACAAAAATTTAATTGAAATAATGGCTTCGTTGGGTCGGGATAACTGCAGCAATAACTGTACACGATATTCATGAAAAGCGAGGATATTTCTCTGCATTTTCTACAGCATCGTTGTTCATTGTTGAGCCAATGTTAGGACCAATTTCGAGGTAAGACAAGGTGAAGATGCAATGCTGAAGAACTTTTGACTGGAGTACTTCTTGCTGACAGAGAGAAGCTTCGATTCATAATTCTTGGACTTCAATACAAGCTGAGCGACTTTTTTCATGCATGGTACGAGTTCTGGCTCTTGGTAATGGCTGTAGTGTGCTGTGGTCGCATCCTGTTACGGCAGAGAAACAAATAGAAAGGTTAGAATCTTATGATATCGGAAAACTAGTTGCTCTCATAAATCAACTCAACTTACCCAAGGCGAGTTATCTGTGATTTTCATGGCGAGGCAAAGCGAAGCTGCTGCTCTTTGTGAAGGCGGAAAGGCAAGGCATTCGTAGTCAGGAAGCATCAACTCCATGAAATACTTGGCAAGTGTGTGTTTCTCAGCGTCGGCCTTCAAAAAAAAATATTTCTGTTACGATAAAGAAAATAAACTCTAGTATTACAAAACTAAGTCCGTCTTTTGTAGATGAAAAGGGAGCTTTTAAAGTGAAGCAAGTTTTAGGAAGCAGCTTACCTTTGCAGCTTTCGAGTTCCTTCTCAAAAAGTGGATACAAAGCGGGTCACCAAAGTTGAATTCCAACACGGCAGTCATCTTCGACTCACAAGCTCTGATTTGAGACGGGGAGTAGGCATTGTCTGTGATGTACACGAAATCACGAATCTCAGGTGTGTAGATTTCTTCGATCTTTGAGGCAAGTAACATGGCTGTCACACCGACCAATTGCAGATCACATTTCTGTACTTTTGTATCGATCTGGATTGGAAGAAAATGGAAGATATTTAATGGTAAATACAAGGGAGTGTTCTCGCCGCAAACGAGTTAAGCTTGTATTGAAATATCGACCGATAAAATAACAGCAAGATGTCGACTTAATATTGTTGAACTTTCGAGTTCAATTTCTCATCAAACTGAAGAGGTCGGTAAGTGCTGGACTATCTCGCTTCATGAAACCAAAGAAAGACGGCAATATTTATAAAACAACTTACGGCTAAGTATCTGTCCAAAAACGAGACGGTGAGGAATAGAGTTTCTTGAAGGAGACGAAATTTGTCATGAACTTGAACCAACCAGTCGACTAAAATTGAGCGCATCCTCTCGTTAATGTGTTGATGAGATTTGATGTAATGTCTTGGCACTTGATAAACACTCTAAAGAGCGAAAAATAGGTTTACTGTGAGTAAAGAGCCTCAAGGGACAAACGAAATGGGTTTTAGACGCGGTTCTCATCACAAGAACTATAATGATAATGACCTCAGTCTTTTGTTTCGGCTCCCAAGTAACGCTCACGAGCAAAAATTACAAAGTAAATATGACACAAATCCAAATCAACATGTAAAAATTGTGCATACCTCTCTATCCTTTAGGTAGTGGCTGATTTGTTTAGCATATTCGGCGCACGCGTATTCCTTGTCGATGTCTGAACAGTCGATATCAGGAACTTCCACAAACTGCTGAGGTTTGCCTTTCAACTTTGTCAGATCTGCTTCCATGGGTTCGACGGAGTAGGCGCGAGGCCGGCTCATCTTGACCGCACCACCCTCGACAAGATCTCCACGAGGAATGCATTCTTGAGCTTTGGCTGTTTTTCCCACCGGAAACTGCGAATAAAAGTTGAATGTTTCACGCTTTAGTCATGAATGTTTACGGCTTAGAATCAGTAGCATTGTATTCAAATGCCTATCAAGTTATTCTTTTGTTATAATTATGTAAACAATGGTTATTTTCGCAGTAGATGTCGTTCTTTACCTCTGGTTTGTTCGTGTGCTGTTCAAGCTGAGCCAAAGCTGATCTTGCTCTGCCTGTTCGATGTCCAGGAATCGCTGCCTTTCCTTTCTGTGGTCCTACGAACGCGTTTTCACCATGATGTATACGAGGTTGCTAAAAACAAAGCAAGAACATAATAAAAGTTAATGCAAATTAAGGCGGGAATAATTTTAGGTTGATTCAAGAGCACGTTGTGAAGCTATGCTTTGGCAAATTTGAAAGTCTTAGAATGATCAGAATGCATCACGCTTATCACCAATGTCTCTCTCAGCGATTGAGCCAAAAGCCAGAGGTCTATGACAAACAGATCAGGTCTAAAAAGGGAGCAGTTGAGAGCCTTACGTTTTCAAATCTTTGGGCCATTCTTGAAACGTGCACTTGAACTTGTCTTCTCTTCAGTGTTGTACTCTTCAGCTGGCAAACAGGACCAAAAGCTGCAGAAATGTAAAAAACATCGCTTTTTAAATGCCCTGCCTATCGCTGATTGGCTGGTAGTATGCGACGCAAGGTTACGTCACAATTTAATGATATTTCACACAGTCTTTTGCATAATAACAGTCTTGTCCATCAATCATGTTGTTCCATTGTCTTTTTATTGTTTTGCAAATCTCGCTGTTCTTCATGTCATCCAGTCATGATCCAGAGATCAGAATGTTCTATTGTCTTTTCATTGTTTAAAGAATCTCGCTCGTTCTGCATGTTATCAACGAGCTATTGTTTTGAAATTCCTTTAGACCAGTGAAGTCAGCAAGGGCTGGTTCATTATTGTTATGATAATTCGTGATGGTTTAAATAACATCAGCAAAGCCGTGGTCGGTAAACTTTCCAGCATTTGTGCCTGTTCAAGAAAAGCGAATTCGAACTGAAAAGAAAGCTTCAAATCATGTCTAAAACTCAAGTAAATGATGCAAGCTTCATCAACAGAAATCTTCGCTTTTATTTCAAGTTGTACCTTCCTAAACGTTCCTAAATGTCGATGTTTGATTAAGTCATTGACCTATATTTCTTTGTTTGCAGATCACCACAGTGCATGGGAATAGCATCCCTGCTGCTGGTCTTAAAGTTAAAGATGACGGCGGAAAACAGGCCCGAAGAATCAGAAATGCTCTTGGCACGATTACTAACATTTCCCGAGTGCCGATAGTGCAGGTACTGATCAGCGACTATAACTCCCGCATAAGGCCACTTAAAAGGCGTCTCAAGACCACTTAAAAGGCGACACACAATTCTGCTAGCTATCACATTACCAAAGTATTTTGTAGGAAATATATAGTTTACAGCATGTTATGATAAGCAGTTCTCTTGTTTCTCCTATAGAAAACGAAGAAAACTTTATCTAAGGTTCCGAGTACTAAAACAACCTTGGCTCGGAAGGAAGCTGTCTCGAAAGAATCGTTGCAGTGTGAGACAGAATCTGTTGGGTTGAAAGCTTTAGCTTTGGAAAAAATTGATTATAAAGATGTCGTGGACATTGACGCCGAAGACATGGATAATCCGTTTTGCTGTTCAGAATATGCCGAGGAAATATATCGTTATTTAAAGAAACGCGAGGTAAAATCAAGTATCTTACAACAAGCATAAAGTATCGTTTTCAAATTTGTATTATTCGTTCCAGGAGATCTATCAAGTGCCTGAAAACTACATCCAGTCGCATAAAGAGATCAACGTAAAAATGCGCGCTATCCTGGTGGACTGGTTAATAAGCGTTCATGAAAAATTTAAGTTAACACAGGAAACGCTATTTTTGGCTATTTCGATCTTGGATAGATATCTTGCCGTAAGTATCTTCTTTTGTATACAAATATATTTCCTATTCATCCAGCGTTATAACTTACAGAAGGAAACCTGAACTAAACTTAACTTTTTCATACTGGATTGTTCTATCAGTTCAGCCTAAACTAGTTCTTCAGAAGTCCAGTACAGATGATCTCTTGGTGATCCAAATCTTTTCAATTACAGGTCAGCCATACGGAGAAGAAAACAAACTTACAACTGATTGGTGTCACGGCAATGTTTTTGGCCTCAAAAATAGAAGATATTTATGCTCCAGATATCCTTGATCTCGCCTACGTGACGGATTATTCCTGCAGTTCTGATATGATCAAATCGTATGAAAAGAAGATGTCCACGCAACTGGGCTTCAATTTCGGTGATCCTTTGTGCATAAACTTCCTCAGAAGAAACTCTAAAGCTTTAAAGGTGCAGTATGGAAGTTGCACTGTTTATATGTGCAGAGTATTGGTGGTATATATTTGCATGCATACTTGGATATATGAACCAGTAAGGATCATCTCTTAATGATCCAGTGTTACTACAGGAAGAAACCTAAACTAAACTAACTTTATTTATACTGGATAGCTCTATCAGTTCTAAACTGTTCTTCCTAGAGGTCCAGTAAGGATCATCTCTTAATGATCCAGTGTTACTACAGGAAGAAACCTAAACTAAACTAACTTTATTTATACTGGATAGCTCTATCAGTTCTAAACTGTTCTTCCAAGAAGTCCAGTAAGGATCATCTCTTAATGATCCAGTGTTACTACAGGAGGAAACCTAAACTAAACTAACTTTATTATACTGGATAACTCTATCAGTTCTAAACTGTTCTTCCTAGAGGCCGAGTAAGGATCTCTTATTGATCCAGTGTTACTACAGAAGGAAACGTAAACTAACTTATACTCTAGCTCTATCAGTATTGAACTATTATTCCTAGAGATCCAGTAAGAAGATCGATCAATGCTTTATATAACTAAAAGTCATTCTGTTTGCAGGCGACAGCAGAACAACATGCGTTAGCAAAATTCTTCATGGAATTAATGCTCTTGGATTACGAGTGTTGCGTTACCTTTCCGCCCTCGCAGCGGGCTGCAACCGCACTTTATGTCGCGATGAAAATCACCGATAACTCGTCCTGGGTAAGTAGAGCTGTAGAACGAACAACATGGGATCTATTTTATGCAAAATGATGACCCAAATTTCAGGTAATATCATTTTAGAACGCTACCTTGGTACACTACAGTTCCTATTCGGAAGCATCGTTAAAACCATGTATGATCAAGGTTGCCAGTTTAATTTTAAAGTCTTTAAGTAACCAAACCCAGCTGGAGTCAGTCAGGCGAAAATACAGCCGAGAAAAGTTTGGTAGAGTTGCTACATCACCGTGTTTGACTTCCGCCTTCATCACGGAACTCCCAAAAGAAAAATAGTCCATTTCGGCCATTTGAAATTTAATTGAATCTTCTTGTAAATAAGAAAACGAATATAATAAAAATCTGGATCAATGAAATATATGTAAAAATTCAATATATTTAGTGTACTACTGTATATATCTATATAAAAATTATATAGAATAAATGTTTTGTAATATTTGGAAAAAATTCAACTAATACAGTTTACAAAACAGCGGGAAATAAGCGCAAGCGCAAAATTTCAGATTCGCTATATATATATATATATATATAAACAATTATTAAGAAAATTCTTCGTATGAGATAAAAGAGTGCTCAATACTGCAAGCAAATAGAGCAATATATATTTATTCATTTACATAATTCTTAAAATATTGGCATCGCTACTCTGAGTTTCATGCCACAGAGGCAATCATCAGGCGACTAAATTACAGTTCGTTACAAGTTTGATGACGTGCGACTTTCTTGTTTGCGCGTGCGTTTAAAATTTCCTGCCCAGAATTTTTCTCGGTGGCGGCACTTGGCGAAGATCTCTGATCTTTTGTTGAGGAGTTATATATAATATATATATATATATATATATATATATATATATATATATTATATATATATATATATATATATATATATATGGAATGCAATGGAAAATTGCGTTTAAGCATTATTAGTATCAAAAACATTAGTCGATAAGGTTATTTGAGGGTCACTTTTGTGGGGGGGCGCACAAAATTGAGTCCCGGATGGTAAGCCAAGCGCCTATTGGCTACATCGACGCCTCCTAGCAATCCGTGTTGTTTATTAAAAAATCTCTTTGCTCGCCCCAGTCGCCCGCCCAGTCACTGTTCTCGCCTCGCTCGAAATCGCCATTTTGTAGGTTCACTAATAACTTTTAATTGTTACTTAAACTTCAGCGTATCTCCGGTTCATCGTTTAAGTAGTATGGCTGACGATATTCTAGAAAAAGCGAATCAAATGATGCAGGAGAGGAAACGTTTTGATGAAGAGAGGTTACGAAAGATGGAAAAACAGGCAAGGTGTGCATTGCTTCCTTCCCCAGATATACTTGAAACTGCAAAATTTCAAGGAGAAGATGTCACTTACACACTCGCTGACTATGCAAAAGTCTTGGATTGGGTGACAAAACTGGGTGTTCTCGACACCAGCTTTATTGGACCAGAACAACTTGAAAAGATAAAAGAGGAAAGAACACTGCCTGAATCTAATTTTAAGGTAATGATTCAGTCAGCTTTTAGCCATGCTTTCTCTGCAATTTTGCATACAGGAAGTCTTGATGCTCAAGAGCTGGTATTTTGGTACTATGCAGGACATGGACTTGGTACTGTCAATATTATAAACAATAAATTGCATGGATCCTCTGCTATACCACGCTTGGAGAAAGCTGATATAATTGTGGAGTTTCGCAGATCAGTTGCACATCAGTTTATGCCAGCGCCTTCAACCCGAACTGTGAAAGGTGGAGAACTATGCCTTCATGATATTGGTTTCTGTGATATTCATGGTGTGTTGGAAGGATGGATTGCAGCCTTAAAGGGTAAATCACAGAATATTCATGATCCAGAACCACATGTGAGGCACAACAAGCACCTTGTTTTGATTTTGGACAGCTGTTATTCTGGGATATTTGCTGATGATTTGAGAATGTTGATGGAGGGACAACACCCTTGGAATGAGAACGGATGCACTGTAACAATCCAAGCCAGCTGTGGTGCTAAAAAGCCAACATTTGGTGGATATTTCACACCGATGTTTCTGCATTTAAATCAATGCCTAGAAGATCTCGATCAATTCAAAGAAGAATGGCTTCAGTTGAATGAAGAAGAAAAAGAATCCTATTCATCCCATCCAATTCCATCTCCAGAGGTGGCAACAACCAGAGATGATGAAGCCGACCATAGTTTGCTAAGGAAAATTGAGTGTCAGAATTTTAGTATGGTGCTTTTCCCCGATGCTCCATTTTTCAAGTATTGCTTTGTGAGTAAATTTCGAAAGTTAAATCTTGAGTGTGATAGAGCTTGGACTGATGATTCAAAGAAGAAATTTTTGCAACAACAATCCTTTCAAGTCCTTGATTACAAGTTAAAGAAATTAAGTCCTGATGCCAAATTGTTTGCCGGCACTCCCATGGGCTTGTTTCTTGTGGAAAACCATGATGATGCAGATTATGTTGTCTGTGTACACATTCATTTTGGCAGCGACGATACAGAAATAAGCAACGTCAGTAGAATTAACCTTGTTCATCACCTTCGACCTGGTCCTGGTCAACCAATTTATGAAGCAGAGAGATCTAAAAGGGAAATTGATAAACAAAGTCGAGAAGCTCGAAAGTTGGTTGAGGCTTGTCGTGATGAGGTTGAAAGGCATGAAAAGGGAAGATGGGATGATGCTAGTCGGTGGAACATGAGAAATAATCAAATGGGAGTTATTGGATTGTTCCGCTTAAACGAACGTTTGAGTCAGCGATCCAAAGATATGGACAAATATCTGAAAGCATCCTCCGATGCACTCGTATAATTGTGAGGTGACAAAAAATTTAAAATTAGTGGTGATTTAGAATGTTTTGCATAGTTAGTTACTGGAAACATAGTGTTTCTGGCAGGAATATTGAACTTTAATTATGACTTCAAACTTTTTCGATTTAACTTAGATTAAACTTGATCTTATTGTGTAGTAGAACGTTTTGCATAGTTAGTTACTAGAAACATAGTTAGTGTTTCTTGCAGAAATGTTGAACTTTAATTATGACTTTAAACTTTTTTGATTTAACTTAGATTAAACTTGATCTTGCATGTGGTAGAACAAAAGTGCAAACTTGTCATTCCATTCAGGACGGTAAAATTATGATGTTTTCATCCCTAGAGATCTACTCTTCGGGTATTATGACTTTTATTTGTAATGTGTTTTAAAAGTTTTCTATTGTTTCATCAATATTATAATACAATAGATGTAAATGCAAGTGCAATCCTTTTAGAATGTATAACTATAAATGTATTATGAGAATCTTTAAGGTATTAAACATACACCTGATTTGTAGTTGTATTTGATTTTGTGGGGCTGTTTGAATAAACCTAAAATGTATATGTTGCAATAGGCCAATAGCCCTTTCACATAATCATAATCATGTCAAACGTAAAAAGCCTGATGTCAGAAGATGTTTGATTGGCTCCACAGAACTAACGAATCAATCAAACTCCCATTTGCCATCGGGTGTTCCCGTTTGAGTTAGTTTGAGGTGATCATGAGGATGGGCTATTGTGGATAATTTTGTACATGATCAATAAGGGAGACAGGTCATACAACGAAAAAGACGTGAATTAAAAGTTAAAAAATCCAGGCTATTTTAATAGTGGCATAAGAGGACAAAAAAAATTGATGGCATTTTTTCAAGGAAATAATATTTTTTAAGACTTAAATTTGTGACAGGGGGTAAGGTACGACTAGTCATCCGTGTCCACGTGCATGGAAGTCTATTGTCAACGTAATAACCAATGTTCCAATTGAGGTACAAACATTTACGCCACTGTATTTCAAAATATATATCGTGGTACTAATTAGAGCTGTATATTACAGGCAACCATTGAACTACTGGAAACTGCAACTTTTGGAACACGTGGAAATTACTTGAATAATGATCTCTCGAATGTTTCTCTGATAAACATTTCTTTAAGTGGAAACACTTTGAAAATATTGTTTTAAAAAACCATTGAACAAAGATATGATATGGCAGGATTTGAACGTGGATTTCTTCCGTTTTTTTTCACGATAGCAGATTAAAATGTCTTTATTTACCGACTTCTCCATCGTACTTGTATCTCAGGCGTTTTTCTTCGGTTTTGGATGGTTATTTTTCATGCGTTGGCTCTTCAAAGATTATGAAGTGCGGAACTTGGTTGTGCAATTTGTCTTCGCTGTTACCTTTAGTTTGTCATGTACAATGTTCGAGCTGATTATTTTTGAAATTCTGGGCGTCTTGGAGCCAAGATCTAGATTCATCCACTGGAAGATTGGGCTGTATTCAATGCTATTCACCCTTATATTCCTTTTGCCTTTTTATATTTCATTTTTCATTGTCAAAACTTTAAGATTTGCACATCATAGAAAGACGGTGATTTGGTTGGCTACTATAATATGGCTCTGTTTCTTGTACATATTTTGGAAATTAGGCAATCCTTTTCCAATATTGAACCCAAAACATGGCATACTTTCGATTGAACAAGGTATCAGCAGAGTTGGTGTTATTGGGGTAACTCTTATGGCTATATTGTCTGGGTTTGGTGCAGTCAATTGTCCATATACTTACATGGCTTATTTCATGAGGCATGTGACTGATTCAGATATCCTGGCCATCGAGAGAAAGTTGACGCAAACTTTGGATATTATTGTCAGCAAGAAGAAACGGATTGCTTACGCCAAACGACAGAGCCAGCGATTTGCAACAAAAGACTCCAAAATGTCAGGTAAATGGCTTGGGTAAATTAATCTTGGGAATCGAGGGAATAGAATTAGATTGCAATTGGTGTGGAAAGTATGCATTTTGCATTCAAAAGATAAGGCTTGCAGTTTCAATTGTCCTCTCTGTATTGAATGTTCTCAGTTCTCTGGGGTTTGCAGTTAAGCTTTGTCATGAAAGATGTGATTTTCCATATCAAGATTACATGTCTATTGCCATTGCAAATTCTCATTGCTGCAGGGTTCCACACTATACATTCCAAGATACACCCTCCCGCTATTCCAGACAATTTTACTTGTAAGTCTGTAAATGCTACAAGTTATCATGTTTAACATTAGATACAGAAATAAATTGTTTTTGAAGGAGAATAATTTTCAATCTATTCTTCATTTAGCAATTTGGGGAGTTTTCAGCAGCGTCACAGGAAGTGGCAGTGAAAATACGGGAATCCTTCAAAAAGAAGTGGAAGCTCTGGAGGAACTGAGTCGTCAACTCTTCCTTGAGGCAGTAGACTTACAAAACACCCGAGCAAGAATGCACTTCTCAAAAACCATTCAAGGCAGATACTTTGACTTTGTTGGCCATATATTTTCTGGCTACTGTGTTTGGAAGATATTTATATCAACAGTGAACATTATTTTTGACCGGGTCGGTAAAGTCGATCCAGTTACCCGTGGTATAGATATCACAGTGAAATACATTGGATTACGCATAGATGTCATGTTTTGGTCTCAGCAATTCTCATTTCTTTTAATCGGTATCCTAATTGTGACCTCCATACGTGGGCTACTAATAACTATGACAAAGTTCTTCAACTCTATGGCCAGTGCCAAGTCTTCAAATGTCATTGTCCTCGCGCTTGCTGAGATTATGGGAATGTATTTTGTGTCGTCTGTGTTGCTCATGCGTATGAACATGCCTGAAAAATATCGGTTGATCATTACTCAGGTTCTGGGAGAGCTACAGTTCAACTTCTATCATCGATGGTTTGACTTAATATTTTTGATTAGCGCCTTGTCAAGCATTGGGTTTCTCTATTTAGCGCACAATCAAGCACCTGAAAAACATATGTATGACAATTACAGTTAATAACGAGATGGTAGTTAACGATGTATGATTAACAAAGCAGTTAGATCAAGACGAAAAGTTTTGTGTTTTTTGAAATTATTAGTTTTATTTATAGAGAAGAGATTTGTGTAATTTACTGTTTGATATTAAAAAGTTAGAGTGTTTCCAAGTTGAAGTGTGAGTTTTTGTATAAGTATCTATGGATATAATCCCAAGCTTAATCCTAAACCTGACTCTAGGATTAGATTAAGGATTATAATCTTGGATTCTTGATGAGGAATTATTAGTTCTCATATGTGATTGATGTGGATTAATGATCAGGTTTAGGATCATTCTTGCGTCTGGTTTAAGTGTTAGGATTAAGCTTTTGGATTATAGGAAGACGATTATTAAAAATTAAACGGATTTATTAATCTTGGTTTATTGTCTGAGACGTAATTCTTGTGCAGCGGTTGAGCGCAAAAATGGTGGAAAATTTGGAAAATTTAAATCCCAAAAAAGATCAGAATTTTTATTTTGAAAATGAAGTAAATTTAAAGCTTAAAGATTGTTTAAATATCATCTGAGCGACAGTAAACTACTAAAGAATGGGAAGGTAGGTTTTTAAACTATTATTGATTTTAATACAACGCGTACTTGATTTTAATAAATTGTGTTGTAATATTAAATGTTTCATCAAGCCACGGGTATGTATATGTTGTACTTGTTTTTCCAAATGATTAGTTGCCAGAGAGGTTAAATTTAAGAAGGCAGTAAATACTGTCTTATGTGTACTGGGCTGATATTTGCCTTGCAAAAGCAACGCTGTGAAAATATGTCAGCAATGAAATTTGATTGGAAAACTGTACATCAAATGAGGTAACTGTTTATACTATAGTCAGGGAATCTCGTTATTCAGTCAGATATCCTCTTTATCTAGGCCTCGGTAAACACAATGTCTTTATCTAGTTAATGTATAGTTAGTAAACCACTTGACCTGGTTGTATCTGATTTATCTAGTCAGATATCCTCTTAATCTTTAATCAGAAATCCTCTTAATCTCTAGTCAGATATCCTCTTAATCTTTAATCAGATATCCCCTTAATCTCTAGTCAGATATCCTCTTAATCTCTATAGTCAGATATCCTCTTAATCCAGGCAGATATCCTCAGATATCTTCTTAATCTTTAATCAGATATCCTCATAATTTCTAGTCAGATATCCTTTTAATCTCTAATCAGATATCCCCTTAATCTCTAGTCAGATACCCTCTTAATCTCTATAGTCAGATATCCTCTTAATCCGGGCGTATATCCTCAGATATCTTCTAAATCTAGTCAGATATCCTCATAATCCTACCAGATATCCTCGTAATCCTACCAGATATCCTCGTAATCCTACCAGATATCCTCGTAATCTGGCCAGATATCTTCTTAATCTAGTGAATTTTCTCTTAATAATCTAGTCAAATCTCCGCTTGATATAAACTCAGTTATCTTCTTTATCTAGTACGTTATATAGCTTCTTGATCTAGTCCCAAAAGTGAACAGTAAACATGCCATATTTGTAGATTTCTTATGTAATGTTATTGTAAAATCTTAGGAAGCAAATCACTTCATGCATATAAGATTTAAGAACCCTTGAAACAAAAACAAATGAGAACAAGAGCTTTCTTACGTAAAATTTGGCAACGTATTTTAAACGTAGCTTCGTGTTTTCAATTCAAAACCCAGTCATAAATGCGTTCAAAAAAGATTCCATGGAAACAAGTCAGTGTTTGAAATCACGGATGACAAATCAAATTATTTCAACGCACGTCTTAAAACGCAAGGAATAATTGCGGACACCATGGAATGTGAAAGGACGACTTTCGGGTAAATTATAACTACAAAAAAACTCACTTATATTTAAACTGGTTCATTATTCATTTTTAAAACGCACGAATTACAAAGCTCTATATGTTTTGCCACTGCCAAATACCATTCCTAAATTTCGTGTAACGTTTGAATCAACGCTACAAAAAATGCCTTTGTTTGAGCCACGCTATTAATCGACAAATATTTGTCTTAAGTGTCCAACAAAAGCTCTTTTAACTAGAAACATCTCATTAAGGCCGGTCATAGCGCATTAAAAGCGCCAATTCGTATGTTCCCATAGTAATTATAGTAAAAGGAGTCCCCTTTGTACACGAACTCGGAGTAAAATTCACAGTGATATTTCTAAAGTTCTCAAAATGGTTTCACCAGTTGACTAGGGCTCAACGATTGAAGCTTTTTAGCGTTTCAAAGTTATAGCGAAACTTGTTGGCCGAATCTCAAACTAATTTTATCCTGCAACATTTTTTACATATCACGTAATTGTAATTGTTATTATTAATCATGATTTTGCAAATATTAAGTACAAAATTATATATATATTTGTTCTTCTCTATAAAATCTTATGATATAAATGTCATATAACTTATAATATATCTTTGACAACAATTCGCTTATCGCTATGTTGTGATTATATACTTTACAAATTTCGATATTTATATAAATATTTTAATGTTAATAAAAGTCTTTAACTCTTCGTTGTTGTCCATGGCAAGTGCCACTGAGGCATATCTTACGATAAACTACATTGATTCGTTGCTGAACTTGCAAGGAAATTGAAAACAATTTAAGCTACTCAGTTCTTAATGGAGACAGCCTTCAGCTAACGGAAAGACCTTTATCGTTTTCATCAAAACAACGATATACGTTGAATGGTCTTAAATCTTAATAGGCGAGTTCAAACACAAACAATGCATACAGTTCTTTGCTATGGAGCATTCCAGTTCTTAGCAGCTCGCAGGTCGTTTAGCTAACAAGTTCTCGACATCAAAAGGTCGTCTTGTCAGAGATTTCTCTTCGATTTCATCTTCACTGCTTATGATGACTTCATGTTTCACCTCGATCTGATCACCAGGAATATGAATCACGGTTCTTCCCTCGACGTCGGATTCTGCTACGGATCTTGGACTATTATCCAAGCGTTCTGGGCTTTCCATTCTAGAGTAGTCTCCTGAGCTGTGCTGCCTCTCGACAAATCTTGTGCCAGTACTCTGTATCACAGTCTCTGGGCTTTCGACCAGTCCATAGCGAGATGGACTATCGTTTTCCCGCTCCGAAGATTCTGCTGTTCGCGGTGGGCTCTCGACCATGGCGTAATTGTTGAAATGAAACACTTCACTCGGGTAATAACAAAACTTCGGGGCAGCTTTCTTCTGGAATTTCCTCTGATGTGAGGAGCCACGTAGAAACTCTTCGTAATGTTGTGGACTTAGCGTCCAAAAGTGTCCCTTTCCATTCGGACTGCGGCCCAGTTTTACGAAGCAATCGTTTAGACTCAAGTTATGTCGTATGCTGTTCTTCCAACCGCTACCACGGTTCTTGAAATAGGGGTATTTCGTTTGGATGGTTTTGTAAATCTCGCTGAGAACCAGTTTCTTTTCAGGAGAGTTCAAGATGGCTTCCCCGATGAGTCGAACGTAGGATTGTTTTGGCTTTTCTTCATCGCGACTTGGAGGCGTGTAACTGCTCGCTTTGAATCCCTCCAACAGCCCTCGCTGGTCGTAGAGGCTGAGAAAAGCTCTGGTCAAGGCTTCTCTTTGGGCGAGATGTACAAATGCTGGATTGATTGCCAACGGTTGGAAGCGGTAGTGAAGACTCGAGTCTGTATATGGCCATGTATAGCCCAAAGACGACGACTGAAGATCTCTGTAGTAAGATAATTGTGAAGGCGACATGCTTTCTGTTAGTTCAATGGAGTTTTCCAATGGTTGACTGCTGGTTACTGGCATCTTGAATGTTGTGTTTTCGTTTGAAAGTTGTGATAAAGTTTACTCGTTGACTTGTTTTTCCCCGTCTCTCTACGTGGTCGTTTTTCTTCAGGAATCCCCTTTAAGTGCCTTTCACAAGAGTGTCTGTGTGTGTGTAATCGTTTCTGCTTACGAGTAGCGATAAATCTGCTCTTTATATAATCAGCGACCGGATTTTAAATGGACTGCGTAAATAAGGATATTGCACCAGCGTAAAGTGCCAGTGTCTTGAAATATCGTGTCGTACGCGATCTCAACTCGACCATATCATACATGTTCAGGCAGGATCATCATTTCTTAATTACTTTAAGTTTCCTTCCTGCCTGGGAGTTAGTTAGCCTTGATTAGCTGTTTAAAGACCACCCTTGTTTACCTTGGAGTTGTTTAACATGAGAGAATCAGAACTGAGGTTTGAAAAAGGCTCTAAGGCGATCTTTTATCGAGCTTCGAATATATTCTGGTTTATTTTTTGTGTCTTTTCAACGCTCAATTCCACAACATCCCTTTGGCTTTTCATGCCATGGCTGACCCAATATACACTTGTATTAAAGGAACTTGCATAATACTCAAACAAAGCGAAGTGCTTATCTTTTATCCCGAAATGTGAAATTGCACATTTTCGTATAAAAACAAGAAAAATAGGCACGTTCAGCGTACGTGCTGTCTCTGATTGGTTGCCCTATGAGCGACAGAAAGTAAAGTTTTGGACAGCTTTGATATGGAAGTAAAGTTATGGGTGCAAATATTCAATCATTTTTGTTTAAGATTTAACTTGGTCGAAATCTGCTATAATTTCTATGACAGTGACGCCCAAATCAGTTAAGTGCAAGAAAACAAGGTAGTCCTTAAGAGATATCCTGGACATTGTAATTGCATGCCTTTTTTGGATCGCCCTGAAGTAGCTAAGTTTTATGACACGTGCATGGAGAATCGCTTGGACATAAAACCACCACCAACATTCACAACCAAATATACTCTTTTATTTACAAAACTTTGACTCCGCATCAAAATTTTAATATCACATCCCTGCACACAAATTCAGCACAACGCGTGTGTTTTGTTCAACTGTTTCAGCGTGTATAACTTGATCATTAAACATTTCCACTGATATTGAGTGCATGTATGATATCCCATTGCCCACCGGACTAACCCCTTGAGTTTTTTGTCGTTCTACTTGATTCTCTACCGTTCTAACATTGTAAAACAAGCTTGGCTCATGTGAACTTACTCCTGATTGTATGTTCTCGATTTTCCGCATAAAAGAAACAATATTGTTGGAGTGAACGCGTCGACTCCTGCTACAATTTCCAACCCAGAGCAATCGTGAGCATTTATATCTTTGTTCACCGGTATTTTTTTTTATTATAATGGCAAAAAAATAACAAGGAATAAAGAGCGCGATCGTTTTAATGGCGTTAGGAGTGGACCATCCTTTTTTTGTGCTTACAATTTCGACTTTAAACATGGCTCCTTAATGCTAGGACTTATATTCCTCTACTTGATCAACTATGTTCGTTGCATTTTTATCTTATATGAGTCGTGACACATTCCAAACGCATGTGTCCTTGGTGAGGACTTATATTCCCAAAGAACTTGCGGTTTTTTGGTATAATTGCTTATAGGAAATCAAAGGTTGTAATTTGAAGTACAAGAGTACGACGTTTTTGAAAGCACGCCAAATCTTTTACCATGCATCGAAAGGCTGAAAGACGCTTTGGATCTTTCTCGATGGTGTATTTTTATTTCGCTAATCGCTATATATATAAATCAAGTGGAGAAGATACTTTAGCTGAAATTTTTGGCATGTAAATTCGTGTAGTCAATTATTAGTCAAAGAAGAAGAAAAAACTCCTTGGTCTTTCTCAAACCTGTTCATTTGCGCTCAAATAAAAGACATACTGTGGTTAATGATGTATTTTTACTATGGTAATGTGGAATGAATCCAATAATTCATGTTTATAAAAATGCAGCATCATCTTTCTTGACCACAAGTCTGGTTCCTTCTAGCGTGTTTGACCTTGATCTGAAAACGTGCTCGACCCCCTAGTTCTCTACATCCTGAATTAATATCGCTTATTTTTTTCCTGGGTGGAAGAAAACCTCCCACAACTATCCGCTTCATCAAAACGAGTAAAAGGTTTTGATATATCGTAAACCTATGACGTTTACAGTGACGCAAGCAGTTTGAACGGCGCGAAATCTTGCTTGGTAATGGTTTGTGTATATGGGACAACATGCATACTGTCGACAAATTTAAACAAAAAAGTCAAACAAGGCTTTCTCTATCAAAGAATTGTACTAATCTTTGAATATATGCATGACTACCGTGTAGTTCTCGTTCAAAATGAATATAATATTTGCTTCAACGTATTGTTTCATTATATTAATTTTATCACAATTCCTAAATTCTATTTAAAGCGAAATTATAACAAATTTACAGCTATTTGGATCGTGATTTGTTGGAATTAACTTTTGCACTACGGAAGAGGCTACAATAGGCTACATAAACTTGAGGATTACTATAAAGGAGCTATATCTATTTGCTAACTACGGTCATAAACACCGGGTTAACGATTTACTGTTGTTGGCCAAAAGTTATGGCAAATAAATTGTCCGGCAAGTCAGGACAGGTCGCTCATAAACCATATTGTTCTTCAAATTATAACGCTCAATGGATTTACCTAAAGTTTAGGAATGAAAACGCTTTCAAATTTAACAAAAGTTTCAAAATGTTTTAGTCAAGAGCGCATGCAATGATACGTACTATATAAGTCCATCTTTACCCATTCAGAAACAAAACAACTAACTTAATGTTCAATTATAATACATTTTGCCTTGTACAAATAGTTTTCGTTTGAATGTAGTGTATTTATTGTATATGAACGTGTGTTTCTTGCGCGTATTGGCAATATATGGGTGTTTTTTGCCCAGTGCGTGTATAAACTCTGTATAGTTTATTTGTAAATCTATCTTCAATGTTGAACAATCAAGTTTTTCTATACTCATGCATTATATAGCCTGTATATTTTACAATATCATTCAAATAAAGCCCTAATATAGGTCCACATGAGCAGTGGCAATCTTTTGTGGAAATACAAACGTTATATAGAAGATTTTCATGCTTTAATTCCCTTTTTTTACGATCAAAATGGACAAGAATCTGCAATTCCTGGTCTTTCGCAAAGTAAGTTCGATTATAGCTTCTAGAATCTAATTTTTAAAGAAAAAATCCGAAATATTTTAGAAGACGTATAGTGTTTACTTCTCCTGTGCGATCTATCAAAACAATGAACTGGCTGAAACAGCTATTAGATGCATCTCGAAATAATGGTATACCAATGGTCATATATGGTCTCACGAGTAGTTCATGCCTTATAGTCATTGGTCTGGGGCAGTTATCGGTTGTTAAAGAAGTTTAAGCTTGCTTTGAAAGAATGTGAATAAATTGCATGTATGCATGGTATCCTTGTAAAAAACATGGACAGATACATTGATATATGATGAAGCTTTAAATAATATAAACTTTTTTGCAGTTTCCTTCAAGGCAATATTGAAATTTCAGATATTTGACATAGAAAGAAATCATGAGAAATGATAAGTCATTCAGTTGAAGTAACGAGTTATATATGTTTAATGCCTTGCTAGTCATGGTTCATCTTTCCAACTGTGTTAGGGCTTTGGTACACCGCACCCTTTTTTGTAGTTCTTTATATATCACTTTGATAATATTTCAATACCCAAAACACTTTTCGACGTTACAAAGTACAATTACCCCAAATAGCATGTATCATTAAGTGGTATTCTGGCACTTGAAAGTGAAATTGAGTATGTCAAAAGAGTTTACCTTTTAAATAAAGAGGGGTGCAATATAGCTTGGCGTGAGACCGGAATATCACAGGATGTGAGCTCTGGAATGTGCCATTCAGGTAAACAAGCGAAATATCATCCTTTTTATGCTTTATGGAACACTTTACAAGGATAATAAAACAAGGCAAATAAACATCAACAAAGCTTGCTTGCTTTATCCCATGACACACACACGCGTTTTTCTTCGTTGTAGAAATCAACTGGCAGTTCCATAATTTAGTTTATGAACTGTGTAATAGTAAACATCTTTCGGTCGTTAACTGTTAATGATTTTAAAATGACTTTCAACTGTATCAGAATATAATCTCTGTAATTCTATTCGAACTGGTTCGTAGCATTGTCTTTATAGTCTCTATAGCACCATCCCCTTCTTATCTTCAATATAAGAATGAGAATATTCCTTATCCTGGATAATGAACTGTTTTTTTATGAGGTTTATAGTAAGATGTGTATAACATGTATATATTGGTCCAGTTTCACCAAAGGAAGTAAACATTAGCTCAGTTTTTCGCTAGATCTAGCTATATACATTGTTCTAAACTCTTCACCTATAGGAACTCCATTATCAATCCAATCTGTAAACACATCTCTCGATCTTGTTTTTCATCTCTGACGTGCCATATAGTAACTTCTCTTGCATGATTGGGCCTTTCTAGAAAACGCGTGTTGATAAGGTCTTTATTAAAGATTAATGGCCAATACTCGCTTTAAGGGGATTCCTTGCTGGTGAAGAGACTTTAACTTGGAAAGGATGGACCTAATGTTCAACTTTATGCACGGAAGCGGTTGATAAGAGAACCGTATTTACTAGCTTGGAAGAATTGGAAATATGAGACGATTAATGACATCCATGCATGCCGAATTTTATACAAATATATCAAAAACTATGATTAAATACAGCGTGTGTTTCCACACATGATCGTAGTGCATGTATCTAGGGATAGTTTATAAATGATAGAGCCAGTTAATTTGGTTTGAAAAAGTTAAAGTTAATTTGATTTAGGTTTCCTCCTTTAGTAACACTGGATCAGAAGAAATTGATCCTTATTGGACCTCTAGCAAGAACAGTTTAGAATTGATTGTCTGGTAGAGTTATCCAGTGAATGTACACTGGCTTAAAACAGGTCAGAACTTGGCAAAGCTATCCAGTATAACGTCAATACGAGCCATATGTTCCAGAATGCAACGTTTCCGCGTACTGTTTATAATCATTTCAAATCGATAGCAACCTTCATCAATTTCCGGACACTTGGGTTGGTGCGCTAAAACGATTAATCACCACTTGGCCTAGGCGACCTTACCACTTTGTTTCAAGTATCTAGTAAACACTGATCTATTTTTTACCAGCGCGAATACCTCGATCTTTCCTAAGAGATGATCCTTACTAGACTTCTAGGAAGAACAGTTTAGAACTGATAGAGCTATCCAGTGTAAATAAAGTTAGTTTAGTTTAGGTTTCCTCCTGTAGTAACACTGGGTCAATAAGAGATGATCCCTACTGAACCTCTAGGAAGAACAGTTTAGAACTGATAGAGCTGTCCAGTATAAATAAAGTTAGTTTAGTTTAGGTTTCCTCCTGTAGTAACACTGGATCAATAAGAGATGATCCTTACTGGACCTCTAGGAAGAACAGTTTAGAACTGATAGAGCTATCCATGCAGTATAAAAGTGTTTCTATATTATAATGTTACAGTTGTAGCTAAAAGTTTCGTGAGCTTGTCAGCTCGTGCCAGTTGCTACGTGCTTCTTTCTTCTTTAACGCGAGGAATATTCGCGCCAAAACGTGTCCAATATTGACTAGGAAATGGTTTGGAGTAGAAAGAGATGCGGAAATGCCGAAATTACTGCATGTAAACCTCGAGGTATGTCCGTCTTTACGCATGCTATCTTCGTTCATGTTGTCGTAGCTAGGTTGTGTTCCACGTGTCTTACGATTGGGTAAACTACATGAGACTGTCTCTGAAGCGAAAATGTGCTCTTCCTAGTGTACAGGAAGAGAGGGGAAGAATATTCTTCCGAATTTCTCCTCCAACAACCGTCTTAGAGTAAGGCAAATCAACGAAAACATATTATCTGTGACAAACTCGTGCATCTTAACACGGGCCATCATTAATTACACATAACATAGTTGCTCAGGAAGTAAGTTCTTGAACTTTGGTTTTATCATTGAAGATAAGGCTTACAATATTTAGAAAGAATCGAATCAATTTAAAGACCTCGCGATCAAGTGCTTCCTTTAATGAATTAGGCCTGCAATATAGGAGCTTGGGAAAAATTGAAAAACTTCTGGGTTTCCGGTATTTCAAACGATTTCTTTATGTTTTTGCGTGCACAAAGATATGAGCCAGAGCTGATTGCAATAAGATAACATTGATTAGAAAGTAATCGGAAATTTACCAGGAATTATTCAGATCCTAATCGAGTTCATCTTTGGCTGTTGTATAGTGAAACTCACTAACGAAATGCAGAGTGTTGTATACTCGTTATCTGAAGAGTTTTGACAAGTTAAGAAAATAAAACTTTCGAATTGTTTTCAAATGACTGGAATGAGATTGTGGTGCTCCTGTCCAAACGAACAGTTGACCTTAACCGTTGAAATATATTTGAACATGTTATGGTAAAGATTTTCACTCCCCTCGCGATTGTCTTCTGTTGTAAACTAAGGTTCGTATTCTTTTCTTTTTAGTTTGAAGATTTCTCCATCAACAAGTGTTGAGTTTGAATTGTGCTCAATAGAAAGAGATGAAAATATATTCTAATGTGGGTAGGTAATGTTACTGTTTTGTTTAAGTAACAGAACTCTTTCGAGTTGATTTGAATGGATTATATAAATTCGTTTATTTTAAGAATGTTTTAACGGTAAAAAAGATATAGATTATCGTACTATTATCTATCTCTCTGGGGAAGTTAGGAAAAATAAAAATTTGATTCGAAATCTAAGCGTCGTAACCGGGGCTTGGTGACCAGATAGCGTTGTTAGCGTCAAATATGAAAGTACAGTTCTCTTGCAATCTAGACCCAGTCCATTCCTGTGTCGGGTTACTCGGGTCATTGATTTCGTATGAATCCAATAACCTTACCTGGGTTTGATGGACCATACAAAATGTGCATACAAAATCAAATATATTCTTCTTAACGTTAAGGGTATATTAATAAAGTTTAAGTTTTGACTCAATTATTTTAAAGGCAGCATCAAACCGGAATAATCGAGAATATTTAAATTTGATAGTTCGAATTCGATCAAACAAACTCTAAATTTTGCTGTGGGATTGTGTATCTAGATTAAAAATATTCAGTATGATGAATACAGTCTTTGAAGAATAAAAACATATGATGCAATTCGTAAGCCATTAAATGAAATAACTAGATAAGATTAAAACATCTTTCTCGCTCCTAGGGTCACAGCACTAGGAAAGACAGCACTGACACCCTGTGTGAAACAAACTCAGCTAGAATTATATTCATTAAACAAATCATCGTGATATCCTGGGTATTTTCAATATCGGCGCTAAAACCTCGCGTCTTGCACCTGGAAAACAAATTGTTCATGCAGCTATACGTATATTATCACTTGTCGCTCAATCTAATTGTACTTTGCGTTTTCTACAGCTTGTTAAGTGGCATTAAATCATTTTCAACGAGGTGTTAAATGGTTTTTCATGTTTGACAGCTGTTGTACTCCATGTTGTCTTTAAACAAAGCAGGAAAATGACAAATTAAAGGCTATTAACACATCGCATAATCAATTATATATTCAGCTAGAGCATTGACGTTATTCTAAAGTATTTTTACATAAATTAAAAGCATTATTTCTTTCATATTCGTCGTAATAGACGAGACAAAATTGGCTAATTTTATTTGTTGTAAGTATAGTATAACTGTTTCAACTTGAGGTAAACTAACTTATTTATACTGGAAAACTCTATCATGCTGTTCTAAACTGTTCTTCCTAGAGGTCCAGAATCATCTCTTATTGATCCAATGTAACTACAGGAGGAAACCTAAACTAAACTAACTTTATTTATACTGGATAGCTCTATCAGTTCTCAACTGTTCTTCCTAGAGGTCCAGTAAGGATCATCTCTTATTGATCTAGTGTTACTACAGGAGGAAAACTAAACTAAACTAACTTTATTTATACTGGAAAGCTTTATCAGTTCTCAACTGTTTTTCCTAGAGGTCCAGTAACGATCATCTCTTATTGATCCAGTGTTACTACAGGAGAAAACCTAAACTAAACTAATTTTATTTATACTGGATAGCTCTATCAATTCTAAACTGTTCTTCCTAGAAGTGCGGTAAGGATCATCCCTTATTGATCCAGTGTTACTACAGGAAGACCAAACCAAAGAGAACTCCCTTTGTTGAACATGGTCATGAATAAGCACTTTTCTCACGGCTGAAACGAAAGTCAATATAATGAAACCGACAAAATAAAACGAAACCTTAGACCACGAACAATAGTACGTCCCATTTCATTTTTACCCCAGGACTACTTTATATTGTAGCAACCTTGTACTCGAGTATATATTCTTAGTAGAGCATACTGTGTTTGGTATTATCATGATGATTTCGAGACGATATTAACATGAAGAAAACCGCAAACAAACATTTCATGATAGATTGCTTGCAAGACGGCCTTTTTCATTGCTTTAAAAATATCCCAACCTTGTCGCCAAGGTGATCGAATCAAAGATTCGTACACAAAGAAAGTATTAGATGATGATGGGGTTTGTCTGCTTGCGTATAAAGGAATATGGTATAGAGTGAAAAGAATTCTGAGTAAGTTGTTTGTCGTTAGTGTTTCATCGTTGTTCAGGGTTACCGCTATATAACCTGGACCCTATTTGCGGAATACGACCAGTATGGACTGGAACTTGACTGGAATTATGTATATGCTTCGTTATAATTCTCTCAGTCGCGAGCGAGAATAGTGTTTTTCATACCTATATATTTAGCAAATCTTTTAGTGTTTTCTCAGCTGGTAGTGTTTTATACTAGACGTCTACTCTGGTTGAAATAAAGTCAGTTTAGAACTGATAGAGCGATCCAGTATAACTGTATAAATAAAGTTAGTTTAGTTTGGTTTCCTCCTGTAGTAATACTGGATCAATAAGAGATGATCTTTACTGGACCTCTAGGACTAGGAAGAAAAGTTTAGAACTGAAAGAGCTATCCAGTATAAATAAAGTTAGTTTAGTTTAGGTTTCTTCCTGTAGTAACACTGAATCAATAAGAGATGATCCTTACTGGACCTCTAGGAAGAACAGTTTAGAACTGATAGAGCCAGCTCATTCCAGTTTTCCAAAGGTAAAATCTCAGTCCTTTTAATCCAGTTTCATGCTCACTTATGATTCCAGTTTTCTATCGGCCCTTATATTTGATGTTCACAATAACAATATCATTGAAAGAGGTTGTGTCAAGAGGATTCAAGGACAAACAATGTGGATTTACTAACGGAGCTAATATAAACTTAATACATCGTTCATCACTCGTGGATAGCAATGCCAACGCACGTACGCTTTTAATGATTGATTAAGAAAATATTCATATTATATTAAAAGGCAGATGAAAATTCACCTTATTTTCAGATTTTACGAAAATTTCGTGCAAAATCGTTTCCAGATCGTTCGTGCAGTTTTAAAGCTCTTTCAGTTTGCGTTTGTCGCCGGATATATTTCATACTTGATTAAACGATTTTGAAAACACAAATATTTCAAATTCGTGGCTATTTTCTTCGAAGCAAAATTCACGTTAGGTTTGATTCGGAGATTCAAAAGTCACGATTAGTTTTGATTCAGAGTTGCAATTTCTCAAGCGAAGAACAATGTTTTGTAGCTGAAAAGTTTTGCAACAATCAAAAAGAGCTGGCTATCTCAGATCACACGCGTCTTATACTCCACCCATCATTCAATTTGCCGTTTATTTCTCACCCTTCATGGGCATGTTTTAAAGCCAAAAATACTCCCATTTGTCCATAATTGTACTCTTATATACCCGATATAGCTTTACTTCGTTTGAGATATTTCACAGACCTCTTAGCGATTAAAGATAGTTCTGTTATACTTTGAAGAAGCTTAAGCCTGGTAAATTAAAAATATATAACGTCTTGCATTTGTAATTATATAACACATGCAATTGTAATTTGTAAAATGAAGTCGACAAAAACGCCGGCAATTTGCGATTTAATATCCTTGGGACGCGACGAAAAATGTTAATTCTATTGGCAGGAAATGATTAATTCGTGTTTCCTTTCATTTTGGTATATAAAGATTTAGAAACAAAAATAGGTGCATACACAAACGCATTTTTTTACACAGTAATTGCGACTTTGTTTGTAGGAGGACTTGTTATATACACCCACTTATAAACGTTTTCAAACTCTACATGAAAGCCTTTACCATTGCTAGGTTTCCGATTTGCGGTTATGTAGGAACGCCTTGTAAACAAACTGAATGCTATATATGCCGTGCACATTTTCAGGACCAAAACTGCGTTGATAATGGTCGCGTTTTGAAAAGCCGTTAAACCTCACGGCCCGAGGTCTTTGAACCCCTTGTATGGGCTCCGAGATTGCGCCAGTTAACCCAGTCAGGTATTGCTTGTCTAGGGTAAACTGTTTCTTAAGAGGGTCAATAAACACATTCTCCCAACACAGCGTTCTTTTGAACTCTTAATCAAGGCGGGGCGTGTTAATTATAGATGTTTAAAGCAATTTGTAGCGAGCTAACGACTGGTAATCGCTCTCATAAGGATCCCAACAGCGAGTTGACATATGTGGAAATCGATCTTTGGGTTTCTTGGTTGGCAGGTGTAGAATTCTTTTCCATTGAATGTGTATATATACATTTATATATACTGCGATCAATCACAAAGAAATCCATTGACAATTTCAAGTGTTAAACGCTTATGAAGGAACTGTGTCCAAATTCAAAGCTATTCAAAGGCAGTTATTATGGTGCCATATTGAAGGTTGGGCTGGCAGCCAATCAAAGAGGCGTATTTAAACGCTAAAGCAATACTGATTGTGTTTTGTATCAAGTTTATTTGCAATCACACGGTAGTTTGGCTCAAACTCTTGCCACACAAACATCGAATCTTGAGACGTTCAAAGGGTCGCCCAACAGTGAAACTCGTGACACAGAACATGTCGATTACTACCCCGAGGGAAACGAACAGCGCTTTCAAAGGTCTCGACTCAGAAATGGTTCATTACAACGAACACCGGAGCGTCGTTCATCCGAGTAGCTTCTATCACGAAAGTTGCATGCCCAGTTATCAACCATCGTTCAATTGTATCCCTTGGGAGTTCGGGTTATACGGCGTGGATCCGTATTACCAAACCCTCTTCTCATATCACCGAGGTTTTCCTGGCTCGCCCCAATTCTTCCATCGCACCTTCAAATCATTCTACACAGACGAAGAAAAGCCGAATCAGTCCTACATCGGTTTGATAGGCCAGGCAATCATGAGTAGCCCAGAGAAGAAAATGGTTCTAAGCGATATTTACAAATGGGTGCTAACCCATTATCCATATTTTCGCAACAAGGGACCTGGTTGGAAGAACAGCGTGCGACATAACTTATCCTTGAACGATTGCTTTGTGAAGGCAGGTCGAAGTCCAAACGGCAAAGGGAACTACTGGGCAATCAATCCTGAAAACTACGATGATTTTCGCAAGGGGGACTTCAGGAGACGTCGGGCGCAGAGACGATCACGCAAATCAGGTCAAAATGTGGAAAGTCAAACGTCCGTGGAAGACGCTTCGACCTCTAAGACCCAGCAAGACGCAGCAGCGATCAGCGAAGATGAGCCTTGTGTTGCAACGCAGACAGCCCCAGATCTCGAGAGCAGTCGTTTGAATTTTAAAGATGACAGCAAAAGACGAACTTTTGATGTTGAGAATCTACTGCGAATTGAGACCTCAGAATAAACAACTACGATGAAGAGCACGAATGGTTTTATCCCTGCGTTGAGCACGAAGCATTGCAGTATATAGTCTGTACAATCATGACTGTAGACTCAGAGAGAGGATAGCAAGGATTAGCCTGGAAAACATCAGAAACATATCAAGACAAGTTTTGGGAATATATATATAAATATATATACAGGAAGTCGATTCATTGAGGCTTCGTAAAAAAATTAAAGAACACACTGTATAAAAGGTCTTTTCATATACATCGCTCAATCTTTCACAAACGTTTTAAGCCTATAGGACCCGATAAAGATATACAAACGAGAATGTTTTCCTAGTGTCCTCGAAGGAATTGGTTTATTGCTGTCTCATCTTCCATCAAGAGACAATTGCGATACAATAGCGTGCATATAGGGACCTATAGACTAGCTGTCAAGATAATTGACATTCGTTAGTGTTGATATGTTGCCTCGAAACCCGGGCATCAATAGGAAGTATATATATTTTGCTCATATTCATTGGGGGTTAGTGTTTGTGTATGGGGGGGGGGGGGATTTCTACATGATCTAAATAGCATACAAAGGTTTTAATATATATAAACTTATAAACTATATCTTAATGAATATATATTATATTATATTACTGTGTAAATAAAATGAAATTTCAATAAAATTGTAAGTTTAAATCTGTATTTGCCTAGTTTTGTGTAATATGAATTGTATCTTTATAAAAAATGCGAGACAGGATTTGATAAAGGTTACAATGTATGGAACAACATGAGATGATCCTTACTCGACCTCTAGGAAGAACAGTTTAGAGCTATCCAGTATAAATAAAGTTAGTTTAGTTCAGGTTTCCTCCTGTAGTAACACTGGAACAATAAGAGATGATCCTTACTATCCAGTAAAAAGCTGTAGTAATCATTTAACCTCTAATAAAGCTAAAATAAATAAATCTATAGATTACTATCTATAATATTACGTACTAAAAGAACGATAAAAATGGAATATCACAAATTTCAAATTTCCTGTCATGAATATAGGGATAACTAATATTGGAAACACTACAATGTGTTTGACGTCAAACCCTCAGCACAAAACAAATGCCAAATTGTTTTTCTGCCCTATATCCTATATACATAGCGTTATGGAGACCTGTATTCATCTTTGCTTTCTTTCAGCCTATTAACCTAACACTGGGCCTATATAAACTCATTGACAGAATATATAAAGTAACCGCATAAACAGCACTTGTTTACGAGAAACCTATCAATACTTGGCCTGTATTACCACACACTAAATATATGGATTGGCGGTGACATTGCATTCATAGTTAAGGACCTCCAGAGAGACCTAGATTTGAGCAATATTTATGAACAGGTTCTGGAGCGAGGGTTGCGGGTAAACAAGCAGGATGGTTTGGACATGTGCTTCTGTGTGGATTTTTGCAAGTCTCATGTTAATGTTTTCTGACAGCAAAGAATATGACATCTTTTAAAGTGTCGTATTAAGAGGGTGGCCTTTCTCTCTAAAGACATCACTTTCTTTCGCAATACTTCAACCTTCTGATATCCCCCCTATTTCTTCACCTATCCCCACCTATTTCCTCACCTATCCCCCCTCCTATACATCGTCCCACCCCTACACTCCACCCAACCTCGATTCACCTCTCTTCAATACCACACCCTAAATACATTGATTCCCCCAACACCCACCCTATGCACCCCAATTCCCCCCATCCGACCACCCTCTGGCATTTTCTTTTTCCCAAAACCCGCCTACACCAACCATTACTCTTCTCCTCCGAAATGCTTCGTCCCTCCTACTGATTATTTGCCGCTGTATACATTGCACAATATTTTGCGGCAGTCTTGTAATCGATGAAAGTCTCAGCTCTCTAATATCGCCTGCCAGACTCCCAGGAAGATAATTTTCGTCGGCCAGATTGATTTCATTAACTTTGCCGCCATCATAAATACTGTATGTCTGCCCTTAAATATTTACCTGCTCTCCAAATATTAAGCAATGTTTTTTAGGTTTGTTTTTCGAATCAAGTATGGAACAAATAAATGTGATTCGTCACTGACCACCGCGGTGTTATTATTGTGCAGAATTTAAGCAATGTTCTCCTTGTTTTTTATCTCATTTGAATCATGCAGAGGTGCTACATGTTGTTCATGAATGAGGGCCATCTTAAAGTGATCTGATGTTGTACAGAACTCATGTGAGTAGAGTTAAGTCTCTCCTGTGTTCTCTCTCAGTTGTCTGAGTTAAGCATGGTTAGATCATGCAGAGGTAGTACATGTTCTTGAATGAGAGCTGCCTTAAAGTGATCTGATGTTGTACAGAACTCATGTGAAGTCTCTCCTGTGTTCTCCCTCAATTGACTGAGTTAAGCATGGTTAGATCATGCAAAGGTGGTACATGTTCTTGAATGAGAGCTGCCTTAAAGTGATCTGATGTTGTACAGAACTCATGTGAGTAGAGTTAAGTCTCTCTTGTGTTCTCTCTCAGTTGACTGAGTTAAGCATGGTTAGATCTGATGTTGTACAGAACTAGAGGGAGTGTATGTGTAAATGAACGCGAGAAACCTTAAAGAGATTACGTCACGATTATGTCATGTTGTGTTATTCGAAAGTCTCAACTTCTTATGATATAACAACCCAACGTGATGTGGATGACTGTTGTTGATTTCAACAGCTAAGAATTTACTGGCAAAACAAAACACTTTAACTTTAACAAACACATGCCTTTATTAAACTTCCCTAAAAATCAAACAAAAAACTCCTTTAAATGTTGTCCATGAAAGTTTTCTTTGATTTAAGCTGAAGACGTTTTAGAAACAAATATATTAACGATAGCAACAATATCAGTCAGCAATTTATGATTATCTTTCCTTTACAAATCCATTGCTAGGTAGCTATAGCGACGTAAACGAAATTCTTCGCAAATTCGTTATGGTTGTTGATAGTGGAATTTAAGCTTCTTCTTTTACGCTTCTTTCTGCTCTTTGTGCATGGCAACCATGTTGAATCATTCGAGCATTTTCCACCCACTGTAAATCTACTCCAATTCAAAATGCAATTCCTTCCTTTTGCTGTGCCTTCCGTGTGAACGTGACGTTTTGACGTGGAAATAACGCCAGTTTTATCGTAGGTTGCGATCTCTGACCAGACGTCATGTCTCTACGCAATTGCAAGCGAAGACGCTGTGCCGCCCAATGAGTAACACTTTGACCCGAATAGGCGGAGAATAATTTTTCACAGTTTTCTTTTGCAAGATATCCTGGATATCAGCGCAGCGTTTTGCTAAGCTCTATTGAAGAGAATAAACCTGTATTAATCATGTTTTAATGTAAATAACTCTAGTTTGGTCTGGATAAATGAATCAATTCCATACAAATTATTGAAGCAGATATTTGCGATTCCTGTTTTTTTTAAACATATATTGTTGGTGGTTGGAAATTTTCAAGGCGTGTTGTATCTGTATTCGACGTTTCCTCTGAAGCATTAGGCCTTTCTGGACTCCCTATTAGGGCATTCCTCGTCCACATATCCGAGGCAATCTTTACATAAATGCCGTATAAAGCATTGTTGATAACAAACAGAGTCGATAACATATGATAACACTCTAATATACTTCAAATGAAGGACTTGGCTCAAGTCTCTCTTGGCTCAAGTCTCTCTAATATTAGGTAACCTATAAGAAATAATTATATAGTTTGACCAACGGTGTTAAAAATGCTCTCCTTAGACTCTAAGTAATGTAACGTATTGCTTAATTCTAGGCTGCCAATCTTTAAAACTAGGAAAACCCAGAATAAATGAGGAATCGTCAGGTCTTTTATAAACTATTTTACTCGTGTACAAATCGTAGTTTCTCTCGTGTGTATCTCGCGCGTTTTTTCGCATTAAACTCGCGGGATCGTCTGTGTCTAAATCGAGACTCGCTCGCATTTAACTCGCGGGCCAGACTCGTGCAACTCGAATGTAGCTCGCGTGTAACCCGAGGGACAGACCATATCGCTCCAGTGGCGGTAAACATGAAGAACTGGGAATAAATAAGGATTGAGATCAGGGTTACATCAACAGGCCACTGACCAGCATTGGTTATATCCAGGTGATCTGAAATGTTTTGGTTGTAAGAACTTAATATCTCTTAAAATATACGTTATTTTGCTTTCAAATTTATGTCAGAGCTAGAGTTCTTATAACTAAACATAATCAAAAAATTTAGACACGTTTCATGAAGATATAATCGATTAAATACAACAGAATGAATTTCCATTTCGACCGAATCCTTCTGAGCGCTGATTGGCAAAAAAATAAGAGCGAAATCACCTGGAAGCTAAAAACAAAATAAGTTCATTGACATTGATGACCTTTTTGGTTTCACTACCATGAACTACTTACATAGGGCATAATCAGATGCCTCGTGAAGTGTCACCAGTATTTGTGTCCTTAGAATGACGTTCTACTAATGTCCACGAGAAACAAATACATTCAGGGTTTCTAGAATGAAAGATGAGTCCCCGCCTGCTAAATTTCAAGACCCCCTTCGAGATATTTTCAAATGCCTTGTATCGCTAGGCGTGCCCCTACTCCGTTTCCCCTATTAGTCAATCTAATTGACTTTCTATGCGGCACTTTGACAGTGCTACGAGAAGCGTGTCTTAGAGGAGTTTTTACCATAAAAAAATCCTTCATGGTAACAACATAAACTATTACCCCACACCAAGACAAGTGCTTTCACCCGGGGGTCTCAGATCCCACACCTCCCAAGGACTCTCATGTTAAACATATTTACCCGATCATAAACACTAATCCTTGAGTGTTCTTTGCCTTTTTTGTGAAATGCGTGGTTTCACTGCCTTGCGAAACAAGGATTTTCATTTCAAAGAAGCACTGTCATCCTTTGTTTTGTTTGCGTGTGTTAGTGTGTTTGTATAAAGCAGGATATTGGCTTTGTTTCAAAGTTTCGATTCAGCTTTATTTATTTTTAAAGAGAATATGCAATAAAGAAATCGTTTCAATTCAAACTCTTGTGGTAATATCTTCTCAAACCATGATATCCGTTCCTTTCCTATTATTTTTCTTATTCTTCTTTTCTAATATTGATCTTTTAGCATTCCCTAATAAGGCTAAACTGGATTCAACCTTATTCTTCACCAATGTTCTAAATCAATTACATACTAGGTAAATATTTACAGTAAATTCCTAATAATTAGCCTTAATTGCTCTAAACATTCCGTAATAATATAGCAATAAGGAACACGTGTTTGAGTGGATCCCAGACCTCCCCCGAAGAAACTAATTATTCTTAAACTGCTCTTTACATAAGTGTTGATGATGATTTGATAAATCCATATGCAGTGTTACAACAGGAAAGAGTTAAGCTGACATTATTTATACTGAATAGCTCTATCAGTTTTAAACTTTTCTTCCTAGAGGTCCAGTAAGGATCATCTCTTATTGATCCAGTGTTATTACAGGAGGAAACCTAAAATAAACTAACTTTATTGATACTGGGTACCTCATCAGTTCTAAACTGTTTTTCTTAGAGTTACAGTAAGGATCATCTCTTATTGATCCAGTGTTACTACAAGGGGAAACCTAAACTAAACTAACTTTATTTATACTGGATAGCTCTATTTGTTCTAAACTGTTCTTCCTAGAGGTCCAGTAAGGATAATCTCTTATTGATCCAGTGTTTCTACAGGAGGAAACCTAAACTAAACTAACTTTATTTATACTGGATAGCTCTATCAGTTCTAAACAGTTCTTCCCAGAGGTCCAGTAAGGATCATCTCTTATTGATCCAGTGTTACTACAGGAGGAAACCTAAACTAAACTAACTTTATTTATACTGGAAGCTCTATCAGTTCTAAACTGTTCTTCCTAGAGGTCCAGTAAGGATCATCTCTTATTGATCCAGTGTTACTACAGGAGGAAATCTAAACTAAACTAACTTTATTTATGCGGGAAGCTCTATCACGAGTGCTCTTTCCAGAGCTAGACTGTCGTCTTTAACAATTTCGTGTTGAACACGAAACAAGTTATGAAGTTTTCATTTTCTCGATTGAAATGTCTCGCACACCAATATATTGGTGATACTGGTTATCATACCGTAAATTCATGCGGTAATTTTAGTCGAGTGCTGTGTGAAGTTCATACACTTGAGATTTGAAGTTTTACGTTGTTTTTAAAAAAAACTTAATTGTTTGTATTCGTGGGTTTTGAGCTATTCAAATGGTGACACGCTGCCTACTGCTCAATGTCTTGGTATATATGCGTCGTTCTACTCATTGAAATATACAGTTATCGATAATAGTTTAGTTTCGTCGTTTATTGCTTTCTACTTGACTTATTGGACATTAAAGATTTCGTGGGTTTTTTCTTGTGTTAAAGGTGGATTAAACCAACTTTATTTGCATTGCATGGCTCAAACTGTTCTTCTTGATCATCTGTTATTGATCCAGTGTTACTACAGGAGAAAACCTAAATAAACTAAACTAACTTTGTTAATATATACTGAATGGCTCCATCAATTCTAGACAGTTCTGAGGTCCGCTAAAGCTAATCTCAAAATAATCCAGCGTTGACTCTGGAGGAAACCTAAAATTTACTAAACTAAATTTTATTCATACTGGATAGTTCTATCGGTTTCAAATCACCTCTTAATCGAGCGTTACTCACGTAAGGGTAAATCTGAACTAAACTTAATCGCGTTCTTCATAAAAGCAAATACCATACTCTTAATCAATATTGCTGATTGGGTTAGAGCAATATAATATATAAACAACGGAAGAGTTTGCTGAAGTGTCAGTTAAAACGAGTGTTGAAACGCTCTGTATCAAAACCCTGCTTCTCCCTAGTTCTCACGATAATTATTGTGTAGCAACCCTTTCCTGTGGCGGAAATTTCAATTAGGAAGGACAGATGAGTATAGATCATTATAAACATTCTTTTCCCTTAAATGTAGTTTTTTATTTGATATGATAAATCGTCCTTAAAGACGGAAGAATTGTGAAGAAAAACGTGAAAAACGTGATTGTGAAGAATTATCGATATTTATAAGTAATCTGACTTTTAGTTGTTCCTGTATAATGTTATCCAATAAAAATGCATATCACTGAAAAAGCAGCTCACGTGTCCAGCTTCTGCCAGAGTCAACACTTCGCTTCGTTGAAGCTGGGGTACTGGGAACAACACACGCAAAATTTCAAGACTTCACTTTTAAGTGAAGTTATATAAGTTATTATGACAAGCAGGAGCCATACGGTTGCAACTGCCAAGAACTAAGAATTGCATTCTGATATTGCACGTTTTGTTATTCTGTTCACAACACTTTAACACTTCCATAAAAATATTCATAAGCTATTTTTAACAAACTTCGTTAGCAAGTTTATACTTTGTCTATATAAAACATTCCTGCGCACTTGTGTCAATATCAGTTAAAAAATTTGAAACAAGCCGCAACAATATCACAGACAACAATGAAAGTACCGTATCTTACTGGCTGCTAAACAGCTATGTAACTGTGGCAATCCTTGAAACAAAAGATACGTAATCTAGGATAGGTAAAGAAGAGTTATATTATGATGTTTCACTTTGTGATAATACTAAGACATGCGTGCGGAACTACTTAGAATCTGATATCTTTGCCGGTTCAATATATCTATATTGGAAACTCAAAACAATCTCAAAGTATTTTATTACCAGTTTTGAAAGTGAGATATTACTGTATATCAACAATCAAGTATGATGTTTTCCCATAGAATAGAACCAAATTAGATTTCTCCAACGTCCTATTAGGAAACCTAAACTACATCAACTAACTTCGTTTAGCTCTATCTGTTCTAAACTATTCTTCCTAGAGGTCCAGTAAGGATCATCTCTTATTGATCCAGTGTTACTACAGGAGGAAATCTAAACTAAACTAACTTTGTTTATACTGGATAGCTCTATCATTTTTAAACTGTTCTTCCTAGAGGTCCAGTAAGGATCATCTCTTATTGATCCAGTGTTACTACAGGAGGAAACCCAAACTAAACTAACTTTATTTATACTGGATAGCTCTATCAGTTCTAAACTGTTCTTCCTAGAGGTCCAGTAAGGATAATCTCTTATTGATCCAGTGTTACTACAGAAGAAAACCTAAACTAAACTAACTAGATAGCTCCATCAGTTCTAAACTGTTCTTTCTATTGGTGAAATGAAAGATTCGTGTAAATTTAGTAACTATATTGGAAGTTAATCATACTTTCATGAAAAATTGAAAATTTATCATTGTCATAATACTCTAATAAAGTTGTCAAAGAATTTCATGTTGACTATGCATTTCTGTTAGTTGTGTTACAAATAGTGATTCCAGGCCGATATAATTGATCAGTATATTATAAAACGATCTTCCAAAGTGAAAGAAGCAAACTTTGAAAAATCTTCAGCTTACATATGTACACAATATATCGAGTTTTTTTTTGCTCAGAAGATTATCCTAACTGGGCCTCTAAATAAAACAGGTGGAAACTGATAGAGCTAGTTTAATTTAGGTTTCCTCCTGTCGTAACACTGGATCAATAAGAGATTATCTTTACTGGATCTCTAGGAAGAACAGTTTAGAACTGATAGAGCTATCCAGTATAAATAAAGTTAGTTTAGTTTAGGTTTCCTCCTGTAGTAACACTGGATCAATAAGAAATTATCCTTACTGTACCTCCAGGAAGAACAGTTTTGAACTGATAGGGTTATCCAGTATAAGTTAGTTTAGTGTAAGGTTTCCTCCTGTAGTAACACTGAATCGTCCATCATGTTTATAGCACTCAAACGATAATTATACATGCATACTGCTTTCTCTTGTGCGTTTGTTAGAGTGTCTTGTTTTTTTTTACTTAATAATAAAACTTTGTCACATCTCATTAGCGCAAATAAATAGAAAATAATATTATAAATAATAAATTAAAAAAAACCCGAGATTGTGGCACACCAGCGAGACAAAACAACTAGACAACCAGGCGATTTACGCTCCTGAATTAAGGGAAATTGGATGAGATCGAAGCATATGGGAGAACGCTTTCTCTAAAAGCTTTTACACAAATTAGTTTAGCCTATTTTGACAAACGTGGGCAAGGTGTTAATTTGAAACTTTATCAGTTGTGTGCCAACAATAAGGTGTTGCTTCGAATATAATTATGATAATTACAAATGTTTAGTTATATTCATTAACGGTTAATAAATTAAAAAGCAATACATTTGAATCAGACCGCTTTAAACCTTCCTGTCGTTTTTTTCTCATTATGGAAAAGTCGGTCTGTCTTTAATGAAGAATTGCATCTTATAGAATTGTCTCGACAAAGATAGTTTACACAACACAAGTTTCTAAATTCTGTTCTCATTTGAAACACCCATTTTTGTTATGCATAGATAGTATCTAAAATTGAGAAGCCTGTTAAATATTGTTCAAATATATATAGCCATATTTTGTCATCTCTTTAATAAAAACCAACTAAACTAGAGGAAAGATGATGATTGTTTTTTGCGACGATCTTTATTGAGTCTCCTCAGCAAGGATTTTTCGCTTGTAGAATTAGCAATGCAAGGAGCTATTATCCAGCTTGTAAAATTCAAATTAGTGTCTTATTTTTGTATGTTTTTCGGGTAAGCCAAAGCTCAACAGGGCACAGTCTTGTGGCATATTAAATGGCACTGTTGTTTCCACGACGATAATTGACCCCATATTGATCCGTTTCTTTCACCAAAATTGGCCTCAAATAACTCGGCTTTGAAAACAAATATTAAAACGAGTTTCTTTGTAAAGAATTGCAGAAGGATATTAGGAGAAATTTGTCGTCGAACTTTCCATGTTGTTTTCACAGATGACCGTTTATTAAATATGCAAAACGAAGAGCAAAATTAAATTAAACTATACAGCGTTCCTCCTGACCTTGCCTCCTGACCTTGATAGCTAGATTCCATAGCTCAATGATAAAGTTTTTTTCTGTTATTTTTAATAATATTTCTCATTCTCCTATGTTGTTACTGCAAAAGGGAACCTAAATTTATTTATGTTGTGCAATTCTAAACTGTTCTTCCTAGAGGTCCAGTAAGGATCATCACTTATTTATCCAGTGTTACTACAGGAGGAAACCTGAACAAAACTAACATTATTTATACTGGATAGCTCTATCAGTTCTAAACTGTTCTTCCTAGAGGTGCAGTAAGGATAATCTCTTATTGATTCAGTGTTACTACAGAAGGAAACCTAAACTAAACTAACTTTATTCATACTGGATAGCTCTATCAGTTCTAAACTGTTCTTCCAAGAGGTCCAGTAAGGATCGATCATCTCTTATTGATCCAGTGTTACTACAGGAGGAAACGTAAACTAAACTAACTTTATTTCCTGGATAATGTGGATATATATATAGCTCTATCAGTTCTAAAGATCATCTCTTATGTCCACAATTCTTTGTTTTTGTAGGAGTTAGTTATGATGGAACGTTGCTGAGGTGAAAAAGTAACAGTTAGTTTTGATTCTTTCAAGGTATGTACATACAATATTTATTACCATAAACAGCGCGGATTTACCACAGCAAATCGTGAGGCCAAGGTTGAATTCTCTAGCCTCTAACCTTTCTAGACCAATTATAGCTACCCTCATAATTCATTCATAATACAACAGTTCGTGGTGGCCATACTTAATATCGCCTCCGTCTACCTCATCCGCAATCCAGTCCTTGTTTTCAGATCAGAGTTTCGACAAAGGTTGCTATTGGCAGTCAAGGTTGACTGCAGAAAAATGCGATCTCTTGATGTTCCCACCACAACATCGCGACAAATACTTTGCGATAATAACACCAACCACGCATAAAACAATTTGTGAAATAAGACAAAGGAAATACCTCTTGTAATACTTGCGTGTTTTGCAAGACAGACAGCAGATATAAATAATAACTTATCCGCTTTGAAAGATCTTTAACTGTCGACTTCTCGTTACACGCAATTTGAATGTACTCTCTGTCACTTTGAACGGTTCTAACCGGCAGTGCTTTTAACATAGGTTAAGAATAATTAAGGCTTGACTTGAGTGCCTTTTACCGGTTTTTCAAGAGTTCAAATATCTGTTTGACATTTATTCATTATTGTAACTACAGTCATTTGGCAATATCTCAAAAAATGCGCTGTTTTTTGTTCCCATTTCTGAATCCTTGGGAATTCGTATCATGTGGTTATCACCTGACCCCAGCGAGTGGGATTTAGTTTGCTTTTTAGTCCCTATCAAACGGCTTTTATTTCTGCTCGTTAGAGACGCACAAAGCAATATACTGATTGCTCATTTCTGTCCCGAAATGAGTGTGTAAGCTATATCTTCTGTTTACGTCGTATTTGGTCATAGGTTGCCTTCTTGGCCAATGAAATGATCGTATTCATCTTATATCGTGACGTCACTCGGTTGGCAGTTTCATTTCGATCTTTGAAACATGAATATTTGATGAGAGTAAGGTAGAAACACTCATTTTGTTCGCAATATATAATATATTTCGAACATTTTCTTACCGATGCTTGCTTTCAATGCATATGGTGCCTTCTGTGTCACCAGAAAACCTCAACTTTTCTTCGAATCCCACGAGCTTCACCTCAAACATAAAAAACATCACATCGAGTTGATTTACCTCAAAATTCTGACAAGATTTAAACTCACGCGACCCAAACGCGGATGTATTTCAAAGTTTGATATTTCGGAACCTTTAAACTCTGATCTTTTTCTATAATACCTTCGACCTAATTGGATTGTGGAGTTTTAAGTTCGGTCGGATTATATCAGCATTGGGTAATGTACTTCAAGTGATTGGGACCTAGCCAAACTCTGTACATTGGATTTATTATATCAGGTTATGAAATTGATATATGCAGATAAACATTTCAATTCTCAAAAGGTAGTGTCCTAAATCAGTGCGTCAAATTCTATTGAGAGCAGGCTGGTGATTACGGGTTTTTATACGGTAATAACATGAGTTAGATGCATATGATGGACATCTAAATTATTGGCCATTCATGAGGAATAGTTGTTTTGAAAATATCACATCAACTGGCGTTGTTGAAATCTGTAAACAAACTGCATATAAAACATTGCTCAACTGCATGCGATATAAAGCAAGTTTCAATTTCTCGGCTATACTCGCATTGTTACGGACTCAAACAAACGTATGGGAGACACAATTTTTAAATTTGTAGTATACCGACAATTAAACAAATGCAGTAATCTAATTAAAGCGGAGAGCCAGCCTTCCTCCAGGCGTCTGAATGACCGACAGATCTATAAAACACATATTAATGGAGTAATGATTTCTGTTCATTCAATTGTTTCGTAATGGTTTTGACCTTTCTGTTGAAAACTTAGTTACCACCTGCACGTCCTTTCGATCATTTCATATATTTTGCTTCATATATTATGCAGATGTATTATCTTAGAAATTCTTCTGGAAAGAACAACGTGTATATATAGTAACTATATAGTACGTATCTTGACCTCTAGGAAGAACAGTTTAGAACTGATAGAGCTATCTAGTGTAAATAAAGTTAGTTTAGTTTAGGTTTCCTCCTGTAGTAACACTGGATCAATAAAAGATGATCCTTACTGGACCTCTAGGAAGAACAGTTTAGAACTGATAGAGCTATCCAGTATAAATAAAGTTAGTTTAGTTTAGGTTTCCTCCTGTAGTAACACTGGATCAATAAGAGATGATTCTTACTGGACTTCTAGGAAGAACAGTTTAGAACTGATAGAGCTATCCAGTATAAATGATGTTTTATATACGAGGTTTTAACGGCACGTGTATTTATATTCTGCACTCCTTTCACATGCATTACCTACCTGTATCTTAGGTTTCTTTTGATGAATTTCATCGTATCATTGCCGACCATAAATAAATCGAGGCAAAGAATTATCGTAAACTTTGCACGATATTTGAGAATCTTTGCAAATGAATTTTTCTTTCTTTTCGTTCATGCATGTATAAGACGCTATTTGATTAATATATATATATTGGTTAGTGAAGTAAAGTATCTTTGGTTACGGAGAGCTATTGTCTATTATAAGCTTACACTCTTAGAAAAAAGCACAACTAATATAAAAACTTGTCATGTAATATACCTTTTACATGCATTGCCCTTGAATGTAAGCATTAAAAGCTCTTTTCATGCATTTTTTAAAAAAATTTTTGTCTAAGTTCTGGGTCGGTGCATGCATGCGTATGAATACTATATATCTTTTTATTTACAGAAATCATACAGAGATATGCATGCATGCAGTTATATTATTATATTGTAAATGCTGTAATGACACAGCTATTTTAGGTCGGTGTATTTCAATATAAATATATTGATCAATTAATAATGCTTATTGTAAGAGTCGAACTCAAAAAGCTTAAGTTAACTCTTTTCGGAAATTCAATATGTGCTAGTTCTCATGCATACATGCATGCAGGCGACTTAAGTTTGTTGGTTCTTGGTGGCGTAAGCCTATTATAACTTTGCCTGAAAATAAACCAAACTCTCTCCCAATGGAGTTTTAAATCTAGTTAGTTAAATTAGCTATTCTGAGCCTTCCTGTCCAGACAATATTTCTGTATTTTGCCTGCACGCATGTGTTTGATTTCATTCTCACTTTATACGAATTGTCAATTGAAACAACTCATATATTATACCCTACTCATCCAGTTTGTGTTACTCAGTATCTGTCATTAAATATCGTTTAATGAAATATTGTATTGAAGTGTTTATAGGTGAGAAGCAATACTTTAAATTTATTTACATTTTAATTCAAAACCGTTTATATATCCTTTGCTTCCATTTGCCTCGTTTGTTTAATGTACGTGTTTTGCATGCATATTTAGACAATAATTAAATTCAAAATATCTCAAACTGTTTCATACAATCTCAAGTATAAATATACACCGCGCAAACACCTAATTCTAAACTTAAAACAGTCTATATGTATTGTTTAATTTGCGTTTTAAGGATACTTGCAAAACTATATATACATACGAAACGAAATATCAGACCTACATGCATCAGTCATCACACAATGAACAAGTGCTGTTGTTTCCTCTTATTGACTTATTGAAAAACGAAGCATCTCTCTCGATGCTTGTTTGAAAACTCTGCCAAAAAAGGAAAGTATATTTATTCACAGTCTGTTTCGTTCGTGCAAAGGTGAGCACTCTGTGCCGGGTCATAAAAGTCTAACCCCAGCGCTGGGATTAAACTTGTCGTTTTAAGATACTCAGGAAACAATTTAAGGATAAAACTGTAACTTCAGGGCAGCTGCTAATTATTTGTTAATAACCCCTTGATTATATTCAAAGAACACTACACAAGATTGTCCCATCCAATATATTTTATATCACAAACGAAGCTGTACGCGTGAGACTCCACAATATCCAAGAACTTTATCGTTGCTATCGCTTGTAAATACTCATAGAAATCCCACTGCATTGGGCCTAATTGTGATGCTTCTATCTATTTTCATTCTAACCATGACATAAACGGCGCTAAGCTTGTTTGCGGTTTTCAAATTTGTTTTAAAAACGAAAAATATAACTCGAATTAAAAGCTCAGCATGCATGACAACGGCCACGCCGAGTATCGCGTTGTTCTAGATTATTTATAAGATGTTAAATTAGGTCGACAAATTTATCTGCAAACAAGGTGGTCATTCAGTTATAATCTGTGTTTATTTATCTTAACTTTTTGAGCAAACATATTGTGTTGACTTTCCGTACTAATTACATTTAGATATATCTAGTCTAGAAGTTTCCCGGCATCCCGTGTCTATATATTTCATACAATTGTACAAATGTAATATATTTTAAAATTTTGATACGAATTTTGATATATTTCTCAACACGGGCCACAATCTTTGTATCGCTGTATGGTCGCGTGTCTCTGTGTGTCGTTTTAGCGTTTGGTAAGCGCATTTCTAACATTAATTTGACACTAAGCTAAATAAATATATGACAAGGCCGGATTAATCTACTTTAAGTTAGTGTTTATACAGTGAAGATTGCCATCTATGACTATATATGTTTACCAAGGCTTTTATGCAAACAGGATATCATTTATAATCAAGCTCTTGAAAATATCACTCCTTTGAAGGTTTTATACATTCGTCCGTCTTATTTCAAGTTCTTAACGAGGAAAAATGCCGCGGCAAACAGCTTATATAAATATACTAACGAAAACTTTAATTAAAGTTTCTCCGTTTAATCCAAAAGCCTGCAAACATGAATTTGAAAAGTGAAAGTTTGTACACAGTTAGATTCTAATCGGTTCTTATAGATGCAGTCGTAATTAGGAATGAGATGTGAGGAAATAATTTTATCTTTGAACGACTCTATTTTCGATGTTTTTAAATTCTTTTGTTCCTAAGGAAAGCAGATGAACAGGAGTAATGTTTCGTTGACTGGATTCAAGGCAACAAATTATGGAAATCATCTTCAATTCTTGAATCATCCGATAAAATCTTTATCGACGGGTAATTAGTGTATCGTGTTTTAACACCGAAAGCCTCGGTATTTTTGTTCAAATTTTCGGTCACAAATGCACATTCATGACACGGCTTTTGGATTACAACGCGGATATGCGATTCAATCGCTTTGTTGTTTGTCAGATCTACTTGAAAAGTGTTTTTTTTTAATGAAACCGGCTTTCTTTCAATCGAAGATCCTTCGCTTTGAAGCTTTCGTGAAAGGACCAGACGGTCATAAACTTGTTGTTAAAAATCTTCTTTTTCATGCATGCAGGTAGTTAAGTAAGACACGAACCATTACAGTCTATTGTGACACCCACGTATATCGTTTGAGATATCATCTCTTAAAATATATATTTTGTTCATAAATACGCCTTTTATTTCTTCTACAATACAACTAACATATAATGTTCATCAAAGTTCTAAGTTTGAAATTTCGCTTTCAGTTTTTTCCAAGTCTCATGCCAACTCTCACTAGGATTGTCGTTAATCATAGCCGGGTAAGATAAGGCTTGATGAGTTCCCGACGCAAAAGACTGACCTTGCGTGTAGGCAGCCCTCATCATGGCCGACTGACAAATCGACGCTGATGTAGTATACTCCATCGGGTTCTGAAGTCCGCTCGTTAGAGGCACCCTTGCTGGCGAGAGAAGACTATCGATTCCAAAATTGTTCTTACGGACACAGTTCGGTAAATTGAACGGCGTGAGATAGTACGTGGATGGTGCAAGATATGGGTCCACAGGCGAGCGATAGTTTAGGAAAGCGTGCTGTTGATATGGGATGCTTCCGTATCTTGTGCACAAGGAATGGCTCTTCCTCACCCTGCGTCTTGCTCTTCTTCTACGAAAATCCCCGTTTGCAAAGTCCTCCACGTTTGCCGGATGCACAGCCCAGTAGTTCCCTTTGCCATTTTCGCTGCGTCCAGCTTTTATGAAGCATTCGTTTAGCGAGAGATTGTGTCGAATGCTGTTTCGCCAGCTCTTGTCTTTGCTTCGATAGTAAGGGAAATTTTCTGAGATGTAGCTGTAGATATCACCCAGCAGAACTTTCTTGCTTGGTTTACTCAGAATAGCCATGGCAATCAAAGCTATATACGAGTGGGAAGGTTTCGTATCGGCATCGGAGCTCTCTGTCTTCGTCGTCGCTTCGTTTTGGGACGATTTCACTTCGCATTCGTTGGATGAAATATCTTCTTCGTCGAGGCTTTGTACTTTCGAATCCCTGTCGCTTGGTTCCTCTCGCGTATGCTCTAGTTTTGTCACAAATTGATGCTCTTCAGCCGTCATAACTTTGTTCCATTCGCTCATCTTCTTGATGACACTCGTGTTCGTGAATTCACCGTCGACTGTTCTGGAATCCACGTTAGTATCGTTCGGCGGGAAAACGGTCATCACTTTGGCAAGTATTTCGTTTTAAGCTCAGTCTCTTCTTGATGAAGCGATCCGCCGTAATGTGGCTTGATTCTTTAAACCCAGCGTAATTTATAGTCAGCATAATTAGCGAAGCTGTGTGGGGCGTAGAAACCAATTGAAATATTCTAGGCAGGAAATCGCTTAGCCAATTATGACATATTGAAAATAAACTCATTGTATGTCACTGCCACGCTCAGCAGTTTCCCAGCAAAGTCATATAGCAAGGTTAGGACACTGTTTTATATACCCCCCAATGCTTTGTTGTACCAAATTCACAGTCGCTTGAGGTTTTTATTTGATTTAATTTTGATCACATCTTTGTCAAAACTCTTTGTTGTCAAACTCTCATGTGTCGCTCGTATTGTTCGCACGTCTTTCATGGTGCTATCAAGTCAATTACGATTTCCCGCCTAGGACTCGCTATAGGGATACATCATGCGGCCACACAGCATGAACAAAAGTTAAGATCGTAAATTCGTCAGTTTCTCAACGCCTTGCGCAAAGAAACGATGGATAGCTAGATGTATAGCAGCATATGTAGTCCCTATTACCGTTTATGTAAGAAGTTCTGGTATATCCATGAACGAAGCAGTTATTTCGAGTTGAAAATTTGAACGAGTCTATAGGAGTTGTACAAACTTGCAGATATCGTGCTTGATTGAAAGGATTAAGACTTATAAGTTTAATCTTGTTGACTTGCAAGCTGATTATTTTTAACAACAACGGGATTGCCTACTCGCAATAGACAAACACGAACTAGATCAACGGCAAATTGTTTTACATAATTCATAAATTTTTGGCGCGTAAAGCAAGTCTATTTCAGAAGTAGGCAAACTTTTGTAACTCGTGTACCATACATATATCCATTGTGACAAATGCTTTCTTTGTTGTCGTCACAAAATGGAATGCATTCGACGATTTTCGTAATAGGATTTTCAAAACGATCTGCGGAACTTTTATCTTTTCGCTATTTTAAGTAAGAAGATGAGGTGTACGGTGCATGCATTGCGTGAAGTTTTGTGAAGATGGATTTCTGGTTGTTTTTGTTTCTTTTAAAAACGTGGCTATATCAGGCCGCTACTGTAAAATAATTTTAAAGAAGCTTGTTCTATCAGTTCTAAACTGTTCTTCCTAGAGATCCAGTAAGGATCATCTCTTATTGATTCAGTGTTACTACAGGAGGAAACCTAAACTAAACTAACTTTATTTATACTGGATAGCTCTATCAGTTCTAAACTGTTCTTCCTAGAGGTCCAGTAAGGATCATCTCTTATTGATTCAGTGTTACTACAGGAGGAAACCTAAACTAAACTAACTTTATTTATACTGGATAGCTGTATCAGTTCTAAACTGTTCTTCCCAGAGGTCCAGTAAGGATCATCTCTTATTGATCCAGTGTTACTACAGTAGGAAACCTAAACTAAAGAACTTCATTTAGATGCAGTTGTTACCATCAGAAGGATTTAATTGAACGAAATTTGTGCTAGAAAATTCCACTAGTTTAGATTCTGTTATCTTAAGAGGCAATTAAGAGCGTCTTCCTTATAAGTCCAGTTTGTTTGTTAAAAAGAAACCTGGGAAGCAATTATACTATGATACCTCCATCAGCCCTTTCTAGAATTTAACCTCTGCAATTTCGACCATGAGAAACATTTTGTTTTGAACATTTTTGAATCATAACATAATCTAGTTCTCGCAGTAACCGTTCTGCGATTGAATTAAACAATCTGTTGTTATGGTCGGTATATTGTTCGTGTATTTGTTGTGCAATTATCACGTTTAGTTCTGCTGAAACGGTTATCTTTTATCGTTTCCATATCATGAGATACTTAAGCTGATTCTAGTAGCTCGCTTCAATATTGAATAGTTTTCTTCTCCGTTACCTGGAGATAGTTTCGGCTAGTGATTTTGTCATTACACCTCATGCATCATCATTGAATCGAGTGTGGTGTTTTGCTACAAGGGGTAGAGGAAAAATTGAGCATGTACAATTATGATGGCTGGATTGTAATATATAACTATACGTTTTGTCGAACGAGCTACGATATTTACTACTATGATTGTAATTGTGATTGAAAATACAGTAATCGATATCTGCAAGATGATCCTTACTGGACCTCAAGGAAGAACAGTTTAGAACTGATAGAGCTATCCAGTATAAATAAAGTTAGTTTAATTTAGGTTTCCTCCTGTAGTAACACTAGATCAATAAGAGATGATCCTTACTGGACCTCTAGGAAGAACAGTTTAGAACTGATAGAGCTATCCAGTATAAACAAACTTAAAGGCAATTCGGTATGGTAATTCGTGATTGTGGGTCATAAAATGTAATTTCAAAGAGGAGTTTTATTGCAGTGCGGATGTCTGAAACGGCCTGAATGCCTGAAATGACCTTAAAGGGGTGGAGATGTAATTTTCTAGTCTGAAATGTAGTTACCGTGGCATAATATATCCTGTTTCTACTGCAAACACATGCACAATTATCACCCTAATGACTTGTATCGAAGAAAACATTGTAAAGTGTTCTTATTGGTCGGGTTTGTTTGGCAGAGGCGATTCCTGGTTACTACGAAACTTTGGGTAAGGTTTTCTCGTAAAGGCAGACCCCAGAATGCCTAAGAGTTTTTTCAGGATTTTGTACCATTTAGCAATGCTCGTAAAATGCTAAACTATTTCAATCCCCTAAGATTTCATCATTGTATCACTTTCCGAAAACCAGCGTCTTTATTCAAAAGATTCTTTAACACCTGCCCAACACTCTTCTGTCAGTGCCCAGATCTTTGCATAAGTTCATTCAAGTTCAAAAAAGAGTGAAAGGGCTGTGTGTTACCGAATGCAATTTTATTTGAAAGCAGTTATTTTGATGATGTCGTTCCCTTAAAGATGGAATTTTCTATTAAGCGTTACAGGTCTACAGAGACTGAAACACGAGTTAGTTTTCAAAATGATATTCAGAGTTTGTTTCGTGGTGTGAGTCGTTCGTGCGGAACAATACTCCGGCATAAAGGTGACACGTCATGTATCAAATAAAAAAAGAAACACACCACATTGATAGAGCATCTGATTTCCTGCTTTAAACTATATGAAACAAGGAAACTATTATGTTTTAAACGGATTGCATGTTGTCAACATCCTGTTAGCTTCATTATCCTACTCTTGCACTCTTGTAATCCACAAGTCGTGTGCGTTTGTCGTTTGCATACGTTCGTGTCAAATATCAAAGAGTTCGTTCAAGGGCGTATGCCAAAACCAGTTTTACGCGCTCTGTGGGGTTCCCACCGTTTCATCAAGCCTATCAGCAGAGCTAAAGGAAATGATATTACTCATTAAATCATAACAAATATACCCGTCAATATTTCTTTATGTTAGCCAGCATTGGAGCATTTTTCATTTAATTTCATCTGCAAACGAAAATTTAATTCGAAACTGTTCTTCCTAGAGGTGCAGTAAGGATCATCTCTTATTGATCCAGTGTTACTACAGAAGGAAACCTAAACTAAACTAACTTTATTTATACTGGATAGCTCTGTCATTTCTAAACTGTTCTTCCTAGAGGTCCAGTAAGGATCATCTCTTATTGATCCAGTGTTACTACAGGAGGAAACCTAAACTAAACTAACTTTATTTATACTGGATAGCTGTATCAGTTCTAAACTGTTCTTCCTAGAGGTCCAGTAAAGATCATCTCTTATTGATCCAGTGTTACTACAGGAGGAAACCTAAACTAAGCTAACTTTATTTATACTGGATAGCTCTATCAGTTCTAAACTATTCTTCCTAGAAATCCAGTAAGGATCATCTCTTATTGATCCAGTGTTACTACAGGAGGAAACCTAAACTAAACTAACTATATTTATACAGGATAACTCAGAGATAACTCCATTAGATCAGACGTGAATGTTTAAGCTAATTCCTGTATGTGTCTTCTATCGGGTCATAAATTTGTAATTAACTATACGGCAATTATTTAAATGAAATTCTTTCGATTGTAATTGAAGTACTATGACAATCGCACAAGGATCCGAGACTCCAGGAAGCAACCAAATCAAAGTGTATAAACAGTTATGATAACAATTTTTTAACCATGAATCAGACGACCTCGCGAAACTTTATTCATTAGGTCACTTTCATAGCAATTGCATCTCCTAGAAAAAATCTAATCTGTCATGGAGCATACCTGTGTTAGCAATCATTAACGTAACTCGATGATAAGTCAAATTAATTCCTAATCTTTATGTTTAGAAAGAAAAAACAGACTCAGTCAATTGAACAAAATGCATCGTGAGGTAAGGGTAGTTTATTATATTCTTTCTCGTGACTTAATTCTCAACTTAGCTAACCCCAATCTAAAATCAGATCTAAACCATAACTTATCCTAACTGCCTAATACTAAGTTTAATCTTAATCCCGACTTTTTCTAACCCCAAACGTTGCCTTGATCTTTGACCTAAATCTTAGCTTTGATGTCGTAACTATTACAATCTTTTTCGGGTCTTAGTTTGTCAGTTAAGACTTTCAAAACTAAAACTTCCCATTACATCCATATGTTTGAGTTATTTCTTATGTTAATGTTTTCTAAGGATGACCTACTTTGATGATTCATTTCATCACTGAAGTGTTTCCCTCCCAAACAAGTGTTTATACCTTTTAAAACACCCAGAAACATTTATAAAATTTCGACACGATATCCCATTTTGCCATTATAGTCAATGTCTTCATCCTTTTGGAGTTTTGAGTCAGTTGTTTACGAAAACATTTGGGTTTGTTTTGGCAACCATTTGGTAGTTGAATGAATACAAATGAATGCAAATACGTCTTACTCTTGAACGAGCAATAAAATACTTTGAGATTGTTTAAAGTTTTGAAATATATTGCATGTTGAAGGACATCCGATGCTTAAGTAGTTTGTCCTTAAATGCGTATTTCTGAAGTGCACCCCTGACTCACGATGACTTAATTATATGTTTGACTCATGAAGATTACATTTTGTTTGCTTTAAGGGCAGTTTAGTTACATTTGCTGAGCTTCAGAATGGTTATTTTGAATACAGTGTAGCTCCACTGTCTCCGTCTGTTATATCATTCCGATTTTTTCAATTGGTAGTGATATTGACTCAGGACAAAGGAATGCCTGTAGACAAAGGAAAAACTTCCGAACGAAACCTGTTAAAAATAGCTTATGAATATTCTTGAGGAAGATTTAAAGTGTTGTGAGTGGACCAACAGAACGAACAATATCAAAACCAAAGTCTTTTGGCATCCAATGCAATCCAATCACGTGCCAATGCCTTCTCCGGGTGGAGTCACGTGTTCTTTGTCCCTAGTTCCTAACTCTCTCTCTCTCTCTCTCAGTTTGTAGGTTACAGGATTTGCAAACTCTGGGGCCGGCATAGCCGATAAAGCTCTGGCAAAGACAACCTACGGCATAGCCGATAAAGCATTACTTTAAACTCCTCTGAGGGGCCGTGCATGAGTCGTTTGAATTTTACCAGATTTACATCGTTCGACGGTCTAACCATAAATAAACATACAATCTGTCTTAAAATATATATCTGAAATTCGCCATTAAGCGCTAACAAATATACTTTCTGAATTCCAATGTATGTACAACTTTATAGAACCCCATCCTAGACAATACGTGTAATTAACTAATGTTTATATTACCGATACACCCCCCGGGATGATATATCATCCACATATTTTCTCTAATAGCTCCTTTAATTTCCCGGGGGATATCGTGAATTCCTGCATCCAAGATGGCTGACCGAGCTAAACAATTTTATGAAATGAATCGAAAAAGAAAGTTGCCCTTTTTTAAAAGCGTTGTATCCATGGGGATTCCTTTTTGCTTTTAGTTTGTGGCTCTTTCGATTCTCTGCGATGGCAGAGGCGGTAAAAACAGCTCATGTGGATGGAAATAAACGCGATTCTTTGGAAGTTAATACTGGACTAAGTGGACTTCCTGCAGACTGCTTGCAAGGACATGAACCAGGAGCTGGAGGATGGTACGTATGTTGTACAGTTCGCATCGATGTTTTGGACGCTGTTTAGACTTCAATGCTTTTTCTAAATGCACATTCAAAGCCAAATGCAAACACAATATGAGTGCCTGTATGTCAACTGTCGAGTGTCAAGTGTCTGGTCAAATTATTAATATTCTAACGTCTGGTGTTTATATATTTTGTGCAAAGTTTTTGATGATTAAACGTGCACAATTCTACGCAAAATTCTACACAAAATTTTCATTTTTTTAATCCCTGCAAACCAAATATTGTTGTGACTTTGAATATGGCTAGAAATATGCATCAACCTTTTTAGGATACATTACTTTTGAATCAATGATTTCAGATATATTTTGTGCTATGATTTTGTGTCATTTCTATCCTCTATGTAGCTTTCTTTCCATTCCAGTACTTGCAAGTATTGGTCTTATTACCTTTGAGAAACCAAGCCATTAATTTCTCCCTATTGAGATATGTTTCAACACTTTACAGCCAATTATTCGAGGCGGTAAAACTTGACGATTTTGACGATGTCTATGAGGAGCACAGGGAGTTAATAAGCAGCTCCAGTTCAGGTCGTTTAGCTAGCCTCTGGGGTGCTGAAAGTCCCAGCGATGAATTTGTTTTGATCAAAGAGGGTGAGGAGTCACAAGCTAACTCAAGTGCTCGATCAAGGCTCTCAAGGTACTGTATAGTGATGTCTGGTTTCAAGTTAATCTATTTGATGGTACGATCAGATGTCTTAAACGTATCTGTGAAAACAAAGCCAGAATTGATAAGCTTCTGAAGAGCCAGTTCAAAAAATTTATTACATTAGCATGCAAACCCCATCAAGAGTCTGGGAGTACCTACATATATGTTAAGACTAGTACAACTGAACGAACGATATTGGACACCAAAATCTTTTTTCATGCAATATATGCTACTGTAGCAATCTGGTGCCCAGGCCTTCTCAGGTTTTGTCACAACTTTTAAACAACGTTTGTGGACTTGCACTAAACGCCAATTGTCATTTTCGCAGTGAACGAAAGATTTCAGATACTATTGAAGAGGGGATTGAAGTTATCGTTGAAAATATGCGTATTCAAGATCACAAAGATGATATTGTCCAACAACCAGGTAAAGTAGACAGCCGTCTCCTGTCTCTGTTTGCAACTGTAGTTAAACACAGTCCTAACAATGGTGGGAATGACTTGCTTTATGTGACCTTAAAACAGAAATACCGTCAGACAAAGAGTCTGCTCTTCAAAATGAAAGAAGCACGCCTGAACATGTTGATGAAGGTAATGACGGTGTCTTAAGAATGATGACCTCATTTTCCTGAATAAAAGAAGAAGAAAATAGTCAAGAAATGAGATGTCTTTCTCTTCTTTTAACAGATGTCAATCATCCTGATTGGATCAAACATAAAAAACATATATTTGTTCTCAGCAGCGCTGGAAAACCAATATATTCTAGGTCTGTGTGGGAAACATTCAACACAATTGTCAAACCTGTTTTTATTTTTGTTAAACTTTTTGATCTAAAAGTATTTCTTGTTTTGAGATAGATATGGAAACGAAGACAAGCTCTCAACTTTAACAGGAGTAATGCAGGCCTTGGTCTCCTTTGTTGAAGATGAAAATAATCATTTGAGGTTAGTTTGCTTCGATGAAAACCATTGTAAACACATCTTTCTGTCAAAACCCAGTGAATGCAATCATTGCATTTATCCTTTCTTCACAGGGCAATTGTTGCTGGAGATCATAAATTTGTATTCCTTGTGAAAGGGCATGTGATTCTGGTGGCGATTTCCTATGCTAAAGAATCCGAGGCACAGGTGATTGACAACTTCTCTCCTATGCTTGCTTTCCTTCTTTGCTTGCTGCTAAGGCTGTGACCTTCATTCTTTTTAGATGGCTGTACAACTGACGCATGTTTATAACCAAATTCTGAGCGTGTTGACGCTCCGGCAGTTGGAAAGAATTATGAATCAAAGAGGGAATTACGATTTAAGGAGATTACTAGGAGGTACATTTTGCATCTCTCTAATACAGACATCTCTCTAGTCTCTAATACAGACATCTGTCTAATATAGACATCTCTCTAATACAGACATCTCTCTAATACAGACATCTCTCTAATACAGACATCTCTCTCTAATACAGACATCTCTCTAATACAAACATCTCTCTAATACAGACATCTCTCTCTACGCTCTAATACAGACATCTCTCTCTAATACAGACATCTCTCTAATACAAACATCTCTCTAATACAGACATCTCTCTCTAATACAGACATCTCTCTAATACAGACATCTCTCTAATACAGACATCTCTCTCTAATACAGACATCTCTCTTTAATATAGACATCTCTCTAATACAGACATCTCTCTAATACAGACATCAATCTCTCTAATACAGACATCTTTAATACAGACATCAATCTCTCTAATACAGGCACACCTAATAATGTTGTCCCCTAATACCTGTAATTGCACTTTCTATTGCTCTAGGAACGGAGAAATTTATAGATAGCTTATTAAATTTAATGGATCATGAACCTAGTGTTCTATTAGGAGCGGTGAGTGTTCAATTTGTGTTCAACTTGTTTATTAATTATGAAGTATTGCTGTACTTGAAGGCGCCTGGAACATGACTCTTTCTTTGCTTTTAGGTAAGATGTTTACCGTTGAAAAGTTCAATGAGAGATATCATAGGACAGAGTTTTGTTCAAAATAAAGTCAAGGTAAGGCATTGATGTGTATTACGAAAAACATTGTCCTTAGAGGGGCGTTTTTCTATTTCTGGTACCAGGTGATAGCGGCTATGAACAGGTGGTAATCTCGCGAGACTTTCCTTCGTACTAACTACAGTTGATACGATGTTGATGCGACTGTAGTAGCGTTTTACTTCTTTTCTTTAAGGAATTAGTGTTTGCTGTGCTTATTGCAAGAAATCAGTTAATCACGTTGGTTCGTCCGAAAAGTTACAGTTTACATCCGGGAGGCAAGTATTTCCAACTCAAACTGTCCAGTGAAATTATGAGGTCATCGCGCTGTAGGCCTGGGAACAGTCGTGAATTCTTAACTACATTTTGCAAAGTTAAATCTTAGTTATGTCCAAAATACGTTATGATTCGCCAATTCCTCCTATAATTCAAAGGTTGCCTACACAATCTTTTGTGCAACCTTTCCCCTGCATATCCCCAGTTTTGAAAAGAAAATTCCTTTTGTTGTCGTTTTTAGTGACAACGGCATATGTGCTAAAACAATTTTTGAACAATTTCTCCAGATTTACATTTAATATTAAACTTGGTTAATGGATCAACGTCATTTCAAACCGCCGAGTCTTGGACGCCAATTTGTCTACCAAGATTTGACAATAGGTAAGAGCCAGTGATCTGCGTATGACTGGAACAGTACTTTGCATCTCGACAGTCTGAACAGTACATACATTCTAAATATTCTTTTCTGGTTTCCACAGTGGCTATCTCTATGCACATGTGTCGTATCTCAGCGATGATTGTCCAGCGTGTCTGCTGTTGCTTACCACAGCCAGCGATGCTTTTTTTATCCTCTCCGAATGTCGACTGAAAGTTCTAGAGGTATGGAAATGATGAACATACTGTTTCGCCCCTCGGATGGCTATACTAGGAACATTGCTGTAAAATATTGTGGTTTCCTTTTTAGAAGTTAAAGAGATACAAATGTTTCGAAGCTATAAATGAAGCTTTAGGCAAGGAAAGCTATAGAATAGGTAAGCCGTAGTTCCTCTTTGAAAGCAAATCTGTAATCGACGAGGTAGCTTTGAGTTCTGTCAGAAGAAAGCATCATAAAAGTCTATGATATAAAGATATCAAATATACCGGAAATTTTTTCCGAGTTGTGAGGTATTTGTCCAAAGAGAGTGAGCGATTGTCTGGTATACGTATGGTGATTTTTGCCGTGTTGATTTTGAGCGTGTCCTGTACGTTTTCCTGAGGAAATGAACCTCTATCTTTAAGGTGATGTTGGGATTCCTAATTTGTTACATTTTGTGTATAAATCCCGGAGTACGTCACAATATACGTCACCAGAGCTGGAAGCCCCGTATAATAACCAAGACGAGGAGGAAAGGTAAGTGAAGATTGTAACTGTTTTTGTTTCTGATCTCTTTTGTCATAATTTTCATGATCTGTGTTTTCATTGTCCCTCGGGTATTTCAGATTATTTGGTCTCTATCTATACCTTCACCATCATATTCACTCGTCTGGTCAACCATTAAAAATTCTCTGTCATGTCGGTTCTAAAGAGATGCTTTTAGGATGGGTAAGAGTGTTGTTACTCCTTTGTTTTTTTAACTTCGTCAGGTACAGTCCCTTACATCATCTAGCGATGTGCACTTACATGAGTTCTGTACAACATCAGATCACTTTAAAGGTAGCTCTCATTCAAGAACATGTACCACCTCTGCATGATTTAACCATGCTTAACTCAGTCAACTGAGAGAGAACACGCGAGAGACTTAACTCTACTCACATGAGTTCTGTACAACATCAGATCACTTTAAAGGTAGCTCTCATTCAAGAACATGTACCACCTCTGCATGATCTAACCATGCTTAACTCAGTCAACTGAGAGAGAACACATGAGAGACTTAACTCTACTCACATGAGTTCGGTACAACATCAGATCACTTCAAAAGTAGCTCTCATTCAAGAACATGTACCACCTCTGCATGATCTAACCATGCTTAACTCAGTCAACTGAGAGAGAACACAGGAGAGACTTAACTCTACTCACATGAGTTCTGAACAACATCAGATCACTTTAAGGTAGCTCACATTCAAGAACATGTGCCACCTCTGCATGATCTAACCATGGAATCCTTTCCAAATATAGTTTTTCTCATGGTTTAGGTAACATCAGGTTTTGAACTTTACGCGACATTTAATCCTCTTGTGACAAAACCCATAGCGATAAACGCCATTAACAAGCTTCTGAAATGGATAACGGTAAGACTTCGATGAGACCCATCTCTTTTGACCTCAGTCTCCTAGATTAGTTTCGATGTCTTTTATTGACCTGACCTAAACTAGCTTTTGTTTAAACGCAGACAATTTCTAATGGCGAACTTTTTGCTTGTTTGTAGAATGAAGAGGATCGTTTATTTATTCTAAACTCCCCGGTCTTCTGACCTTTATAATTTTCGTGTAAATACTGGACTGATAAACACTCTAGGTAGATGTACCATAATTTGTGTACATTTTAACGGTAGAAGTAATACATTAATATTAAATTGTATATACCTGTCTCCCAGGAATACAACGCATCTAATGGTAGGTAAATCTAATTTGCACAGTTGAATATTAAACTAAAGATGATTTTATTTGCTGCATAGCTTTATCATTTGCGCACTGTTCGTTTTGTTGCAATATAGGAAAACTAAATTAATTTATACTGAAGCAATCATCTCGTCTGATTACATGAGACAAAGCTTGTTTGGTAATTTTTGTTTGGTTGGTTTTTTGAACAGTAAGTATAAAAGATTATTTTATACGTTGTTAATTTTCGCTAGGCAAAATATTTCGAACGAACAATCATTGGAGACCTAAAGACTTCATCGTGCTGTGAAAGGTAATTCAGTTTCAATCATTTATTGATTATTATTTACTGATGATCAGTGTTTATCAGTATCAGTTATTAGTCGGCTAGTGGACGACCAGCGCAGCACTGCAGGCTCAGCACACAAAAGCATGCGCACGGCACGAAACTGAATTCGCGTTTCCGGATCGAATGGGTAGTTCACAGCAGCGGCGTAGCCAGAACGATAATTGGGGGGGTCCATATTCATATATTCGTGATACGCAGGATTAATTTCTTTTCAAATCAATTGTCTTTACAGTCTGTTTACATGAATATATGAATATGGACCCCCCCAATTATCGATGCTGGCTACGCCAGTGGTTCACAGGTCATTGAGACCGACTTGATCAGGTTGTCCTAGTAAAAGGACAGGAGGTCATACAATGTGAAGGTTTTTGTGAATGCAGACTTCGTTTTACAATGCAATTAATCGAATGATTTAAAAATAGACCAGCCATGGTGTATATTACAGTTCCACAATTGGAGTTTACTACTTTCTCACCAAATGCCATCTCTACTCTGTTCAACAGCAGATCGATTTTCTCTGCGTTTGCGGGTTACTACACCCGCCTCCCCCCGTTTTGTCCTTCGCGCCTTTTGTTGTTTCTTAGCCAATGATTGTTTCACTTTCTTTCTGATCATTTCCGGTTCCATAATCTTGGCGCCAGCCTTCTCGTGTGGGTCTCCATCGAGGTCGTGTTTTTCTTCAGAAGTCTGGGGATTACCGTCTGGTTTCTCGTCTCTGTAGGGTTTGAGTGAGCGATTGCGTTGGCTCAATTCTTCTAAGTCTGAGTCGGACTCGCTGCTTGCGTCAGAATTATCATCTGAAATCAAGAATATGATTCTCAAAAACAAAGCTTCCGGTCTTAAATTTCTAGAAATTCTTAGGAAGTCCTCAAATCTCATTATGTGGAACTCTGATGAGCTCATTTCTTATCTTCGTTACTGTATGACCTGGTATGCTAGGCTCTGCCAATGGTTTATCTGTAAGATTTTCATTTTCTTTAGAAAGACTTTCTTTATCCTTGAAATTTTCTTCATCAGATGACGAATCTTCGTTGTCCTTTTCTGATTCATCCTCCTCAAGTTCACAAAGGTTTTCGAACTGACCTACGGACTGAAGAAAAAAGTAAAGTGTTTCTCTAAAAGTCTATTGTCAGACCTTAAAAAGTGGGAAAAGCTAACATCCTTAGGCCTGAAATAACCTTAGGACTGTCCTCCACCTGTAGATCAGTGATGGAGGTTTGTAAACAGAGATGAATATAGAACGCATACATCATCAAACTCATCTTTTTGTTCTTTGGTAAATCCACTGACAGCGATCTCTACATCTAAGTTTTGTGACCGTCTAGAATTAGAGAGTGCTGTGTCGTCATATAGATCCTTCAGGATGGAGTACAGTTTACTTAGAGAAGCCATGAAGTACAATACTTACTTTATGTCGGTAAACTTTGGATAGAGTTCACTTTCGTAGGAAAATCTTCTGCGGAAAAATGTTCTTATGCATTGTACATCACGATCAAAGTACCTGAAATGAAGCGGTCAATGATGTGGGTTGAGCGTATCTTTTAAATTTACCTCTTAATGTGTTCATATAATTCTGCTGATTTGAGTAGATCTGACATTGAAAGTATGGTGTTCAGGTTTCTCTTGGTAAAGAAGCTAGGATGATTCATTTGGTTCCAAAAAAGTATGCTTTAGTTTAGAGGCTTCAAGAATTGGTTGAGTACATCAAATGTACTGAACCTCATTTCGAGAATAAAGGTGTCATACCATTGAGCGTTGATATGAGAAATAGAGACCATTTGTGGAAAATCAATGATGGTTATTTTCCCAGCATCGCTAATCATGATATTGAATTCGTTAAAATCACAGTGAATCAGTCCATAGCTTCCTAGTTGAACTATGAGTTCCATCAGTTCATTGTAAATAGAAGCTGGGTCATCCAAGCTTTGCACTTGACATCTATGAGATAAGTCAAAGAGAAATACTAGTACAGGTCCATGGTTAAACAAAATTTAAGTAGCAAGGGACACACTTAGTTTAACAAAAGACAACTCTTACAGTGGAGTACCATCAACTAGCTCCATCACAACACAATGACGGTTAAAATCTGCTGGCTTTGGGACAGGATACCCAATATCATGAAGCGCCTTTGAATGAAAAATGCATAAAAAATGTTGGCTCTGTAGTTTCTTATTTCTTTCAAGAATATTTCACATTTATTTGACCAACTTTCATGTAGGCAAATTCTTTTATAGCAGCAAGCCTGGACAGGTATAACCAGGAATAATTCTTCCGATGCTTCAGGTAATCTCGCTTTTCTTTTAACCTCCGAAAAGATGTTCTTCCGAGGCTGCAAGACAAAAATATTGTGGTACCAACTACTGTTGCTAATATTGTGCACAATGTTTGTTATACAACACAAAATTTCAAAAGATACATGTTTCTTCTTTACCGATGTAACTTTAATGCATATTGTTTCTCTTCTTGGTCAGCCACAATATAAATATCTAATATGAAATTAATTAATTTTCCAGAGGGAAGTAAAATCATCTGGCATTAGATAAACAGAGTGAAGTGCTAAGTTTAGGATCATCAGGTTTAGTTGCAAAAGTAATGACAAGAGACACTGAAAAAACTTCATTGATAATACTCTTAATGTCAACAGATTGTTACGTTTTATTTCTCATCTTTTCACAGTCATTCACAAAGCAATTTCTGGACAATTTGGAAGCAAATAATATCTATCACATACCAGACTCCTTTCCAACTCCAATTTGATTCCCGACTGAGTGTATTATGTCTCTATTTGTCAATGCTTTTAACGCAAGATAGTCATAACCACCAAATGTCAGCTTATAACCTTCATCTATAAATTCAATTAGGCTGTAGCACCTGAATGGTTTTCAATGATTATACTTTTTACAGCAAAGAATAGGTGCATTTAAAGATAATGTCCAGCCATAGGGTGAAAACACCCAAGTTTTTTTGTGGAACCTAGCTAAACAATTTTTAAATTGTGGGCCCTGGATTGTTATGAGAAAAACCAATGTGGGACCCAACTGGACATTACTTTTAAACTACACGACAGGTCTATAACTCACAGGCTTTTCCCTTTTCATAAGCTAACAGTTTGTGTTTGACCAGTTCTCTTGTTATCTTGTGACAACCACCATGCTTTAGGTTTGCTATGGAAGCCAACAACGGTGTTGGAACAACCTCGTGATTTTTCATTCCCATTTCGACCTAACAATATCATCATTCGACTAAATCAACTAATATTCTTTTCAACTGATCACTGATGGAGTGATGGACAATGGGTCATGAGTGTCGGGTGAGTTTTTAAAATTTATGTAATTGACTTACGGCTGTCAAAACTCGAAAATCTTCCGAAGACAAGTACCGCAGGATTGCAACGTTTAACTTTCCCATGGTTTCCTAATTCTTTATCAGATAACTTTATATTCTATAGAAATTAGAAAAAAACATCACAAGACCACTCATTGTCCACCATATTTGATTTTTCAATGTGTAAAATATATTTGCAGTTACACGAAGTAAATACGATTAGTGCTTGGTAAATGTGCTTAAGTGCTTGATTACGGGCTCATATTACACTTCCCCCTCGTCTCTCCCCGAGTTTTCCCCCCATCTTTGACTCCCCGATTGCTTTTTCACCTTACCTTAAAAAAGCATTGTTGTGAATTATACTTGTCAGCTAATCAGTTGATTCCGTTGGAAAAAATGCGTTTATTCTCCGTGTAAATAAAGGCAAATGCTTTCTTATTCTCTGTATTAAATGTTGCCATGGTGATGACTAAAGCTGGGGTTGTCCAATACTTCATGTTATACGATCGTAGTAGTTGATTTTAACTAGCATTGTTTACTACAAACTGTGCTATAAAACATTTCATATTTTCTGTCCAAAATTTACTTTGAATCTACATGTAAGTTTTAAAACTAATATCTAGTTACGTTCCTCTTATCTTTCATTTACTATGCATCGTTTAATCCTTAGGAATACCGTATTTTTCTTTTAGAAATGCTTTATATTTCGTAGTCAACAAAATGTCGAAATCTTGAGCAAGCTGTATAGAGATGAGCACTTCAAAAAGACAGGTATTTCAGTTCATGTCGTCGTTAGTCTATTAGATGCAACATATTTGCTGAAAACATAAGAGAGTGGAGGTCGCCATGGATAAACGGTGACCACTGTTTATATGATTAATATGAAAGAAAGCCGAAAATTATTGTATTTAAATAACATGTATATACCGATAAATGTATACATAGTGTTACTTTGTACTTATTTATACAAGTCTTCTTAACCAGATTTGGTATTTAGTCGATGGATGATACTTATTTATGGCATACAATACGAGATAATATATAAAACTTTCATATATCTGTAATAATCCGTCGGTCTATTAAACATGCAACTGGGATCCGAAGTCAAGAATCTATAAGACGTTGTATTTAATTCTTAACATATGACATTCTATTATAACAACAATGTTATGCATTACTAATTTTAACACAGAATCCCCCCTGGCCCATGCTTGATGTATGTTTGATCCCCCCCCCTGTGTCCTAGCATAGCAGTTACTCTATAATACAAACCCATCTTAGGTAATTTCCTGATTTAGTTTTCATCCATTCGTTGCCAGAATTTATATGCCTCTAGTTCCATAGTATTATCAATGCATGCATTGCACACTCTCTTTCTTGGACACAATGTAAATGTCACTTGAATGTCATTTAAAGCAGAATAATAATTTGATTTCTGTATATTTTAATGAATTCGAGCACCTGCTTACCGCAAGGTTTAAGAAAAACGTCGAGTTTTGTGGGAAAAACAACATAGGAAAGCTGAGAAACTTTTCCAAAATTATTAGAAAAACAAGGCAAATTATTTTCAAATTTCCCGAGTAGATTATTACCCCGAATTTTCATCCTCTTTCAACGCACTCGAAACTCGACGAATAATTTAAAAAGCAAAAGCAATATTAATTTTAAGCGTGTGTACTTTGTTGTTGTATTAAGGCTTACTGTTGAGACAGCAAGCGTACAGCGCCAAATTTGCATATCATGTTTGGCAGAAGTCTCGTGCAGTTAAAATATCCCGTTAAATTTTAACTCTCTGTCGTTGATTTTAAAAAGACAAAATGTTTATAAAATGAAATTTATGCGATGAAAAAATCCGTCTCTTTTTACGAGCAGGTGAGAATAATATGATATTCCGTCTCGTGAAAAATCTAGCATAAGTGTGAACCTTGTTTATATAGCGAGGTCTGAGAGGCTAACACAAAGGGCTTGCTTTCAACGCGACTTTTTTTGGATTACTGAAGTTAGAATTTTTTTCTGAAGGGAATTTTTACTAGATTTCAGACAGGTTAACTAGCTTATTAATTTCACAGAATGTTCTATCGGGATTATTTTCCCATTGCTTCCGAAAGGATTAAAAATTCGCAGCAAGTCGCCAATATTCTGTGCGTTGGCCTTAATTTGTGTTCAATTACGTATTGTTTATTCTCCAACGACCTTTACCGGCGTTTGTACGGGATTACAATTGACTAATGATGCGCGTCTTTGAAATATATTAGAACATATCTGTGATCTGTCTTATATTCTAGGCTAAATCATCTCAAAATGTCCAACAGCCAGACTCGGATGATATCGAGGCGGATTACTACAGGTAAACACCAGTGAAAGACATCGGTTTTTTCTGAGAATTTTGTGCGATAAAGCGACCGACTTCGTAGAAAAGAAAGCGTGTTTCTTTATTAGCCATCGGTCTGGAATCAAGGGGCCAGCAAGCGCTGAGAAAATTTGAAATCGCAAACGTTTGACAGGGCATGAGCTATGACTTGTTGCTGATTTTCTGCGATTAATTGCACCAACTCTTGTTTTAAGATCCGTTGTGCACACTTGTGCGATTTTCTTCTTTTGATAGATGTGAACGAGTGAATTAGTTACGGATGATCAAGTAAGAGCTCTTATACATCAAAGCATTCGTAACTTGTCAGTCGTTCACATCTACCAAAAGAAGAAAATGGAGAGGGAGCGATCTCTGGTAAAATAAGCAACGTGTTTTGTCCCAATATCTTAGGGATAGCTTCTCTCCTGTAGGCCAGGCTCGCGGCATCGTTACTAGCCTTTGCCAATTCTTTTATCAAAACATTCATTCGCTGCTAAATTAAGACTTCATTTTTTTCCGTTATTCTTCTCAGACGTGCTCGCGACGACGAATATTCGGAGGGGAAGTCAGCGGACTTGAGCGATGACGAAGAGTACGAGGAAGAGATTGATGATGAGGGTAATGATGTTGACGAGGTGGTAGAAGAGGATATCGAGGACGATGATGAGGAGGAGGAAGATGAGAGGTGGGGTAAAGTCTTGATATTTTGTGAGACCAAGCTTTTACTAAATTTTATCCGATTTTTCATCTACCCTGCACAAAGGTTATTTCACCTTATTCCACAATATTCTATATCATTCTACATTATTTCACATCATTCCATATTATTCCACAATATTCCTTTCTGCCGTGCAGCACCAGTTTAGGTCAACTAATAGTTTCATCTACTTAGTTTTGTTTGTATTACAAGTTTAATGCTTGACTTCCCTTCTGTTTCAGCGAAGAAGAAGATACTCTCACCTCAGAGGTATGCATATGCTCACCATTAAATCCTCTCACTGTTTTATCGCTGTCAAAATTTTCCGTTCTTCCCTTAGTTTCCTTGCACTAGTATGTTGAAAAGTTTGTATCCGTCTAACGTCTGTATTCCAAGAGCTCACTAGCTCACGAGATCTCAATATTCTCATAACGTTTCCATAATAGTATTTTCAGTCGAATAAGAGCTTGATTTTCAGTGTTTTATCTTGAATCTTTCCATTGATTGAGAAAGAACTTTAACATTGATAAGAAATAACAAAATTTCTATGTCAACTCAATGAGTGTGAGTGAGCTTTTTGAAAACAGACGTGAGCTCGAATGTATGATACCAATCATGTCATTTTGGTATGATACCAATCTATCATAATTATAATCATTTCATGCTCAGTAAATCTAAATACACGATGATGCTTGATGTTGTTGACTGAACTGCAACCATCAAACGATTTCCAGGTTTTTAAAGTCCAAGTTCTCAGCGACTTTAATGGCGAACAGGCCAATGATTTGAGCATCAAAACAGGGGACGTTCTGACGATTAAGGAAATGAGGTACATATGCCATCACACCATCTTCGCAAGCTACTCAAGAATCATTTGCCAACATATTTCATAAGATTAGGAGTTAGTATATCAACCTATTTCTCTGAAAAGTGTTATTAATCTGTGATGTATGATTCTAGGAAAGATGGCTGGTGGTTAGCTGAAGATGCCTCGGGAAATATCGGCGTTGTTCCAAAGACACTGATTGAGGTGAATCTAAGCACGATCCTCCCTTTTGAATTTCGTCGGGGATTTCTTTAATACAACTCAATACAATTTTCTAGAGGATACCCAGTTCACCCACAGAGAGGCCTGCAAATGAGAAGAAGATGAGCAAAGGTAAGTGAAAACAGAGTATTTAATCGGAGATCTGTATCTGTAAAATGTCGAAGAGTCGTGAAATATAAGCAATCATAAATCGTCGTTCAATCTTTGCGATAACATCGTGTCTTGAGAATCTCTTGTTTCGCGCTAGAAACAGCAGAGACGACAGCAAACGAACCCAAGATTCAGAAAACCAGAAGGTTAGTTAGTAAGCACTTTGCACCTCATAAAACGCGGTAAAAGGCGCGAAGCTCTGTGATTAGTTGAAGTATATGAACCAGTCCTTTTTTTATGTTTTACAGCGGAGCGGAACTCTGGGGTAAAGTGAAAGAAAAGAAGATTGATAAGGTAAGCTAGAATAGTTTAGCAATTTACAAATCAACGTATTGCTTCAAGAGCTAGTACAATCTTTTCTTCAGAAAACCAGTGTCACTGATGTTCTTAAGGCGATGGGAGCGATGCCGTCTGGATTTCGTAAACCAACGTTAGGAAAGCTTTTGAAAGAAGGTAAAAAGGAGAAGAGGAAATTCAGACCAAGATAACGCGTGTTATGGCTGGTAGAAAACGCACAACAACACTGACACATTGTTTTTTTCTTTAGAGGAACATCGCATTGCAGCGTGGGTCTATCCTAAACTCACCGCTTCAAACCTGGCATTTCGCGACTTGCATTTGGATCCAGTTGAGGGAAAGGTACAGTATTACCACTATAAGTTAATGTATTTTTTAAATACTTTTTAGTGACGATTAAGACATCCTTCATTCACATCGTTTGTCACACTCCTATTTCCAGCTGCGCAGTTTTCCTGTGAGAATAACCAGACATTGTTCAATTTTGTCTGCGAGAATGGTCCCTCGTGTTGGTACAGGTAATGAACCATCGCCAACGATCGCTTTCTGTTCTTGAGGTTTTATGAATCTTTCATCCCTGAACCTTTTTCAGGCGTAAAAGTCATCAGTCGACAAATAAACGTTGCATTATGGGATGGCAAACAAGTGAGTTGGCTTATAAGTACAGTATAGTTCAACACTTCACCAGCGCTTTTTTATTACTAAGAGTCCATATTGGTATGTTCCTATCAAAATTTTGTCAAAAGCAAGCAGTCCTACAATAAATCTTTAGATCCTAAGCAATGTTCATACCATCAGAACATCTTTAACAGAAAGAGACCCAATGCTTTGGAATGTTGTCAAGGTATGTGATGTCTCTAACACACATCATCCATGCAGCTTTTTGTTAAATTTCCTTTAAAGGGAGACTGTAAGATAGATACAGCTAGTATCTGTTTATCAATTTGTGTACAGAGTATGACCTTAACTAGTGACGGTATAAATGAGATATTATGTTCTACTAGAACCCTCAACTCAGTATTTTTGATGGTGATTTTCTGGCCCGATCTCATAGCCAACTTTCCAATGTTGGTAAGTAAAGATTCTAAAAGTAAAGGCTAAAAATATTTTGCAATTCAACGAGGACAAAATTAGCATCAGAGTTAACTGGAGTTTAAACGTGACAATGAACTGTATATATTTTGCAGGAATTTTATTTGAGCTGACAGTGAGTTTCATTCGCGAGGTGAGTTTGCTTTTCAACGTATGGACGTCCGAAAACTTATCTTGGTTTCCAAAACAGTTGTCTGGTTTTATACCAACCCCTCATTTTAGAAAACTGGTGAAAAGAGCGACGTAAGCTGTGGCTGGTGTGTCCTGAAACTCTTTCAAGAAACCGGTGCTCCAACTGAAAACAAGTAAAAATATTTTGATATTGATATGAATCATGCATTGGCCACAAAATCAAACTGTCTACAAGCATGTTAATTCCTTTCTTAACTTTCTTTTAGGAATTGGGAGCTTCCTTTAAACGGTGGAACGCCTTATGATAGTAATATCGAATTGGATCCATCGGCTAACGCTAACGGTATTTCCCTATTTAAACTGAACTGTTGTATATGAGAAACAGCTTTAAAACGATCCTTCATCTTCTTTTGTAGTAACGGGAGGCTTGATGCAGTCTTTATTAAGTAGAAATCGTCAACCTCGTCTTGTTGTCAAGTTAGCACCCGTTACTAAAGTGGCAAAAGACCAATTATACGAGTAAGTTGTCCTAATGCTTTCTCACTATAAACTTTACGGATAATCTTGTTATTAAGTTTCTCCGGTATCATTCAAAAAGAATATGAAAATCGGATTTGTTCATGAAATTGGCTTCCTCTCTGAGGCCAACCCTGAGAGGACCCACCCTGCCTTTGTTAACCACCCTTTGTGGCCCCCTACTCACTCTTTGTGGCTCCCCATCCTGCCTTTGTAAACCACCCTTTGTGGCCCCCTACTCACTCTTTGTGGTCCCCATCCTGCCTTTGTAAACCACCCTTTGTGGCCCCCCCCACCCTGCATCTAGTTATTATCTTCCGTAGCTCCCCCCACACACAAAGAACCATCCTCCTCAACACCCCACAAATCTATCCTTAGTGTCTTACCTAGAGCTTGTATTTTAGTCTTCTACCAGAAACATTGGTAACAGCTGTCCAGTATGTACCGTTTATCGCACTGTACAGAGAAATCCTCGCTGACGAATTGGTTCAAAATATTGACAGTATTCCACAGACGAGTAAGTCAATAATTTTATCATCACATCATGCAGTAGGAAACCTAAGCAAAACAACTGCATGTATATTCATTTGTCATAATGGATGAATTCACTTTTGATTCCTGGTATAACATGGATGAAAAAACAGTTCTCATGTGATATTTTGTTTATTTTCTAGATTTAATCCCAGATCCTTTGTTGAGTTCGTTTCCTAGAGTTTTATCATACTTTGATTTCATGGATGCCTTGAAAGTAAGATGCCTTTTTGAAAATGGGAATTTGGTTTTTTAGAAAGCCTGAAATAACCCCAGTTTCGGTTCGGTTTTAGGTATCGTGGGATGAAAGAGTAAAGAAATCTCTACGACAGTCAATGAGAGTAAGCTTAACAAAAAGTATTTAAAATGTTGGTCAAGACTTTAGAGTTAGCTAGCAGGAGCTTCTATGAAGGTTTCCCAGGTCCTTATTCGCATGAAGACATTGTAATGATTTCTTTATTTCAGCAACGTGATCGTCAGGAGAGAAAAAGACTGTTCCGTTCTGTTTATATGAACACCGTGTTTCCTTTGTTAAAACTGGTCTCTCTTCCACAGCTGGTGGCAGCTAGTCCAGAAAGTGAAGAGGTAACTTACTTCATTTTTAAACGGTTCTTCCTAGAGGTCCAGTAAGGATCATCTCTTATTGATCAAGTGTTACTACAGGAGGAAACCTAAACTAAGCTAACTTTATTTATACTGGATAGCTCTATCAGTTCTAAACTGTTCTTCCTAGAAGTCCAGAAAAAATAGCGTTATGACATAACTGTTTCTCTCTTGCTTTTGAGCTATAATTCTTAGGTTATGAATTTTTTTATATACAGTTTTGTTTTTTTCTTTTATAGCAAAGATCACGGATGATCCAGGAATTCTTAGCAAGGAGGAATACAGTGAACCAGTTATTATCGGACGAGTTTTCGTACAGGCCTTTCAATATAAATAGGACGTGTCTTGATATCATATCTCGGCATAGTATACCCAGGTAGCACTAGCCTTGACAATGTATCATAGTTACTCGTTATTGTATTGGTGTCGTCGGTTCCTATGGGAAAACAACAAGATTAGGAGGATTAGGTGGAACAAAATGCTCTAAACTCATCATTTGGGTTTGAATTTGATGCGCACTGCCACAGACACTCTCAGCAGTCAGCGTGATGTGCAGCACATAAGATGAAAAATGACTCTCAAATTACTCCTTGTAAATGACCTTTAATTTCGCCAAGTGCTGGGCTAGCAATTGTATGTAATTCATGTATATCGCAACTGGTTCGCCAGGCTTTACATGCTTTGAACAAAGCATTGCTGTCAGCGAGACGCATGAAGCCCGATGTATCTCATAAGTTTTTAAAATTTTTTATCTATCATCTTTTTCATACCAAAAACAGTTATTTACAGCTAAACCGGATGTTACGTTCTCGTCAACATTGCAATATTGCTCAGCAATATTGCAATGTTGATTGGCTAATTGCCCGCAGCAATTACGAATGAGCGCGGGCAATTTACAACGGTCGGCAGAGGTCCAGTCGAGACAATCGAGTAAATCTATTTCAATGATATGTCGTCTATCCAAAAAACAAAAGTTGTTTCGCTACCTGTTCGGAAGCGTATGTTGGAGCTTTGGTTAAGCGGAGAGACTTTTACGGCTATTGCTAATTGCACTGGTGTCACATCGAAAACAGTGTCAAATATTTTAAGCAAATTTATTCAGCGCGGTCATTTACTCCCATTAAAGCCTGGCGGCAAAGAAAGGCATATTGCTACCCAACCAGTTGTAGAATACATTGAATATCAAAAAATTTCCAAGCCCAGTATTACAGCTTTGGAAATTCAAGTGGCACTTGTCAATGATGGTATTTGTAATTTGGAGAATTTGCCGTCCAGATCGACAATAAGCGATGTGCTTAGAAAAGATTTGAATTTCACTTATAAGAAATTAAAAGTGGTGCCACAAGAATCTTTAACCGAAGAAAATCAATTGAAATTATTGCATCACGCAATGTTCATGAGCCAAGTTGACCCATCAAGAGTTCATTTTTTTGACGAATGTTCTGTTAAAAGAACAACGGGCAATCGCGTCTATGGACACGCTGAAAGGGGAAGGAGAGCCGTGGAAGTTAAACGTTACGCGTCCGACTGTAACTACACTATAAATTTACTGCAGAGCAGATTTGGCATAACTCACTTCAATCTGTTAGAAGGAGCATCAAATGGTCTTGAAATGTTACAATTTTTCCACGAAAGCATGCAAGTTGTTGATGAAGTTTACGGAAATCCTGTGTTGGCACAAGGAGATATAGTTGTGATGGATAATTGCAGGTTCCACCACGGACACTTTGCAGAGGCCGAACTGCGAAGAATACTTGGTCAGAGAGATATAACTCTAATATTTCAACCTCCATATTCTCCCGAGTTGAATACGTGTGAGTTCAGTTTCAGTGTTATCAAATCTTTTCTTAGGAGGCATGAATATTTTGCAGTTAACTTTACTGAACTTGCAATTATTCGCGCCTTAGAAGTTATTACTCCAGACATGTGCAGAAGATTTTTCATGCACTGCGGTTTTTTAGTTTAAACGTACGTTTATGCATGTTCATGAAGACTTCATCAGGACTAGTTGGATGTATGCGGTTTATAGAAATGCATTAGTTAATTTTTTGGTGTTGCATATGGGTTATCGTTTATCAATAATTAGTAACATGTTTTGCAAAATTCAGTTGTACTTGCTGTAATATTCATGTTTTCTGATCCTGATGCTACTAACTTTTATTGTAGTTTTTTACATAAGTATACGCGGAAGTATACGGTAAAAAAAGTTAATCAGTTGTTGCAAATTGCAGCGAAGAAGTCAGAAAAACAATACAAATTGCTGATGTATATAGTCATCTTATTGCAAAAAATAAAAACTGAACATGTATTAGTCTATATAATAATTATAGCATACTTCACTAGTAAGACGAAATTTGCATGAAAAATATTAGAAGCAATAGCATGAACCATTTATAAATATAATATACACTAAAGGCATGCAATGCATAAAAAATGCTGTGAAATTAAATATCAACCGACTATATATACATATATATACAGTATATAATACTGCATGCTCATGCATATCGATCTGCAAACGCGGAGGTTTGTTAGTTCATGTGGCATACATGCAACCACATTTTAAATATAAAGACAACATGCATTTAAAGTAGTATTCATCAAGGCGATCGAATATAACGAATATAAAAATGGGAAATGGGAACTAGGTTGGCAATGAAAGACGCTATTACTGTATGATAGTATAATGTCAACTTTATACAGTATTAGTATTACTGTAATAACCATGCAAAGTTTATTGCTGTAATCTACAAACCCGTGAGTTTACCCATGCCATCTGCAGCATTCGCCAAATCAGTCAAAGTTAAAGTGCTGTGTCCCACAACGTTTTGGTGTCTGTTCATGTCTTCTGGTTCAGGCCGTCTGTCTTTGTTTACTAGTTGCGTCTGTTGGCTTGAGTTAGTCGCCTCAAAAAGACCAGAGTCAGAAGGTACAGCTCCTTGCAAATATCTTAAGTATGGAGACACTCCAGTTTGATTAATAGTCTGGATTTCGTGAACATTATTGCGGATTTCGATATTCTCGTTAGAGACGCACTCGGTTCTCACACTCGCAACCGGCACTCGATTATAGCTCTTCTTTTTGCTCCCCTTGCTTTTGCTGCGACTTTTATATTTACGGCGATATTTTTTTGAACGCCGAGACTTTGATCGCATTTCTTCGCTGGATGAATCGCTACTTTCACTGGTAGTATCAGAACTGTCAGTGTAATCGTCAGAAGACAACATTTCTGTTATATTTTTGTGATGTTTTGGTTTTTTCATTCTCTTCTTTACTGGCGAAGAAATATGCGTGTTTATGTAAATATTTGGTTTGGAAGTACTTGCCCGATCGTCAAATGTGTCAAACTCAGAAAACTGCTTTTGTTGTTTCTCGAGAAGTTCGATAAAATATTCTCTTTCGTCTATTGAATGCTCGGGTATTTTGTTGTTGCATGCGACCCTCAATGTGGCCAGATCTTTCTGTAGTGATATTGTACCAGATGTAGTTTTTTTATTATACCGGTCGGGGAACGCTTTTAAAAGACGAGGCGTCATTGCTGTGACAAAAGTGGACATAGACTTTGACTTAAAAGCTTCTAAACTTTGTCTGTCTGTTTTCAATGTATCAATTTCTGAATTTAGCCGCTTTTGTCTTTTCGTTAAGTTCCGTATTTGCTCAAAGTGTTCAGGATGCTTCTTTTTTTGTCCACAATTATAAAATGAAGTACAAAGTTCTCTCTTACACGCTGCGTTATGTCTGTTACCGTCTGATCTGTGTCCACGGATATGACATTTGCCACAGACGATCGATTTGTACTGTCCAATTTGTGCTGGCTCAATAATTGGTCTCTGTAAGTCATCTAGCTGAACATTCACAGCTAACAGTTCATCTTGTAGCTGCTGCGTTTGATCGCTCATTGTTCCTAACTTGCTTGTCTTCCAGTCTTGCTCCGGAAAAAGTTCTTTACTTGTTCCTGCTGTCTGCTGTTCTGTGGCGCGCCCTAAATCTGGTGTCGACCGCTTCGCGTTTATTGTACTTGTACTTGTAGTGTTTTGCAGTCGCATTTTGGCGATGCATGGCGAATCTACCTCTCTCAATTTAATTTCGATCCTTTTAAATGACTCGGCACCACAATCATAAGCATTCCTGAATGCTTCTTCAAGAACCATTTGGTTACCAGGGAAGATATTTATGAACACGCCTTCACCCTGTCCCGAGCTCGAAAGACGAACGTCTTTGTAGGCAATACGAATGCGGTCAGTAGGAATATTCCGTATGTACGGTACAGCTGATTTCACATTTTCAAGTAAATCGTCATAATCGAGAATAGGTTCTTCAGAAAAGAAGCACCCATAACGAGAGTCTAGATATGAAACAATGACTTGGTACATTTTGAGAAAGTAGATATGCGAAAATCAGGAAAGCATGTGCAGATCAGTGAGACAGCCTTGCTAAGACCGGAAGCAAAACTACCAACTTCCTGCGGGCAATTAGCCAATCAACATTGCAATATTGCTGGGCAATATTGCAATGTTGACGAGAACGTAACATCCGGTTTAGCTGTAACACAATGTCAAACGCATTTATTTTGAAAAAATATTTATCGGCTGACAACCACCTTAATTCAATTAATCGCGATTCAAAATGGCGGCGGCATCTCACTTGATCCCATCTTGGAACCGCTACTTTTTTTAAGAAAATACTTTGTAATTATGATAAAAAAACGACGTTCGTGAATTATAATCTAACGTGGAACATCTACAATTCATTGTTTTTCATTGAATTTCTAAAATATGGCAGCGAAAAGCCAGAACTAAAAGAAAAAGAGCTGTCAGCCTGTCAGAGTCCACAAGGAAGGCTTGAATTGTTCTCTCTTGGAAAATATTTGAAAGATCGTTATTTGCTGAGCTTTCTAATGCTTTTAGCCTTTTATGTAAGTAAACATTTCAGTTCGTAGCATTATAGATTTCTGGCGCTGTTTAACTGTATTTTGTAGAGTTTTTTTACCTTTGTTAATTGGTAGTATTCGTCCAGGTTTTGGTAGAATTAGGATTATAGAATAATGCAAATATTTACTTGTTCAGACACTACTGAGCTGCCAGTGGATATATTTTATAACTACTGAGCTACCAGTGGATGTATTTTATAAACTTTATATAAAAAAGTTTGTAAAATCCTATTTTTTCACTGCATACATTCAGTTCATTGAGTTTTCTTCTTAAAGAAAAGAAAGATACCTTGGTTTATACTTCATAGCTTGTTTTGAGTCATTACCTGACGGCAAATGTAACAGAATAAAGGTACAGGTTTGACTCCCAGGTCAACTTGTGATACCGTAATCCGTTGCACATTGCTATATATGGGTAATGACTCTGATGGTGTGCCATTTAGCTGAGCGGCAACAAATGAAAATTAATCCATTGACCATGGTTTAATTTCGATATGATCAAAAAGACAAACTGTCACAGCAGATGTGAACTTTTTTTAGAACATCAACTAAGATAGGGCCAAGTAACCGGAAATTAATGAACTCTGTCTGAATTGAAAATCACCTTTATGCTATTATTATGAAATGTGTTTCGTTTCATCTTCCAATTTTATCAAACCTGTTTTTCCAAACCAGGTGTTTCCAATTATGGGGCAGATTTGCAAGGTTTTAAGTGTTGCTATTTTTAAAGCTTGTGGACAAAAAGCAAGGTTAAATACCGCAGATTCTGTTTCATTTCAAATCTAAATTTCCATCTGTTTTAAGTTAACTTTCTGCAAATACTCAGAAATAAGAGAACCCATTTCAAGAGGTCATTTTATATTTAGAATTGCTTTTTCCACACTTACATGATATTGTCATTCAGGATTTTTTGACCCTTTGAAAGCTGGAAAAATTAAATGCAAATGGTGAGATTTTTTTCTTTGAACAAAGAGCTGATTCAAAGAGCAATTCTTTTAAGTTTTCTCCAACAAACTATCACAATTACACTCAGCTAAATAGAGAGTCTTAGAGCAAAGGTTTTTAAATTGTTTTGGGTAATTTGAGTATCATAACTTGAAGCATGTTTTTATCACAAAGTATAAAAACTGATTGTTGCAACAGGTACAAATTGGCAAGAATTATGAATGGTTAAAGCAAGAATTATGAATAGTTCTTTTATCACTCAACGTGGAGTCTATGAAACAAAGTCTGAATAATGTACACAAGAGAAAATGATAACTAAGTCCTTGCAATACTATATGTGTCAACAGTCATCACAATGGTTGTAATTCTCTGTATACAATACAGATGAATAATTTTCAGGTCTCCCAGTGTGCTGGGGATAAATTAATGAATACCAACTGTAATCTCACAGCATGATGTGTCTGCAAAATGACACTGAATACGAAATGATTTTGAATTTTATTATTGCAGAATGTCCTTTTTAGACCAAGTTCAATCCTTAACCTTCTTGCAATTCAAAGCAACTATTTAGATAAGTTACTTTGTTATCGATGAGAGAGCTCGCACGCACAAGTTTTTTTAGAATTACGAACGTCACCTTTTTTAGAGCTTATCTTGCTTCTCGTAATTATTACAAAATAATCTTCTCTGTTGTTGAATACACTGAACCAGGTATTTTTGATGGGTATCATTGAACTGATTGAAGCATGTTTTGGTATTTACCACGCGTCTATTTTTAAATGTGATGTGGTTTCAGCGCGTTGCAACGAGGCAGGCGTGCGTCCAACAGCAAACTAAACCAGACGCCACCAAACACAGCTGAACAGCGCGTGATCATTGTACCTCAGTTGCTTAGTCAGGCATCGGCTTAATTGACAATACAAAGCACGTTCAATGGTTGCTCTCAAAAGCACAATCAATATACACCTTAGACTTCCTGCGACAATTCAAACGTCACACCCAGTTTTTTTTTCTTTAACTTAATAATTCATGCTTTTAGCTGTGAATATTCAATTCTCCCTTGACGGGGAAAAAGCCGGTTTCTTTGCCGAGGCCGTAGGGGAGGTCAAAAGTGCTTCTGAATTGTTCAGAAGTGTGAAATTTCTGGGATTGCTAAAGTGATGGTAACTTCCTAGGGCTTTGCAACACTTTCCAAGTAAAATTATTTCCTGTCCAGCGAAGGACTACTGAAAACTTCCAGTGCCTTCAGATTTATTTTCTCAGAGGCCCATCGAAATAGGACGGTCTAGTTTTAGATGAGTTTCACGCGAAAGCACCAACCTACTATACCTGCATGGCAATTATTTAATCTTTCACATTTACAATCATAACAAAAATATCTTTAATTTGCAAAATTTTGATGTTAAACATCGATGACCTAGTCTAATACACACATAAAAAAATACGTTAAAAAACACAGAAATATTCCAGCTTTTAGCTTGATAACAAAATTACACAAAATATTTTATAAAATGCTTTTCAAAAACAGCGACTGAACTTGTTTAACTTGTCCTGCTCAGCCAGATTTATAATCCGTTTTTGATACGATACTTCTATAAAAGAATATATAGTTTTAATGTCTCTGGGTACATATATATAAAGTTTTGGGAAAATTCTAGCTCGTTAGACTAAAGACGTTCGCAAGTACACGCAGAAATATATCAGTTGAACTTTGTCTTTAGACTTGTCTTGGCAGAGTCTCAGAGTGCTTTCAATTTGTCGCGTATTATTGTTCGTCAGACTGGAATGAATTTATGGCCCGTGTTTATCATTGCTATTTTCATGACAGCATATGAAAATGGTAAACACAGACAAAACTATTCATTCAGAAATGAATTGTAATTTGCAGTCATTGCAATTTGTAGTAAGATATCATTGCTATAGCCTTGCACACGGGATTTAATTGCTTTAAGCAGAACCAGACGGCAATGAATTTGGGTCGAATTTGGCGTTTCTCTTGAATCTGCATGCCCAAAATCGAAAACACTGTTGACACTCTGTGAGGTTATCTTGCCAATCCAATGGCGCGTCGACGCACGTGAAAAACTAATCTAAGTTCGTCTTAATTTTAACATATTTCTACGAAAATACCAGAACAGAAACCGCTGTATTTCTTAGAGAGCGATGCTTTCCTCCAAAGTTACAAGAAATTGCTCCATCCATCTGCAAACTCATGTTTCCCGACCGCACGAACTCCACGACTCCCCAGATTATTCACGATAAAACTTCTGGATATTTCCTATGAAGTGATTCATAACTACATTTTCATCTAGGATAGTCCTCTTCGTTCCAGGTCTTCATATGATCTAGGTCTACTCCACATAATCTTTTAAACTAAATCTTCAGATGTTCTCCGTCTAAAAATCACAGAAAGTTTCCTGCTGTCGTTGTAAAACTAAACTAGAAATCCTCATCCAGGCTAAAGTACACTGTATCAAGCGATGAATAACATCATCCTCTATGCTTTGTATCCATAACTTCGTCGCTTTTGGCATATTTTTTCCGCATCAATTTCATGGCCAGGTTGTAGGTGTTCCCGAAAACAGCATATCTCTAAGTAACGTCTCGATTGGCGTCTTTCCAACTAGTCGTACAAAGAACAGCTGTTCTATGACCGAAGAATTTATCGTTCGCAAAGAAGGAAGTCGTAAAAGTAATTTTCCAAATCTTGTTGGCTGGTTCGGGTACTGAGCCTTCGTGTACTCTTCCAGAGCGCATTGAGTCTTCTCCTGGAGACTGTCAATGTATTGTGGATCGCTCAGACCAGAGGCGTCTATCAGAAAGAGGGTTTGGTTAGTTTTGGGCGTGTATGGATTATCTGCCTAAATTATATGTATTAGCTCTCCAGGTTTCCTAAGATTTGATCAAGAAGCTTGATCAAATCTTTAACACTTGATCAAACTTCATCCAGTCCTAAGACTTGATCAAACTTCATTCAGTCCTAAGACTTGATCAAACTTCATCCAGTCCTAAGACTTGATCAAACTTCATCCTGTCCTAAGACTTGATCAAACTTCATCCAGTCCTAAGACTTGATCAAACTTCACCCAGTCCTAAGACTTGATCAAACTTCATCCAGTCCTAAGACTTGATCAAACTTCATCCAGTCCTAAGACTTGATCAAACTTCATCCAGTCCTAAGACTTGATCAAACTTCATCCAGTCCTAAGACTTGATCAAACTTCATCCAGTCCTAAAACTTGATCAAACCTCATCCAGTCCTAAGACTTGATCAAACTTCATCCAGTCCTAAGACTTGATCAAACTTCATCCAGTCCTAAGACTTGATCAAACTTCATCCAGTCCTAACACTTAATCAAACTTCATCCAGTCCTAACACTTAATCAAACTTCATCCAGTCCTAAGACTTAATCAAACTTCATCCAGTCCTAACACTTGATCAAACTTCATCCAGTCCTAACACTTGATCAAACTTCATCCAGTCCTAACACTTGATCAAACTTCATCCAGTCCTAACACTTGATCAAACTTCATCCAATAAAAGGAATTGTATAATCGATTCCTACCTGAGGTGAACAATACAATCGCTTTCAAACAAGAATACTCGGCAGCATCCACGTGAATATTTCTCAACTTCTCAATTTGATCTGTAAACACTCTAATATTATCCATGAACGAGACCATTCGATCTGAATTCATGTGATTTGCATGCATCCCAGCCGTAGCCAGCAGGCTCGGGTTGTTCAGCGGCATTGGACATTGGGCAGCGTTTAGAACGAAGAGCTCACTCCAGGTCAAACGAAGTAGTGCTACCTGATCTGTGACAGCTAGGTCTGGAAACAAGGGAATGTTCCTTGCCCATTCAACTGCCGAAAATAGCAATCTATAAATGAAAGTCAAATATATATATATACTGGATAGTTACAATACTGGACAGGCACTCTATCAGTTCTAAACTGTTCTTCCTAGAGGTCCAGTAAGGATAATCTCTTATTGATCCAGTGTTACGACAGGAAGAAACCTAAACTAAACTAACTTTATTTATACTGGATAGCTCTATCAGTTCTAAACTGTTCTTCCTAGAGGTCCAGTAAGGATCATCTCTTATTGATCCAGGGTTACTACAGGAGGAAACCTAAACTAAACTAACTTTATTATACTGGATAGCTCTATCAGTTCTAAACTGCTCTCCCTAGAGATCCAGTAAGGATCATCTCTTATTGATCTAGTGTTAATCATGTTACTACAAGAGGAAACCCTAAGGTGCAATATTTAGTCCTTCATCACAGACTAAAGATAATATATATATACACAGTGATACTAACCTTGCGGCAATCTCACAAATATTTTCAATACCAACCACTCCATAAGGCATATTTATTCCCGGTTGTTGGAAGCGTCCAGTGGAAAAAGGCTCAGCTCGCAAAAGCAGCGTAATATAACCAGATATGAACGAGTTTCCGTTTGTCTCACCATTCTGTGGTTGTCCCTGAGTTAACGCCGGCACTTGGGAGGCCGGCAATCGTCCCCTTTGCACTGCTATAGTCACAGAACAGACAAACGGAGTTAAATTTGCGGTCAAAGCAATAGAATTTGATTATATTGTCTAACAGTTAACCCCCATGCGGTGACATGTGGTGGTAACCTTAGACCCATGTCACGTTTTGCCCAATCAATTGAGTGTAATCATAGTGAATTAGAGCAGTATTTAGAGGTCAAGGCTGAGCGATTTTGTTGCTGTTTTGTTACACACCCTCTCTCCGTTTTGCCGACTCTTTTTGTCCAGCAATACAAATTGAATTGCTTGTGGTTAGGCAAAGTGGAATAGTGCAAGGTTTCTGCATAATTCAGAGCGCATTACTTTTGAACCAATATCGAGGAGGTTGCATATGCTGATATGCAAGCATTTTTTCAAAGCTCTTTGTTCGAGTTATAATGATCTAAATTGTAGATCTGAATTTAATTCAATCCAAATGCAGTCGTTCAGAGCAATATATACTGCCAGCCTATAATAACTCTTAAAAGCAGATCTCTTTTCAAAGCAGATCTCTTTTCATATAGAATATTTTGCAGCTATATCTTTGAATTTAGTGTACTCTATATTTAGTTGCATTCCAATACCTCGGTGACTTTCATATATCTTCATCAGAGGAGTGAAAATAGACTTAAGGGGGCTCTTAAACACTTTCACACAAGGTCAAGGTCGGTCCTTAACTGCTTCTCGTTTTATTTTTGTGTAGATTAAAAAAAAACGGTGAAAATTCCAAGGAGAATTAGGGTCTCAGGAAGGGGCCAGATGGTTCTAAGTACGGGATACATCATCTCTTTTTACCTATTGGAATTACGTGGATTAACAGAGCAATATACACGCTTGATTTTAAAGTGCTAATTGAAGGTATGATCAGAATTTCCAAAGTGTGGGGAAGTTGCACGTCTTAGCTTAAAACATAAACGCCACAAAAATAGACACTTTTGGAATCTCTTGGTTTCGTATTTCCTAATTATCATCTTGATAAACGCTGCAGATTGCCAAACCACCTTCCGTAAAGCGCGATAAAGCCAAGATGCTTGGTTGGTCTTTTCAAAAACCGTAATATATTGTATAGTTTAAACTATGGGGGGTTATTTTTGCGCACACATATACTGAGATTGAGCAATATCGACGTGTTTATAAATTACCCGCACTCTGCTTCGAATGATCTTTTTTTTATGAAAATACCTTGCAGAGACCACTGATATTTAGGCTTCGTTTTTTTATATATCTATGCGAGTTTGTGACCCAAGGCGAATATTGTGACGGGTAACCGACAAATGATTATGATAGGTTTCCGTACGTTCTGCTAAATGACAACAAAGGCTGTACAGAGCACCTGATTGAGACCCTTGAGGCTTTGCTTAATCATCATCAACTTAACATATTTTATTAAAGTGTAACAGCATTCCCTTGAGCACAAACATGAAACATATCAAAGCATTGCTCACGGTAAACTGACATCGACATCGTGCAGTTACTAAGAAAATACACTTTTTCCCGGACGACGCGTTTTTTTCGCGTCCAATCGATGTAATGAGGGATGGTGCAAGGGTACCCACTCCTCCCTGCTATTGTGCACAGGCTACAGGGGGCTGGGGTCAGCGTAAGAGGGGTGAGGGTGGCCAGGGGTTAACTTCATCAAATTTTTAAAAGGTTATATTTCGATTGAGGATAACATATTTGCCCTCTTGGGGAATTTATCTTCCTGAAATTTACTGTCCATTGTCCAGGAAGTCGATCACAGATGGTAATCCATACCAAAGTATCCTCGTTTTTGGCCTACCTCCAGCAACCCTCCCACTTTCTCTTTCTGCCAAATGATGTTTAGCGAGGTTTTTCGAAAGAGGTGTAAATGAATGTTATTTCATGCAGCCAAATCACGAGGCATGTGTGTTATAGGAATCAAAGTTTTGAAAATCAATGAGATTATATCTAATCCTGACATCTGTTGCATAACACATCGCATTCTAAAAAGTCGAAATAAGATCTTTAATGGGATCAATTGAAGAGAATTTATAAAATGCCTTTAGGGCAAAATGCTTCCTTGTACCTTGCGGAGAATCACGATTGCCCTTTTCAAAGCGACACATTTTAAGAAAAAGTGACTGTGTTAGTCCAACATTTCCATTCGGATGGAATGCTACCCGTAAACTTTGCGCTATGATGTCCAGACAAAAGATTAAAGAACCTTTCATTAGCCAACCTTAAGACCTTTGGACACAATAAAAGCGGTGTGTCGCTCATACATGCATCAACATGCAAAGAAATGCACTCTTTTTCTCATAGTACTAGCGTATTCTCCTTAGCGTAGGCAGAATTGCCGTGGATTGCTGGCGAGAGAACACGAGAGAAGGCATTTTATCTTTCCTATATTTGGACGCAGTGGAATGTGAAATGGCGGTTGAAAATCCTTTGCGAAAACCAGACGGGGTTACCTAAGTTCAGACAGGGTCGCTTTATCGCTTTTAATAGTTGCATACTTCCCTGCTTCATCACCCACACGGAGACATAAAGTTTATACCTTGCCATCGAGCAAACGCATAATACGTTTAGCTGTCCAACAAAGCGAAATAGATTAACGAATGTTTCGAATATCACATTGCGTGTAAGCACGTTTCAACGCAACACAGCATTGTCTCGCATGCTAATGCATTGTGCATATAGTATTCAATTTGTGTCGTTAAATAGTAATATCGCATGGTAATTCATCGAGTGTTTGCTGTAGTTCTGTCAGAAATACAAACTGTTTATTGCAATTGAGAATAGTTGTAGGAAATCGAGTGGAGGATTAGGGTTACAAAATCGATGTGTCGCCTTCCTTGTTATTCTATACGCCATTCTGTGCGGATCGAATTTGAAGGACAAATAAGTGTTATTGTTGTGTTTTTTAAGAAATATTCGGTGCTTGAATACATGCAACGAATCTGACGCTTTCATGAAGCTCCCATTTCGCACACTTTGGGTTACCGCGGCTTACGGCAGTTATGAATTTGAATACAGTCTTTTGTCTTCCATGCTGTTTTTAGCTAGACCGTTTAGCGCGCCCGAGAGATTTCGGGCGAATCAAGCTTTCTCACAATATTATACGAACTATGACCGCTTATTATAATCCCTAGTACACAAAACCTGCCTTTTTTCCCCAGGTCAAAAGTGAAATTTTGCAATTTTTCTTTGATTGGTCGACTGAATTAGCAATATGCAAAAGACGGTTAATTGTATTTCATGCTGTTTCAACAGTGGATATAGTTCACTTGCAAATGAACAACTCATGTCTCTTTTTCGTATAAGCAAGTTGCATGATCGCTCTATCGCTTTTACAGATAATGCTTTCTCCAATATCTCAGACCCGAAGTCATATTCTGCCGGCTTGGTGTAACGCCAGAGGTCAGTTTTGAGGTGCCCATTGTGAAAAAAGTAGCAGCAGTTTCATGCTGTTCAAAGCCAGACGGTTTACGCAAGGGATGTCCTGTTCAAAATGGACGTAATTACACAGAAATTATCATACAATGTACTGAATTCTGCCAACCGTAGATCCAACGGACGTTGTGTATAGCGTGTATAGTGTATACTTCAAGTTTAAGAAGGCGTCTTTTGGGTGTTATTTCATACGCCTAAGCCAAACTCTGCATTTTCGGGAAGTTGAATTCCACGAACGAGATTAACGTTCACTATATAACTCTGCCTATTTTCTGATGCCATCAAACGCAAACCGTACGTAAAATATCCGGCCAGATTTGCGGTTGGAAATCCTATTGTTACGAGCAGTATTTGAGCGTTGCATAAATTAGCAATGCAAGTTTCAATTATTGCTTTCTAACCATGAAAGGTTTCCTTCAATGGTCAAAATTATGCACCTAACACCTTGCTGTTTAGCTCCTATGATAAACACACTTTACGCACGTTGGTAATACTCTTAGAAAGATGTGCCGTAATGTTAAAATAATGTACATTAATAAGCTACAAGTGCTTCAGAGTTCATAACATATATAGTTGCACGGATTATTAAGAGAGTTCACCGCAGCATGTAACATAGGTCAGACAGTTTCATTTAGACCTTGGCTGTACCAGGCCGCACAAACATAGTTGATATTATCGTATGTAAACTGTGTACCACAGGGCTACAGTACAAGCAATCTCCTGAGTGCCTTGGTTTCGTTTTGAGAGAACGAACAACCAATTTCATTTTAGCTGAGGTCAGACATTAAGAGGAGGAAGTCTTGCCACAGGGCACAGGGTTGTATGTAATGCATGCTCATATCATTCGCTGTTCCAAAAATTTTTAGACCCCAGATTTTGGACCAACGTTCGAAGCTCTTTATAACTACAATCTTTGTTGGGGATTTAGAACAAGGGAAACGTTTAAGGAATAGAAAAGAAGCACGTTTAGTTCTGTAGTTTAGGTTTCTGGCCTTGATATTGATTCACGTTTGCAAAGGAAGTCATACCAAATGAGCTACCACTGATCAATAAAATTATGCTTGTCTTGGAATTTTCAAATGGGTTTCTTCGAAGAAACTTGTAGTTTATGTCCGAGGAAAATAGCAAAGATCTTTGCTCGGCTTTCAGTGATATAGAGAGTTTAAGTGGGCGCAATTTAACTCATAGGTGATGCGTTTAGGAAACCGTACCATAATCTGTTGTCATGTGCTGAGACCACGTATGTTTCCTTGATTTTGTACCCGAGAAATCAATTTCATCATGAGGCCGTATACGGCAACGCTAGATAGCCTTGTCGTAGCTTGGGTAAACGTTTCATGGTCACAATGAACGTTTCGGTTAGACAATGGTTATGTGAAACACACTTACCTTCACGACGCATTCCAACCTTTAGGCATTTCTTAAGTCGACAAAACTGGCATTGGTTTCGATGATGTTGATCGATCGGGCAGGATCTTGAACCACGACATGTGTAGGATAGATTTCTACGAACGCTTCGTTTAAAGAAGCTCTTGCAGCCCTCGCATGTGTATACACCATAATGCTTGCCCGAGCTTTTGTCGCCGCACACGGCACATTCGATTTGTGCTGTGCTTCCCTTCACAACTGCAATTTCCTGCGAAGTTTGTGAGGCTCCTTCTCGCCACGCGACGGCGGCCATGACCTATGTATGTAGTTTAGGAAACAGCCTAAAATACAAAGGCGAAAAGGTTAAGGACTAGCCATAGACACAATAGGTATGTTTGCGTGACGAAACAAATATACCTTAACTCATTTGTTATTAATATTAGACTGCGTTACCTCTCATTCCTGCGGAGTAACGAAGCATTCAGTGGCTGGAACCTACCTTAGAGTACACGCAGTTATCACCCCTTCGGCCAAAAAGCGATTTCGTGAGCTCTCAAAGCGTGTGTCTGTCTTAAACGTGCTTCACCTCTGTGGGTTTTGAGCGCGGTCTTGTGTTAGGAAGCTGACTGTGGCGTGACTGAGTGTATCCATTAACACTCATACTGACATGATATACTTTGATAAGCGGTTGCCATGGTTGGTCACGCTATATAAGGCGAGATTTTGTCATAAAGCTTTACAGTGTTCTATTAACAGCCGATAATTAAGATCAAGCAGTCATCAGATTTTTGAATTATAGGAACAATATGTGGCGCCAGTTCGCGTGAGGCCTGGACTGAGTTTCAGACGGACTTCAGACCCGGGAATGGATGGGTTTTGCATTCAAAGGGTGATTTTTTATTACGGTGCTCGCTGGTTTGTGTTGTCGTTTTGGATGATGAGAGCTACCTTAAAGTGATCTGATGTTGTACAGAACTCATGTGAGTAGAGTTAAGTCTCTCCTGTGTTCTCTCTCAGTTGACTGAGTTAAGCATGGTTAGATCATGCAGAGGTGGTACATGTTCTTGAATGAGAGCTACCTTAAAGTGATCTGATGTTGTACAGAACTCATGTGAGTAGAGTTAAGTCTCTCCTGTGTTCTCTCTCAGTTGACTGAGTTAAGCATGGTTAGATCATGCAGAGGTGGTACATGTTCTTGAATGAGAGCTACTTAAGTGATCTGATGTTGTACAGAACTCATGTGAGTAGAGTTAAGTCTCTCCTGTGTTCTCTCTCAGTTGACTGAGTTAAGCATGGTATGAGAGCCACCTTTAAGTGACCCGACAGTACTTTGGATTTCTGTATTTCCATAATCCGTTGTCCTACGACGCCAGTCCAGATCACAGTTCTGTTTACATCCGACTCTCAGCAGTCACATTGTGTTGGACCAAATTTCATTACAAACATAATGGGAGCTCAAGTTTCGCTCTTTTGACCCACCCTGAAATGTGATACCCAGCAAACATTGCTGAGATTTTATTTTCCCACAAAATAATCGATCCCTCATTTTGCGACTTCCTTACTCAAACACGTAGTAAACAAATATATAGTTCTGGCCGTATGAGATTAACCTTTGACAACGCTCGACTTGATTGACCTCTGCTGCTGGGTTTCTGTGAATATATTGGGACCAGCTGACATTGGTCAAATACGCGAGCATTCTCGCAGAGAAACGAAAGAGGTTTGAAAATCAACCTCACTGTCTCCCTTCGATTCTTATTTCGATCAAGGCTGGCTAGTAGCCGTCAACCACGCGATTGTTAAATGTTAAGTCGCCCTTTCTCCGAACTCAAAGCTTGCCTTGTTGGGAACAGGTGTCAAAAAGTGAGCTGACAGTTTCTCGCAAATTGAAAATTAAAATTGCGGTTGGAATGTAAAGTGGCTTGTTTGTCTAAGTGCCGTTTATTACCGCATTCCATAACCAGAAACCCAGTATCAAATAACGTAGAACGGTAGAAGTCGCCCGATGTTTCCACATTACATGGAGATTCGGGCATTTTCAGAAAATTTGTTCGGGTCAATAAGAGATTATCCTTACTACACCTCTAGCCAGAACAGTTTAGAACTGATAGAGCTAGTTTAGTTTAGGTTTCCTCCTGTAGTAACACTGGATCAATAAGAGATGATCCTTACTGGACCTCTAGGAAGAACAGTTTAGAACTGATAGAGCTATCCAGTATAAATAAAGTTAATTTAGTTTAGGTTTCCTCCTGTAGTAAAACTGGATCAATGAGAGATCATCCTTACTGGATTTCTTGGAAGAACAGTTTAGAATATATTCATGGCAGAGTGCAGCGTCGTTACCGCATGAGTGTTGCAAAGGTCATGGTTGTGAATGATCATCATCGCTAAATAATAGCTTGCCTTCGGCGAATTATATTGTTGAATATCGAACCAGAGAATGGGCGATAGCCTTGCACATAAGTGACAAACAGCCATGGTCCTTGGCCTCTAATAAAGACAATCTGTATTCGTCCTTAAGCACTATGCTAATTACCACGTGTTTTTTTTAACTGTTTTTCACTCGGTGATGGGCCTGATGGTGTGTATATGACTCGGAGTAAAAACAGTGACAGCAGGAAGGTGGTCAATATTGTACACAATGTTTTGGGGTTAATTTGTTATGTCTGACCTTTCTAATTAACTGAATTGATGCAAATGAATGTATTTTACTTCCTCAAAGCGTAGAGACTAAAGATTACAATCATTACAGTATTTGGGATCGCAATTTGCTGCTGCTAAATTTGACTTAACTTCCTTCACGCTGGATAGCTCTATCAGTTCTAAACTGTTCTTCACAGCGATCCAGTAAAAATCAGGTCTCATTGATCCAGTGTTTGAACGATTAAGCCTAATCTAAACTGATTGTGTATGTTTATTTAAGTGTAGCCTTATAGCTTTGATGTTGATCTAGTGTTACTAGCTCACTACAGGATGGAATTATCGTTTTAGATAAATTTGCCTGCTAAATTGGACTAATCTAAACTGACTTTATTATTTGAACTGTCCTTCTTAGAAATCTTGTTAGGATTGTCGCCCTATTGTGAGCTGTTTTCAATTGTTCTTTTCAAAGCCAGTAAGGATCATCTCTTATGGATCCAGTATTTAAATTTTAAACTAACTTTATTGGATAGCTCTATCAGTGCTAAACTATTCTTCCTAGAGGTCCAGTAAGGTTCGTTTCCTATTGATCCAGTGTTGCTACAGGAGGAAACCTAAACTAAACTAACTTTATTTATACTGCATAGCTCTATTAGTTCTAAACTGTTCTTCCTAGAGGTCCAGTAAGGGTCATCTCTTATTGATCCAGTGTTACTACAGAGGGAAACCTAAACTAAACTAACTTTATTTATACTGGATAGCTCTATCAGTTCTAAACTGTTCTTCCTAGAGGTCCTGTAAGGATAATCTCGTGTTAATCCATTATGACACTTGACGTATTTTGTTTATGTTATACTGGATGGCTTTGTGAATTTTAAACTGATCTCCCTATATAGTCAGGCTTAAATTCTGCAGTTAGTATATATCAGAAAAAACTTCCCCTATATAAGGATGTGTGGTAAGGAATTAATTTGAAGGCGCTATGGTATGGTATGGTATACAAGTATGTTTATACTCACATCTTTAACTTCTCAGTTGCAAAGTCTTTGAGGCGGTCTTTCTCGTAGTTGATGTTCAAGTGTTCCCTAGCAGTGTCACATAACACAGCGATGGTGCCGGCAAACTGTCTGTTTTCAAATTCATTGTTTTTAATTACCGGAAACCCAGGAAATGTTTGGCATTTCAGAGGTTATAAATAGGTTTGCAGTTGGAAAATCGACTTTGTGAATACTCCACCAGAAATATTATATCGTGCATATGGAGAAAAATGCATAATTGTCTGTACTTGGTCGGGTAAACAAACCTCGGATAGAAAAAACGCCAGGCTTCTGTTATGACTGACAAAGATATCTTACACTATCAGCCATTTCCTATGTACGTCGGAAAATTGAGATGAAAAGACATTATATTTGATGCAAGGGTTATGATTAAGGTGTGGAAAAAATTATGCTTTATAGGATTAATTTTTTTTCTGATAAGCTCTGAATACGCCGAGGTCATGATTCTATATCCATATAATATCTACTGATATACATCTTGCGCTAGTTTGCAAGTTACGTGGATGTGTAAACAAGTCATTTCACGTCGTTTGGGACTTGGAGAGCATTCGAAGTTGACATGGAAGACTTTTTGTGAGGAAATTCGAGTTAATTTCTCATTTTCGTATTTCCTTTGCGGGAATATGTTGATAACGTGGGTGACACATGAAACAGCTTCTAAGAAATTCCTTTGCCCTTTGTTCCTTGTGTGAGGATTTTCAGAAAACCCTTATAATTATGTACTCAAATGTCCAAAAAAGTTCAACTATTTAAACATATCCTCAACAGTGGGATGTCAGGTCACCAAATGCCATTCTTCCAGATTGTTCCTGTTTATTATACACTTTTATTCGCATCGCGTGGAGATTTTACTTCCCTCATTTATCAACAAACACAACAAACAGCTGCTGGTATCGAACCCAAGCGTTCAACTAAAAGAGCCTAAACTAAACCATATTTGTAAGGAAAATATGTAAAAAAACATCACGAATTTACGATTGATCAATATTTAATCGCGTGTGCTTGCATTGCATGGAACATTGCTTCGAAACTAAGCCCACGCATCACGTTCCGTCTATCAGACTATCACTGGGTCACGTTCGCCAGCTCCTAAGCTTAATTATGTATCCTGTTACCTCTAAGATAAACGCTAAACATAACATGTTTTCACTGAGTATACTTGTGGGTATTCATGTGAACTTTGCTTACAAGGTTTATTGTGCATTATTTACAATCTCTGTTTGTTTAAAGAGAAGCGATGTCACAAAATATCGCGGCCAGTGTCTTCCTGTTTATTATTATATGAGCTGTCAATCGTAAGACCTATATATAAGTGGTTTGGTTTACGCCGAATGACACGAATGTGGTTCAGTTTAACACAATAATCTTTCTAGAAATTCGATAAAAGCCAGTCGTATTTCCTCAATGCTTTGAAGCTCCGGCTACACGGGCGATTTTTGACGTCGGTTTTCTTCTCCTGGTGTATGCTATTAAGTAAATTTAACAGAGTAGGTTACTTTACTTCGTCCAGCTTATACAACTGCGTATATAATTCGCACAATAACATACGCTAGAAAGATAAAATCGCCGATGAAAATAGCCCGTGTAGCCGCGGTTCGATGCATGGCACCTGCAACAGCGATGTAGCTCAGTATTTGGTATAAGGTCAAAAGTTAAAGTTGAGACTTTCAGACTTCAGAGCCTAATAATGATGGCTCGCGTGGTCGGTGTGGATTATTGAATTGTAGGCTGTTTATTGTCATCGATGAAAAAAAGTGCGCGCATTTAAGCTAAAGATTGATCGATAAAGACGATCGACGTCTGAAAATTAGGAACTTTTTGTGAACATTTATGCAATAATATTATTTGGATCAACTGCTCAACTTTACTTCAAAGGAGCAACCTTTTTATAGATCAAGTGTTAAGTTTTTCATAATCTTATACGTTTCTCAATCGCTATATGACATTCTAACACACTGTTCACTTCAGACCTTCAAGATTAACAATCGACTTCCCTTTTTCATGCACTTTCCATAATATGCGACGAACGGCACCTAGTTTATCTTAGAATATGTCAGTCAATCATTCCTTATATATAGTTCATACAAGGTTACCACAATAGATGTTTGGAATTCGCTTTGATTCCAATGTTTCTACGGAGCGCACTGGTATATTAGAACTATATTCGCTATAATTAATGATTTTGTGGAACGTGTTTTGAAAAACCTCAAATTCTATATATGTCGATTTTATTGCATTGCGTCTATCGCCTGAGTCGGAAACTCGTTTATCTAACTGTGGTTTATCAGAGCGGAATTTCGTGGATAAATATGTCGTTTGTCCAAGTCAGATTATCCCAGCTTTTATCGTACAGCTCGGGTTTCCTGGGTGTGAAAGGACTTGCCGCGATTAGCATTTCCTGCGCTTCGATAATTTACGCAAATCATTTTTTTTATATAAGAACACTTGTTAATATCACCTCAATGTTAACAGCATCGAACCCATGGCGCGGGTATGCCATCGAAATAGAGAGTAAATTTTCTGCTGGGGAGAATATGTTTTCAAACAGCGAGCAACAGTTTACGATATGCAGTCTTGATATGCAGTATTTATTAAAACGACAAAAAATAGCAGTTTCTACATATTATATTTATGATTGATACATAAAGAATTATCGCTGTACATTACATTCAGACTACAGCAATTTAACCCATTTATAAACTTTCAAGTACTATTCAGAAGTCGTAACAGTATCTCACAACAACCAGGTTCATTTAAAATAATGAATACTTAGTAAGGATTTGTCTCCCCGATAGACTTTCCATGAAATATTAGATTTCTAAAAAACTGGTTTCTACTTAGAACCACCAAAAACGGGACAGGTTTTGGGTTTTTTCTTTCAAGAGTTTGAAAAGAAGAGCCCAAAGGCTAAGGCATCTTTAAAGGTTTAAATCTACGTTTGAAAGATTTTTTTCAAATTTCTTTCCCATTGAGATTAAAAACTAACTGGGAATCCATTTCATTAAATGTGGTGCATAGTAGAAGGCAGTGGTGTGGCCTCTATCCTTAATGAAAAGTCCATTGTAGTATATGTACTATAAATTTTATGCTACCGACGAAAAGCTTTAGTTGAACAGTCACAAATGTACTGATCTATCTACAAAAGTCTCTGAAAGCCATTCACCAACTTTATTTCTTTACAGAACCGCCTGAAAGGAATGAAAAATCGGTGAAAGCATGAAAGATGATTTTAAGTCATGGGAGATTTCAAAGGTATTTAATATCCATATTCAGTTAAACTTTACCTTGCCAAACTCGTGTTCAAAACCCGATCTTTAGGGCCTGTTTACATTGAACGAGTTATTCCGGCTAGGCGAGGTAAAAAGCTTAACCTGATTATAGTCTTTCATTATGTGCAGTTTTCACCTCGCCTTGCCGGGATAACTCGCTCCATGTAAACAGGTCCTTAATTTGCTACCGCGGTTTGTAGGCAGCGTTGCCGCACAATCGATCAGTGTTCAATGAACGAATAAGTTATTAGTGATGCGTTTCGCTTGTCAGTTTGCACTCTAGATACACTATCTAAGTCAGATCCACTGTCATAATACTTACCATTACATCGGTAGAAGATATTGGACCAGCTGACTTTCTCTTGTGAGAATGACATCACTCCCAACCTTCCTCCAGAGTATGTTCTATCATGAAGTACTCCGGTATCGACAACTTTCTTTGTACCATCAAATATCTTAAATCTATAAACAAGCTTTTATTCAATATCATTGACTGGCTAAACCGTAACAAGCTTCTTGAACTAAAGCTTCTTGAACTAAACATATTAACAAGTTTCTTGAACTAAACATATTTAACAAGCTAGGTTATCTTCAATAAATATCTCTCTTTTTCCAAATTTTGGGGGGTGTCATTTGCCCTAAGCTCTCCCCAGCGCCGGCCTGGGACAGAGAGAGTCCGCCCTGTCTTTGAACCCACCTTATATATCCGGTTTTGGGACGATGTCTTAACTCCCAGCGGTAAGATACTTTTTCTCTCCATCCAGTCTCGTCAGGATCATGCCATAAAGTTCTTACCTAAAACATCATGTAGTTTGTTAGGGATATGTTGGGCTTCTTAGGGATAGGTGACGATACTTGAGGATGAATATGGGCTTTTGGGGATCTTGGGTTTCTTTGGGATACGTGATAGTACTTGAGGATGCATATGGGCTTTTAGGGGTACTTATAGCTAGTTAGGGATGCAGATACATTCCGGCTGTTGGTGAGACGTTGGGTTGAGAGGGAAACGAGCGGGTCGTTAGGGATAGATGGATGTGCACTGCAGGTACCTTGTTGGGGATAAATGTGAGTTGGTTTGGAAAAATAGATAGAAAGAGAATACTGTGATCCATTGTTACCTGACGCCTTGTGCTGTCAGTATTCCATAATGCATTACGCAACATTGGCCCAGGACCAGTGGCTGAATCGACAACCTTCAAACAGATGGTGTAGTAAAATTAGTCTCAGATTTCAGTTCAAAACGAACTGGTATTTTGTTCCGAGAGGACGGGCCAACACCTTCATGAAAAAACCTTTTTCTCATGTGAAATAATATTAGGGTTTAAAAAACTCGAAGTCTTTTTACTCAAGGTTTTTACCTTGATAGACAATCCTTGTTTGCCTAGTGCTTCAAATGGTTCTTTATCCCAGTAAACTTGACCAACTTTCTTCCACATCACGGTGTAGAACCGACTGCTACTCTGATATGCAAAAACCAGACCAAAGTAATCATTATCTTCAGGTGTGTCCACGAAGATTGTACCATAATAGTCGACACCAGCAAATGATTGTTTCCCTGAATGAAAGAAAATTATGATTTTTGGCACTTCACTCGATGTAGGTAAACTCTAGAGGTTGAAAGGGTCTTAATTTTGAGTGGAATTATAAAGTGTGTATAATTCCACTCGAAATTAAGACCCCTTCAACCTCTTGAATGAAAGAACAGGTTCACATTAGTTTCGTGCTGACTTTCATGATGGTCTTGAGGGAAAATGTCATTCCTTCTGTGTGCAATATCTTCTCGAGGTACATTTGATCAATAAGATGTGATACATGGTAGGAATGATGACGGAAATCTTATTATTAATCTTAATATTTTTTCATCTATACCAAATGCATTTTCATCTATAACAATATGTTCTACCAACCTATGGCCATGCCAGGATCGCTATTTTCAACTTGGAGAATTTCTCTGCCCTGAAAACGATGTCGAAAGTCAATGTCTCCAGCTCAGATTTTTGCTTAAGAAATATAGTCAAACAGAAGGGGTTTGGATGACCAAACAAATGCACCATGCTTATCACTCTACTATAAAAACATTGTTTAACGCGTCTCCATGCCTCTTCAAGCTCTCAGATCTAGACAACAGCAAAACTCTGTCGAACGCGATACAGAGTACAGACATAAAAATTCACCTCATCCAAGACCTTCCACACAGGGTCCACCTGTTCTTCTTCTTTCGGATCAAGATTGATGGTTTGATAGTCGTAAAACGTCACGGAGGAATAATCCCTATTCTCTGGACAGCTATCTTCACTATTTATTATCGAATCGCCGTCGAAATCATCTTTACACGCTATTCCGTATTTTGGCGCTAAAAGAGTTAAAGGAAAATAATCCTAATCTAATCTCAAGAAAGCCTGTGAACTACAACGGATTAAATGACACAGTCCTAACGCTAATAACCTGTGTTCAGTAAATCCTAAATTCGTGCATTTGGGATTTACTGAACACAGGATTATTAGGATTAGTACTGTGTCACTTAATTCATTCTAGTTTACAAGCTTACCCGTGGGATCAACTTCCTGATCCGGATTTGCAGTTAATCTGCAGTTGTCTTCCTCATCCAATACACCATCGTTGTCATCATCGGGGTCGCATTCGTCTCCTGGTAAAACAAACTCGACGTTGAGAACTTAATGGATAATACGGGTACTACTTGTTCCGACAGTGAGAACTTGATGAATAATACGGGTACTACATGTTCCTTTTGCTTTTTCTTACCTACACCATCCTCATCTGTATCAAGCTGTCCTGGATTCAGCACGCTCACACAATTATCATATTCATCATTCACGCCATCTTGGTCTCTGGAAAATCAATTTTGAATTTTTGTGATCTCCTGACGGATATCATGAAATAGGTCTAACCTGACATTCTTTAATACTGGATACTTCTATCAGTTCTAAACTCCTAGAGATCCAGTAAAGATCATCTCTTATTGATCCAGTGTTACTACAGGAGAAAACCTAAACTAAACTAACTTTATTTATACTGGATAACTCTATCAGTTCTAAACTGTTCTTCCAGTAAGGATCATCTCTTATTGATCCAGTGTTACTACAGGAGGAAACCTAAACTAAACTAACTTTATTTATACTGGATAGCTCTATCAGTTCTAAACTGTTCTTCTGGAGGAAACCTAAACCAAACATACCTGTCTATATTTGAGTCACAAATATCACCAACAAGATCTTGGTCAACATCCTCCTAAATTAATATTAAGTTTAAGAAATTATAAGCAGAAATTAACAAAGTTGTAAAACCACAGTAGACAGTTTTTCCCACCTGGTCGGGATTGCTGCGTGAAGGACAGTTATCACATGCGTCTCCGACTCCATCTCCGTCCGAGTCTCTCTGGTCAGCGTTTTTCTTGTATGGACAATTATCACCTTCAATTGAACCTAAAAAATAGAAATACTGCGGTCATTGCGAATACCAACTCTATACTGGATAGCTCTATCAGTTCTAAAATGTTCTTTCTAGAAGTCCAGTGAGGATAAATCTCTTTTTGATCAAGTGTTACTACAGGAGGAAACCTAAACTAAACTAACTTTATTTATACTGGATAGCTCTATCAGTTCTAAACTGTTCTTCCTAGAAGTCCAGTAAGGATTATCTCTTTTTGATCCAGTGTTACTACTGGAGGAAACCTAAACAAACTAACTTTATTTATACTGGACAACTCTATCAGTTCTAAACTGTTCTTCCTAGAGGTCCAGTAGAGAACATCACTTATTGATCCAGTGTTACTACAGGAGGAAACCTAAATTAAACTAACTTTATTTATACTGGATAGCTCTATCAGTTCTAAACTGTTCTTCCTAGAGATCCAGTAAGGATCATCTCTTATTGATCTACAGGAGGAAAGCTAAACTAAACTAACTTTATTTATACTGGATAGCTCTATCAGTTCTAAACTGTTCTTCCTAGAGGTCCAGTAAGGATCATCTCTTATTGATCCAGTGTTACTACAGGAGGAAACCTAAACTAAACTAACTTTATTTATACTGGATAGTTCTATCAGTTCTAAACTGTTCTTCCTAGAGATCCAGTAAGGATCATCTCTTATTGAGTGTTACTACAGGAGGAAACCTAAACTAAACTAATCTGTATTTGTTGTGAAGACGGGACTGTGTGATGATAGTGAAAACACAATATTCTCCAGTCTTACCATCACCGTCAACATCGCTAGTGCAAGCATCCCCAGAGCCATCGTTATCCGTGTCTTTCTGATCTCGATTACGAGTCCTCACGCAGTTATCGCAAGCGTCGCCGATCCTATCACCGTCTGAATCCTGTTGACTCGGGTTGTAATGCAAGGGACAATTATCCTACCAGAGAACAACGGGGTTAAAGTTTCACCATGACCGACTCCTTACCGCTTCTATGCTATGAGTTTGGAGCTACGAGAGTTGTTGCGTGCTGAGAGGGTTGTTACGTGCTAGGAGGATGGTTGCGTGCTCAGAGGTGTTACGTGCTGAGAGGGTTGTTGCGTGCTGAGAGGGTTGTTGCGTGCTGAGAGGGTTGTTGCGTGTTCAGAAGGTTGTTGCGTGCTGAGAGGGTTGTTGCGTGCTGAGAGAGTTGTTGCGTGCTGAGAGAGTTGTTGCGTGCTGAGAGGGTTGTTGCGTGCTGAGAGGGTTGTTGCGTGTTCAGAAGGTTGTTGCGTGCTGAGAGGGTTGTTGCGTGCTGAGAGGGTTGTTGCGTGCTAGGAGGATAGTTGCGTGCTCAGAGGTGGTGTTACGTGCTGAGAGGATTGTTACGTGCTGAGAGGGTTGTTGCGTGTTCAGAAGGTTGTTGCATGCTGAGAGAGGTGTTGCGTGCTGAGGATACTTCGAACTCATATTGTTTCCCGGGGGCTTGGAAAATTATTCAACACTACAGTATAATTACTTTGTCGTTCAATATTCCATCATTGTCCATATCTTCATCACACGTGTTGCCAAATTCGTCATTATCTGCATTTTCTTGACCACTGTTTGGCTTATTGATGCAGTTATCCTAAGTATATCATTCGCTAGATTAACTTAAAATGCTTCCTAGTGTCTTAGTCAGTTTTTGATTGTTCTTCCTAGAGGTCCAGTAAGGATCATCTCTTATTGATCCAGTGTTACTACAGGAGGAAACCTAAACTAAACTAACTCTATTTATACTGGATAGCTCTATCAGTTCTAAACTGTTCTTCCTAGAGGTCCAGTAAGGATCATCTCTTATTGATCCAGTGTTACTACAGGAGGAAACCTAAACTAAACTAACTTTATTTATACTGGATAGCTCCATCAGTTCTAAACTGTTCTTCCTAGAGGTCTAGTAAGGATCATCTCTTATTGATCTAGTGTTACTACAGGAGGAAACCTAAACTAAACTAACTTTATTTATACTGGATAGCTCTATCAGTTCTAAACTGTTCGTTCTGGAGAAATAGCTATGTACCTTTAAGGATCTAGTGCTAGGCATCACATAATTTGAGTAAAAAGCAAGTTAAACTAATTCGTTTCGTCCTGCTGAAGTTTACCTTTCTGCAATGTCTTTCTTTGCAATTCGGAAGATCCTCATCTGGGAAGCCGTCAAGATCTGAATCCTTTCCACAAACGTAGCCATTTCCAGCAAAACCCAGATTACACTAGAAAAAATATTCAATTGAAAACTTTATTTTGAAGTGGTAAGCGATGAAAGAAAGCGGATCAACCACTGCCTCGCTCACAAATACAATGAAAAGAGGCATGGAAACTACCCACCTGGCACGCATTGTCGGAGGAAAAGAGCTTAGGGGTACAGGTAGCCCAAATATGACAAGGACTAAGACCAGGTGGACACGGTTCTTTGGCTACTAATGACTTCAATACTACTTTTGGGTTTGTTCTCTCGGGTGTCGTTTGCTTGGAGATGGGTCCCCTGCCTTTAGGTGGGGGCCGGACCTTGAATTGCGGCGGGGGGCGCCGGTCCACGAGTGATGGGGGGCGGACTACCAATGATGGGACCTCGAGTGATGGGGTTCTTTTGCACACACCACATGTGTTAAGCATGGACTGCATCTGTTGTGTAATCTTTGCAATAAAGAAAAGATGAAAATAGTTGAAAACATTGTGAAAAATTACATACATCATATCTTCGTCATGTATCAAATATATACACACTACTGTAGGGAACTACTTGTTTCAAACAACTCATTGAATCACCGAATTTCGTCTCCAATTTTCGTCTCCAATTTTAACCCGAATTCTAATCGAAAACCTTGTTCCCAAACTTTAGGCTTACATTGCGATAAACCACAGTCGAAGACACGGTTTAAATTTTTGCAGAGAAACACGAAAGTTAAATTCTGAACTTGCAGTTAATATATTGACATATATTCCGTGTCTTTGATATAGAAAACGACCAAGGGAGTAGAACTTTGCGTGGCAGAGATTTCCCTACATTTCTTTGGAGAACGTAAGCCACCACTTATCACAACACACCTGGCTTACAATCCGTTTTTCCATCCGCAGTAGATCTTCTCTCGTAGCGCCTACAAAAGAGTAATTGTAAATTATATGACGAAACCGGTGGAATGGTCGGAATTATCGAGCATGTTGTTAGGAAACGTCTTACCAATGCTTGTAAGGCCAACATCTAAAAAGCTTTGTGACTGTACCTGGCTCGCACTTCCTCACAACATCTTCAACATCTGTATCTGTGTAGAGTTTCAGTCTTCGTAAACATAACTAGATGAGAGTATTTCAGTCTGGTTTTGTAATATAAATTGTGACGATCAGTACATTCTATTCTAAAAACTGTATTCTATATATCTACCCTCTATTCCGTGAATACAACTCTTATCCATCCTATTCTGTACTATTCCACTCCATTCTATCTTATTCTGTACCGTTCTGTTTTGCTCCACTTCTGATACTCTAGGCCAGTTGTTCAAAGCTGCATGGGTTAGCGCTAACTTTGGGTTAATCCTCTGTTTTGGTTTAAGTGCTTCTTAAAACCTTTACAAAGTATGGCTTTGACGGTTCAGAAAATAGTTATGGAAAAAGATATTCAACTTTGCAAATAAGCGATTATATATATTGATGTAAAGATTTGCTTTAACCCAGGGTTAAGCTAACCTTTTGAACAACCTGCAACTAGAGCCCCAGTTCTTTAGATTGTCTACCAATATGCTCTAAACCATTCTATCTACTCTATACCCCACCTTCTCATTGTATAATCCCAATTATCCCATCCTACCGCGTTCTATTCCTCATTCTATTCTTTGAACAAATTCCAGGCCAGGTTTCGAAACAAATTTTGAACCCAGACAAAATTTACGGCTATTCAGAAAACCATAAGCAACTAACCTTGGGGGGAACTCTACCTCGACGTGACCTATACATTTCCCCGATACTTAACATAAGGTTATTTCTATTCGTTCTTAAAATAGAATGTCTGAAATTTCTGTTTAATCTTTGTTCCTGTATTCTCTCCTCGTTCACGAAAAACTGCACGCTTGGTCGGCTCTTGGAGAGCCCCCGAAATTTGAGAGTAATTTTAACCCACAATCCTATTGGAAGTTCTACAGGTCTGAAGAATATCATCGACATTTGTCCGGTGATGCCTCTGTATGTAATTCCAAACCCTTTACGCAAAGGTTGTAGCCAGAAAACAAAAATTTTTCCCCTCATCGTAGAACCACTTTGTACTGAGAATATCTGGAATTGCGATTTATCTGGAGAAAATAATTTGTTGCAATGTTAGTTAGTTGCGTCGTCTGATTATAATATGTAAGATTAATAGAACTGTTTGAGCTATCCGGAATAAATAAATAAATAAAGTTGGTTTAGTTTAGGTTTCCTCCTGTACTATCACTAGATCAATAAGAGATGATCCTTACTGGACCTCTAGGAAGAACATTTAGAGCTGATAGAGCTATCCAGTATAAATAAAGTTAGTTTAGTTTAGGTTTCCTCCTGTAGTAACACTGGGTCAATAAGAGATGATCCTTACTGGACCTGTAGGAAGAACAGTTTAGAACTGATAAAGCTATCCAGTATAAATAAAGTTAGTTTAGTTTAGGTTTCCTCCTGTACTAACACTGGATCAATAAGAGATGATCCTTACTGGACCTCTAGGAAGAAGAGTTCAGAACTGATAGAACTATCCAGCATAAATAAAGTTAGTTTTGTTTAGGTTTCCTCCTGTAGTAACATTGGATCAATAAGAGATGATCCTTACTGGACCTGTAGGAAGAACAGTTTAGAACTGATAGAGCTATCTAGTATAAATAAAGTTAGTTTAGTTTAGGTTTCCTCCTGTACTAACACTGGATCAATAAGAGATGATCCTTACTGGACCTCTTGGAAGAAGAGTTCAGAACTGATAGAACTATCCAGTATAAATAAAGTTAGTTTAGTTTAGGTTTCCTCCTGTAGTAACATTGGATCAATAAGAGATGATCCTTACTGGACCTGTAGGAAGAACAGTTTAGAACTGATAGAGCTATCCAGTATAAATAAAGTTAGTTTAGTTTAGGTTTCCTCCTGTAGTAACACTGGATCAATAAGAGATTATCCTTACTGGACCTCCAGTTTGTTTTGAACTGATATAGCAATTAGCAATCCAGTGTAAACATGCTAAAATCATGTATTTACTTACTTTTGACTTCTCTCAATTTTATTTCTACGGTAAAAATAAGTCCTCCATGATCCATTTCTTTTAAAAAGTGATTTTTCACATGCTCTGTGGCCAGCAGCCTTGACACGTTTTCTCTTTTTTGAGTACAGAACATGATCTCCCCATCGGCTTTTCTAATACCTTTCTCTAGGTCCTGGGTCTGATCTTTTAGAAAGTCGATTTCTATTTAAGAATAGGATTTTACACGTTTATAATTGTGTAGGTTGATCTTTAGGAAATGATTACAACAACTATCAAAGATATTGAATCCTTAGTAAGTGCAGTTCATAACCACGGAATCATGTTGACCATTTGACTCAAGTCATATTGTCTTTCAAAAATCGACAGCAGTTTGGCTGAGAATGTTACAGTTGCTGTCAGTAAGGAAATGTCACGTTAAAAACAGCTTTCTCTAATGGATTTGAATAATGAAAAAAATACTTTTGATTGATTTTTTTTTATATCATCACAATATCAATAACTCCTTCAACCAGACGGGGCTTATTGGATTGAATGTATAATTGATATAGAATTTAGAAAGTTATTAGTGGAATGTGTTCTCCTTGGATGAAAACGCATTTAACCTCTTGTGCAATGAACAGCCGCGGTAAAAGATAGACACTCTAGGAAATTGGATCAAATCTAATATGTCGACAACAACGTGCACGCGCTTAGAATTCCGAAAAATATAGCAACTATGCATTGCCGATGGCATATTTATTGGTACTTAATTTAATTTAGAAAAGTATAAGCGAGTAAGTGTTAACATTATCTGTTAATTGGGATCTATAGTGGTAGTTAAAACTCGCAGGCATACTATGAAAGCTGTTGTCTGTTAGTTGTACCACGCGAAGCGCACAACTTTACGGCTGCTACATCCAGGAATTACTGTATCCAGAAGCTATATTTACATTGAATAACGGCAAAACTTCAATACAAATATATATTTATGTTGCACACGCTCCTCGAGGAAATCAGCTAAAATTGACGAGGATAACGCGTGATTTGAAATGAGTTCATCATAATTATCACCATGGCATGATGGTTATCATCGTCGTGATTTTTCAAAACGTTTTCACCTTTCTTATCGGTTTTACGCCTCATCCGCCCGGTACAGTGAATTAGTTTTCAACGTCCGCCGTCATTTGATGGTGGTGCTTGCACAATACAACTTTGCAAATCAGAGATACAAACAAAACCTTATACCGTGAGTTCATAATTTAAATATACGTTATCTCAACTGTCATTAATAGGATTATTGTCATTTTGCAGAAGAAGATGGAGACTTAGAATCATGAGTTCGCCAGAAATGGATATGCGGAGGTTTTTTTATCTATGTTTACTGGAGTTGCAAGTTTGTAGCGAGGTAGGTACTCAAATACCTTTAGACACTGACTTCTACAGCGGAAACATCTGAGAAGAGCATTCCTGCATAGCATTTCCCCCCCCCCAATTTAATAGTTTAAGATAGGCATTTTAAGTGGCGTGTTAGTTGGCTTTTACCTCCAGATGTACACTGGATTAAGTCAATGTAGGTTTTTTTAACTCGCTGTGGATGGAGCAGTTTTTTCTTCATGATTTTAATCCTTCTAAGCGCCTTGATTCATTATAGATTATCGTCTGTAATCACGATGAGGTTGTGGTATGTTATGATTTTATGAACGGAGTGTTTTTCGTCCGTGTAAAGGCTGGAGCAAAACGTTAGAGTTCAGGTATACGCGTGATGCTTATTGTGTTTACGAATTACAAATAGGAATGTTCCTCCGACCAAATATTAACAGGGAAATAAGATTTAATTCCGGAAGTTTTATTGTCTATCTGAATTTAGTCAGTCACCTTGAGTGAGCTTAACATAGTAACATATGATACATATATATTATTATAGATTTACATCGTACGTCCATACCGCTGAAACATAAGTTCTTCACTATTTCTGGGAGGCTGCCCCCTCCCTCCCCTTCGCCCCATTAAGTTTCTCAAGGGCTCCACGCAGAAGCCCCTGCATGTGGCTCCCCTCACTAGAGCGCCTATGATTTCAAGTATTTAACTGTAATCTATTGGATATGGATTAGTGGCTTTCGGTTGAAATATCAAAAACTCAACTCAACATGATACTCAGTTTTAAAATATTTTCAAAGAAAGACAACCTGGGGCCAGTTGTATCAAGCCCGTTTAGCTTAAACGGTGGATAAGTCCAAAATAGAAAGCAAGTCTATCGTTTTATTCAACAAGCGAACTAAATGTTTTTGACTATAATACAAAGATACTGTTTACAACTACATATTCAGTGCATAATATTCAAGTTGACTCATTTAAGAGAGATGTAAGAGTGTTATTTAAGTTTGACTTATCCGATGTTTAAGCTAAACGGGCTTGATACAACCGGCCCCATGCAGACATCTTGAGGAACAAGGGTTACATAACAACCCTGAACCTTGTGAATGCGTGGCATGCACGTGTTTGTATATAAAAAATATCCAGGTCGGCATCTTTCCAAATTCAAAATTTTTTTTAAAAATTCTCTTTATTTCCAACGCCCAATTTAAGTTCTGATTAAAAGATATTGAAGTGAAGAGGATAGATTGTTATAAATGGTAGAGCTATACTAACATTTTATATTTATCATATATCATATATAAGATCAAAATAGGAAGTAAATCTACCGTTCTATTCAACATGCAAACTAAAGGCTTTTAACCTTAATACAACGACACTGTTTACAATTACAAATTCAGAGCATAATATTCAAGTTAGCTCATTCAAGAGAGACGAGTGTTATTTAATTTTGATTTATCCACCGTTTAAGCTAAACGGGCTTGATACAACCGGCCCTTGACCTAAACTTTTCCCTTCGTACAAGTAACATAACATCACAAACGATTGAAGTGGACTTGAAGCAACTTTTACACAGCAATGTGTAGGACTGAATGTGCTGAAGTAACCACTTGCTTATCTGCGCAAGCATGACCGGGGATATACGTCATGTATCATATAGATATAGTGGCGTGGGGTAACTGCCCAAACGTGTTTAGGTTAAGTTCAGTATCCCAAGGATGCTGTGACGATCATTAATCTATATATATGATCATTGCAGGGAAATTCCATCCCCTTTTTGTAAATGGCACAGATTCAAAAATGTGTGTAAAGTGGGAAGTGCGTGTAAAGCCATCATGTTTCAGTTTGTGATAATTAAACCCCTTTAATATATAATTTTTATTTACAAGAGCTCTCTCGACCTCGACAGACAAGGCTTGTGCGTGCGACCACTTGCGATAAAGTCATCACTCACATGAAGTGGAGCAATTAGCTGAAAACTCGTCCAAATTTGGTAATTTATCATAACACTGATGGATTTCTACATGATCGTGTTGAATTTCCAACAGTTGTCCACGCGATGTAGCAATTGTTTGAAAGCACGTCAGACCCCTGCCATTGCATGTGAATGCACTGCCACTGGACTGCTATGCCGCAAAACCACAGAGATTCAAACGACAAAGGTGAAATGAAAATGCGTCTTCAATTTGCAAAACTAGTCTGGACTGATCAGACACGGTGATCGAGGAAAGATATGTATAAGTCTGGACCTTCCGCGGTCTAAATTCGTGCTGGGAGTTCATAGATACGCTGGTGAGCGCCGTGAGACAGTACTGTATTTCAGAATCATAACTCATTAAGGATATCAAATTCATATTAATCTAGCGCAGCAGAGAACAACTTTGTTGCCGAAGCGAGATTTAAAATAAGTTCTGGACGTTTCTAGATCGCTGCGCGACCACCAACCATAAGCTGCGATCGAAACAGCTTCGTTTGTTAACAAGTATTATAAATTTAAGTACAAGAGATATTCCTGTGACGAAGTTACTGGATTTAATCCGGAATAACATTAAGCAGTGATAATTGTAGAATCGGCTGAATCGCATCGTCACAATGGGCAATTCAGTGTTTTACAGGTTTTTTTAGTAATCGTTTGGGCGTAACTCGTCTTTTGACGATAACTGTCTTGTGAAAGGTTGCGTATAAGAATACGCAATACATGGAAGCAAGACGAGAAAAATAGGCCATACGCTTCTAGTTGGTTGTAAAACATACAACACATATCACTTACCAATTGCCATTGAGAGTAGAACAGGACCGCAAAGGAAAAGAACGCATAATTGTGTTCCCAAACGCATTTTGGTACGTTATGATAACTCGAAGAAGATCTCGTAATGCTCCAAGCTGCAAAGACAGCTCTTCTCCGACTGAGCAACCCAGTATGTTTGAGGCTGGTGACTGCTAAGTTCATCTTTAAATACTCAAGTAACTCAACCTTTCTGTGGAATGCAGAATCCTCTAGACTTCCAATTATTCTTTCATCTGATAATCACAATGTGATAACCCGATCATCTTAACGAGCATTGACATATGCCTCTGCTAACCACACTTGTCGTGTGTGCTCTTTGTAATAGGATATGCGTTGAGCTTGTGGATGCTGCCACATCTGCGTAAATGCAATATGCGTGTAGAAGTAGATGCTTGAGAGGTCTGGTGTTATTCATGAAATCTTTCAACAGTCTATGATTTACTCTTCTAGTTAGGAATAAGGTTGGAATATTTTGATTGTGGAAAGAGGTAGTTGTCTCTCTCATTTGACTGAGTTAAGCATGGTTAGATCATGCAGAGATGGTACATGTTCTTGAGTGAGAGCTACCTTAAAGTGATCTGATGTTGTACAGAACTCATGTGAGTAGAGTTAAGTCTCTCCTGTGTTCTCTCTCAGTTGACTGAGTTAAGCATGGTTAGATCATGCAGAGGTGGTACATGTTCTTGAATGAGAGCTATTTTAAAATGATCTGATGTTGTACAGAACCCATGTGAGAAGAGTTAAGTCTCTCTTGTGCTCTCTCTCAGTTGACTGAGTTAAGCATGGTTATATCATGCAGAGGTTGCACATGTTCTTGAATAAGAGCGTGATGAGAGCTACCTTAAAGTGGTCTGATGTTGTACAGAACCCATGTGAGTAGAGTTAAGTCGCTCCTGTGTTCTCTCTCAGTTGACTGAGTTAAACAAGGTTAGATCATGCAAAATAATCTTAAAGTGAGTTGACATGTCTCCTGCGTCGATTCCCCTTCAGCTTAAGCATGTTTAGATTATGGAGAGGACGTTCATGTCGTTACGTTCATTGCGTCTTATCATAAGATCGAGTAAAGTTAGTTATCTCTTGCCCTCTCGCTTCCTCCATTCTGGACTGATCATGCAAATTAGTATTTGTACAAAGCAGCGTGAATTCGTGCTTTGAGACAGGAAATGCCCACGATATCACAAATCAATGGTATCACGTTTTGGTGGGCGATTATACATCCCTCAATTAGTATCATGTCTGTCGTTAACTTTCGTTATCTGTCGGACAGAGAACGGTTACCGCTTTCATGCACTTCGATTTTCCAAGTCATATTTTAATTGTTTCCCATTCTTTCGGAGGGAAATTGAAGAAAATTCGCGCGTGCAGAAGAAAATTAGAGATAATTTGAAGAGCGTGGATTGAAATGCAGTCTAAAAGGCAATCGAAGTCCTTAAAGATTACTCTTATCTTCACATTATTAAATATATTCTTATCTTCACAAGTTCGCAAAGAGAGTGCTTCAAAGCCGCAACAATGCTCACAACGTGTTAAATACTTATTACCTACTCTGTCAATAAACAGCTTGTTATTATTCGTATTTTCTCGATCATTACAAAGCAACGTACGAATGATACGATCATCTCGACATTTCCGGCAAAGTACGTTACTGCGGGGTAAAATCAACCTTGATGATCCGATCGAGAGGTAAATTATCACCATGACCTTGAAAAGTGTTAAAAATCGTGAAATGATCACGCAAGAAGGGATGCTAATTGTAAATGGATGCATTGATCCATTGAACGTTAGGACAACTATGTTAGTATTCAGCAACAGACTACTCCCAATATTGAGGAATAACCAGATTATCATTGTCGCTTTAATGGGATTAAACGTGCCGAAACACAGGCGCTGAAATTGCAAAAACATCAAAACAACACTAGCTTTTGAGCGGTACTCCCTGACCTTAGGTCTATCAGGAGAAATCCTGCTTCAGATTAGAGCATTTGATGAAAGACTGTTGTAGATTTATACAGTCAATTTATGGTGGAAACTCAGTCAGACGGCATTGATTAATCCAACGGGTTGATACCCTAAGAGGATTGTTCATAATGCAAATAATCCGTTGTCTTCATCGTTCACAGGTTTTCGTAAATTTTCGTAAACAAGAACAAAAGAATTAAACAAAAACTTCAGCCGAATTTCCAGATCAAGTCTTTATAAAACATGACGTCACACAGCTGCCATGTTTGTCAAAATTTCAAAGCTCTGTCGCTCACTAGCGAATGCGTGGTCGTTCAAACGTCATACACCGACTTATGACGCAAATGAGAACAACCAACCGCCTACCTATGACTTAACCGTGTTTAGACTGAGCGTGCATTTTAGCATTTAGGTTCCATATTACCCCACCTGGAAGATTTTCTGAAAAAAAGAGCTGGAAAGATCCGGAAGAGGAAATGATTTTCCTTGTTTCAAAAAAGACGAGGACTTTCCGTATCAGCCTATTCGAGGGTGTTAATGGGACTTTATCTGGAGAAAAAGAATAATAATGCAATTGTAATACTGTAATAAAGTTCAAGAGACAAAGAATCCCCCCCTAGAGTTTCAATTTTTTTCTATAATTCTCTTTTAAGGAAACGAGAGTTTCCTTCTGACCTTCCTAAGAAGAGCCTCGATGCTTTTCTTAAAACCTTCTTTGTGTCAACTCAATGACAATCATTCCTCTTATAATAACTAGCTACATTTACGATTAAAACCTACTGGACATGCGCAAACTCTTTCACAAAGCAAGTATCATGCAATATCAAGTGATGAGAATTTAGATATTCATCATCCTCCTTCCCCACTTATGACTTATAAGCACGTATTAATTTCAGTGATCTGCCGCGCAGATAAATACGAATTCAAAGCATATTGTTTCGTCCTAATTAAAAGTATCATCCCATACTGGTTACCTTCCTTTAACCGTTTTAATTCTGGGTTAAAATTTCCTTAATTCAACCATGGCTATTACGCGAATTTCATCGATCGATGTATTCAACAATAAATCCTAATCGAGTGCAAATAAATCGATGTATTTCGATAATAATCGATGTATTTTTAATCAAGTTAAACGTAGGTTGATAAATCGATGAAGTGAGAGAAATTTTAATCAAAAATTGAAGAGGTCAAGGGGCTGGAGAGGGGTAAGTAATCAATATTGGATAACCCTTTCCAATCGGACCTCATATGTGAATGTATTTGTATTGTATTTATATACGTAATACTACGTGGGCTGGCATGCTTGTGGGAGGCAGGTTGCGTAGTAAATGCCTAATGTCTGATGAGAAATCAGTAATAGTATGCTGTATTCACGCATTTTGTCTCTTTCTATATAATCTATGGTTAAATAAACTTACAGATGACTTATATAAGGTTTAATTTTTAGAAGAAACAGTTCAACGATACAGAATTTGTTGCGAATGTTCTGCGCATGTCAAATAGGCTCCTTAAGTTCTCCAAGTTTATACAAAGTCTGTGGAAGTTTATATCTTTTATTTCTTGAATTATTTTGAATATTTTGTTGTTTAGAAGGATATATCGTCTAAACAAGACCAAAAAAGTGGATGAAAATAACGAAAAAATGAAAGTATAAAGAGACAAATTGCATAATCCCGTCAGCGGGCTGTGCCATTGCCTCCAAAAATCAAAATATTTGCACTAAAAATGTGAACTTTAGCAATAATTTTGAATGTTTTATTAACTTATGTCAACTCTAAATGCATCTGCAACAGCTAAAACATCTCCTTCAAGCAATGGGTTGCCTAAAACGGGTACAAAACGACTAGGAAATGCATCGGAAGTGCTGCAAAAGTACATTGAACAATTTTCAAATACTGTGCAAACAAATCCGAGAGGGACGCCAAATGCTGGTTGCTACGGAAGCTCAAATGTCTTTTTGTTGTCAACGAAACCTGAGTCCTTTCTCTCGGCAAGAAAGGCTGCAAATTCTACTGGAAAACCGAGGGAAATGGCAGACAATTTGGTGCAGTGGGTCAATGAATCTTATTCAAAAGATCTGCAAAGAAAAATCGTCCCATTTGGACAAGGAAGCTGCTCGAGTGTGGGTATAAATGACCTTGAAAGCCGAGGAGACGGTTAGTAATCTAGTGATTGGGTCGTTAACATTCATAATATGTCTTAAAAATAAATTACACGGTGTTTGAACTTTGTTAAATACCGAGTTATGTCTGCAGTGTTAAAATTTATATGGTCGTTTAATAATATGAGGTGTCAATATTTTGAAAATGTGATTTAGGAAGCTGATAAAAGATCAGAATTGCTCTATGGAGATTAGCAACTGATAGTTAATTATTTTTGTGTGTTTGGGGTAAATAAAATAAGCAAATTGAAGGAAGAATTGAATGTTCAAATTCCTAGTAATTTTTGAAAATATTATTGGGAATTTCTACATAATATTTGGAAATGGTTTTATCTGAGATGAATTTAGGGGAAATCGAGACCTTGCAACATATTTTGAATCATAACCTTATTTATGTATTCTTTGAATTTCTCTTCTCAGAGGATGGTAACTTCAGCGATGAAGATGTGTCTACCATATCAGGTGGTGATGTTCAACTCTCCTCCCTTCCCTCCCCTCGAGGGTCAGTTGCGTCGGATCTTGACAGTAATGTTGAAAGTGTCAACACAGAGATTTTGGTCAAGAGTTTTCATAATAATGTTCAACGATCTGGCAGAGGAGGTATTTTGACATCAATCTATAAGCAAGGAGGTCTAAACTAGACTAAACTTAAATAACTCTATCAGTTTTACTTCCTAGAGGTCCAGTAGAGAACATCTCTTATTGATCCAGTGTTACTACAGGAGGAAACCTAAACTAAACTAACTTTATTCATACTGGATAGCTCTATCAGTTCTAAACTATTCTTCCTAGAGATCCAGTAGGGAACATCTCTTCCTGATCCAGTGTCACTACAGGAGAAAACCTAAACTAAACCAACTTTGTGTTTTATGGTAGAGCTCTAATTGATCTAAATTACTCTCACAAGGTACTGTGAACCACCCTAGCTGGGTTGAAGAACTAACAGCACCA